CTGGGAATAGGCCTAAAGAGCCTGAGTACATGGCTAATTACGAAAAGGGAGCAGAATAAGGGAAACTTGTTATTTATGTTTTGCTTAAATAGGTACTTCAAAGGGCCTGCCAACTTAAAATGCTGGAGTGTCCAGATAATATGTAAATAATTTATGCAATGCTTTCTTTTACCTATGTGAAATTAAAGTGCAGGATATCTTGGGTTTAAAGAAAATACCAATTTATCTTGCTTGGTAAAACATTTAAGTCTTAGGTGTATTCAATAAAGTTGTTAGCAAATTAATTAGTTATTAGTCTATGAAAACATTTAATTATTTGTTTTTTTTCAAAATGTATTTGCCTCTATGTGTTTGCGTAAATCTTTCCTTTCGTCAATCAACCAACAACCTGCTCAATTTCCGAAGCCTATTTTCTTGGGACTCCTTGTCAGCTGTCGCTGTGAAATGTAGACATTTTGTATGCATATTAAGTTCAATTACCGACACACAGGCTGCATATCAAATGAGAATCAGAGACATATCCAGCCCGAGTGCCACTCCACACAATATAGCACAGTATTTGCCAGGCGGCCACTTGATTGTTCTCACGTAGCCCTATATTTGGGTCAAAGTGCGAATTAGCATAAGTGATGCCTTCCGAAAATCGTCGACGCTTGTGGGATGTTTGGCAATTACCAATGATTTAATTCGAACTAAAAATAGCAGTCCAAGGACCAAAGGACTCTTGAAAATTTCATTTCAATTTTCCCCTACACAGTTCTTACTTGAAAAATGAAATTACAGGCCCAGTGCCATTAAGAAGCGGCAAGAACAACAAAGATAACAAGCAGGAAACATGAGCAATAAAAATACACAATAAAAATATGAGAGCAAGCGTAAAAAGATGGAAGGGAAAGTCATACTGATGTTGATGATGAGATGGCTAAGGTAAACAAGATACAAGTAAATATTGACATGGAAGTCGGCAGTCATATAAACAGGGAATGTAATGGAAATAAAAATGAAAATGATGCAGGGCTTCTTCCTTCCCTTTTTGGTGGCCAAAAGTGAAGGCCGCCACTAAAAGACAGTCAAAAAGTTGACAAAGTAGGCCACAAGTTCAGATTGTTCTTCAAGTTTCCGCTGTTGTGTTTCGCCTCCAATATTTTCTCACCCTCATGTGTGGCAAAGCCAAAAAGAAGATTAATTATTTTGTTACTGTTTGTTCACAGCGATCTGCATGTTCTAACCCTACAAGTAGACTAAAATAAGTTGGGGAGACTTTGAAAAATAAAATGATAATAAATTAATAAAAGCAATACATCATAAAACACAATTAAGAAGAGATACAACTTTTATAAGCTTATGGAAATATGAAATATGAATAGCGCTTCAATTTATTTGGGAAAAAGGTGTTTAAATGTAAAATGTGTAGAAACTTATTAATTTTAAAAGAACTTGTGATTGTATTTTAAGTTTTTTAATTTTTGTGTGAATAAATTATTTAACAATTATACATACAAATTTGCATAGATCATTTTTAAATCTGTGTTCTTCTCAGGGTATTTCCAGCAGTCAATCAGTTGAAATCAGCGGAGTGGCAACAAGTTGACCACATTCTTGATCCCTCTCCACCGCCTTAACTTTTCATGCGCGGCGCGTGCAGCAAATTAACACGGCCTGCCTCATAAAGAGCCCCCATTCCGATGAATATACGGAGAAAGGGGCTGGAGAAATGTGGAGAAAGTTGGCGGCTGAGGGACCAAAAAAGCCTGCGAGAAGTTAATGCCGCGTAACCTGTTAAAAGGAATCCCGCATTCGATTCCCTCCATGAAATCCTTGCGTTACCTTGAGGGGCCCATAAAGCGAGCAACTCGAGACTCCACCACAAAAACGAATGTAAAAATTATTTCCGTTTATTATTAATAAGCATATAAGGAACTTTCAGCTGCCGTATGTACGAAGATGAAACTTAAACCCACAGTTTGGGGTGGAAACCCAAGCGAAACCCGTATAGAAATAGCAAAGAAAATGCTAAAAATATTCACCCCAGCACAGACACTTAATTAAATGCTTAAAAATAGCTATTCTTATGGTCGGAAGAGGCGGCTGCTGTGGAATGGGATATTAAAGACAGTCGACCGCAGAGGATGCGAGGAGGGAACTAGTCCTGAATGCTGTCAAAATGATTACGTGACTGCGGCATCTGCCTGCTGGAGATGCTCACTTTATTGTTACGAGCATTTGCAATTTCAACTTAAATGGCAAATGCGAAGCAAAGAGCGGCCAACGCTTCGTATGAGCAACAATCACAGCTGTAAAAATCACACATACGCCCCATAGTCGTCCCACAATTGGTTGCGTATCTTTTCATCTCACTTTAATGCCCCTACATTTGTCGACTGTCAACGAGAATTAGGTCAAAGGATATTTTTAGCTCCCAGACTAGTGAGTATGCCAATTTTTTCTGATATGGGATGTGTTGCGAAAATATTTAGATTCTGACATTTTTCATCAACTTTTCGGTCACGTCACGAAGGACGCCTAAGTGATTGAGTGTGTGAGTGCGGTGTTGGCCGCGCAGTAATTTGTTGTTGGGCCACAACAAATCAGCAGGACCATCGAGTGCGTGACTGTGTCGGCCATTTAGCGGCAGAAACGTCGATGGGCCATTAAATCGGCATGGGGGAAAAACAATGCCAATCTCCCAGCGGCCTCCACCACTTTATGCTTGATATTCCTGCTAATTTCGTTAATTTGATTTGCCAAACAAATGGATTTTTATGATGATTGTTGGGTTTCAATTTCCCAGCGGGAATCCGCTATTAATTTGAAATCTGTCGCTCAGCCACAAATCAATCAAATGCAAAATTCAAACTCATTCCCGATCCGATGTCAAATCAAACTGTCAGTGTGGTGCGGTTGGAGCTCGGGTTATTCGATATTTATTGTCTGCCAATTCGGTTGGAAGCGTATTAATCAAACGCCTTCAGACATCCTCAGACTCATTATAAATTCAATATGAAACCCCCGTCAAGATATACAGCGTCTTGACAACCGAATACGAGTAGCGACGGAGCAACAGAGCAACAGAGAAATCCTAATGGCAATTCAATCGTTGACCTACTTTCCTTGGACACAACACATATTATTCGATGGCGACGGGTTGAGGATTGGTTCGATGTTAGGGCCATTATAGGAGGTTCACCCGAGCGTTGGGGACTCGCCTTCCATGCCAGACTTTCCTAATTGCAGTTTCTACATAATCATCATCATTGATTTGTAGCTATTTTTGGCCAACTTTTTTATGGAAAAACTTTTCGATTGGTGTCACCAGAAGATGAAGTAGATATAATGTAAACAGTATATGAGGGCGTAAGTTTCGTTTACATGGAAAAGATAATTATGATGGCTGAATACTGAAGCTGCTATACAAATTATGATATTATGAAATGAAAGATGGAACCATTTGAAGGACTGAAGTCTGAGTGGCTTTCAATGAAGTAGAAGTTCGAAGCCCAAATAAAAATACTTTAGTTTTGGTGTAAATTATTTCACTTTTATTGAACTCTCTTTGCTTTGTGGCTATGGGCCTTTCAGATGATTACAATTCATTGCTGCTTTTGCTGCTGCTTAGGTAAATAGTTATTAATAAGTAGATGCTGCTGTATATATGTGTATATTAATGCTGATATTGTTCTGTATAATCCTTCAACTTTTATTGCTTTGGCTTGCGATTCAATGCGTTTGCATTTATATATATATATATAGTTAGGCCTTGGTTTGCATTTTCTTTAATATTTTTCTCTATAAACTGTAAATGTCTATAACGGCTAAAGTAATGTATATGTTGAATACTTTTAAGTCAGTTTCGCGGCTTTGTTAGACTTGCTATATATCATCTACATCTGAACTCTACTTACTGGAGTGCTGGTTTATTATATTTTTCTTGGAATGTGTTAATTCTTTTTGGCAAATTAGATTTATTTGAATAAAGAGTCTTAAAGTAAATAATTTAAGTTTCTTAGGAGATTTTTGGGCTGATTCTCTTAGGATTGCGAAACATAGATAAATGCTTGACAAATTTTGATCCCATTTAACATTTAAAAGGAAATTTACTTAAACTTATTATATATTCTTCTTAAGTGATTTCTCTTGGAACAAATGTTTATTATGTGAATCTCTTTTGCTTTGACTTTTTGATAAAGGCACGAATTGTATAAGAATTTATACAAAAAGGAAATCTATGGTAACTTTTCCAATCGATTCAATCAAACTTCTTAATTTCATCTCAATTTTGTTTTGCGTTTACAGTCTTTGGTATGCGTGTAATGATCTTGATCTAAAATCAAAGCGGTGACAAATGTGTGTATATAGGCTCTATATCTGACAAATTCTACGCATCTACGATTTAATTTATATATTAGGTGCAAAAGTTATTTAAATTTTTATAAAACTTTATCATGTAAGTTTGTTAGATCTTTACCAATTCTGCCAATGTTTTGTTGAAGACTTTCGGATATGATGGACTTGAATAGGAAATAATTTATGGGAGGGCTGAGGTTGGGGTTGGGGTTAGGGTTACGATTGTTGTATCACAGATTTTGAAATGAATTTCAGGGAAAAGGGTAGGGCAGTTGAATGGTTGATAATGATTTGAAGGGGTTAGTAATTTTGTAAGCCTTTGCTAATAATGGCATTTCCTTAAAGGCTTTCTAAACTTATTGTAAGGATTTTTGGATCTTATAATTACAATTTTTTTAAATATTCTACTTTGAATAAAAATAATGGAAACATTAAAAACCTCAGAAAACTATGTTTGTTGTTGTCTAAAAGTAAAGTATGAACTAGAATTAATATTGGTATAGTAAGCTAATTTAAATAAGTAATATTAAAAACCAAGCATATGAATTTATCAACAGAATATTTTAGTGCAAAATAATCAAATTATTTTTTTTTAATCTTAAAATTGTTCTTAATGTGTTACCTTTATTAAATAAATTTATATGCTTACTTTGTTTTTGTATTAAAAAATGTTTTTACCCTATGAATTATAATTGGAAAAAAGGATACTTGAGTAAAGGTGATTGCTCAATTAGCTGATTATTGGATGCTGATACTGCGCTTACTCTTTCTTTTTTCTCAGTGCTGAATCCTGGCTATCTTGGGTGATAAACGACTTAGTTGGAGATCCTTAGCGCCTGGCATACTGACAGCAGACGGAGCTGCGCGGCACCCGCTGCGTCGGCAGGCCGGACATCCCTTTGAGATATGTGTAGGAGACGGGCTGCCGCAGGATCCTTTGCGGCGGCGGCTTCACCTTGCTTTTGGACGCCAAACTGCAGCTCGATGATGATGACCTGCCAGCTGACTGGTGGTGATGGTGTTGATGTTGCTGCTGCTGCTGCTGCCTGTGCAGCTCCACATTCGAGGCGGATTTGAGAGCCGACTTGAGGGGCAATGCAGATGGGGGTGGCGGCGGCGGCGGAGGGGGGAGGGGCCGCTGCAGGACAGCGAACGCGAGGTCAGCGAAAGGCTCTCGAAGGCGCGACGCAGCGAGGAGGTGGAGCGGCGGTGCAGACGCGAGAAACTTGCCCGGCTAATCGGCTTCCTCTTCGATTGCAATGGCTGTTGTGCCTGCTGCTGCTGTTGCTGTTGCTGCAGTTGCTCCTGCTGCTCCTCGATGTCCAGGGTGCTGCTCGTCTCGCTGGAGGCACACGACATGGACATCAGCTCCAGTCGCGACTGGTGAGCGTTGAGGCCACGCCCCGAGGAGCACGAGTCGGTCGATGAACTGTGCGCGTCCTCCTCTTGGAGCGTCGTGACCCCGGCCACTGCGATGCCGACTCCTCTGGATGTTGCAACGCTGGCTGCGTCATCCGACTGAACTAGGTCATCCTGCGACCTCAGGCCGAAGCGGCGGCTCAGCTGCCGAAAGAAGCCCAGATTGCGTTCGTAGCGGGGTGTGGGCGAAACGCTGAGGCTGCCGCCCGGCGAGGGGGTGTTGTTGTAGCCCACCTCCAGTTTCGACTGGCTACCGCTGCCACTGCCGCCGCCGCTGCTGGTATTGTTGTTGTTGTTCAGGCTGCCATTGCTGGCGGTCTTGTGTTGCAAGTGCTGCTGCTCATCGGCGAAGCAGACATGCGGGGTACCCATTTTGTTTGCTTTGTTTTTTTGTTAGGCAACCACCTATCGCATTTAAGGCCACTCCGGCGTATGAGTAATTTTTGTATTACCACGCAGCTGGCACCCGTGCGTATGCGTAATTTCCTTATTAAGAGTGCAGTGAGTTAACTTTTGGCTTCCGCTTCAGCCAACCGTGCGTATGCGTAATTTTACTGGTGCGTATGAGTAATTTCCTTGTTTGTGAGGACACTGCAAATGTCTGCACTTCCGCTTCCGGTCAACTGCTCTCCGCTTCCTTTGTTATGCTAGCCGGTGTCTTTGTCCACTGTTTACCTTTCGTTCATCCAGCGAGAGTGAGAGAGAACCGACTGGGCACGTTGTCCTGCCGCTTGTGAGTCGGCAAATCGGAAGCCGCTGGCTTTTATAGCCTCGCCCGGCACTCTGCAAAGTGTCCTTTGACGAGAGCGTAAAAGAGCGCAGAGAGAGAGATTTAGAGAGAGCGGGCGCCTCTGCAAAGTACCCGCTACACCCTGCCCCTGCCCCCTTGCACATCCTTTGTTCCTGCATTGTTGCCTAATAATAAAACGGGAAGCGAATTTTGTTTACCGCTGTTGGTTTGTTTTGTTTTTTGTTTGCACCGTCAATTTTCCTCTGCAGCTTGCGCCGCTGGCCGCCAGGTGGTGTCAATGCACGCAGTCGGGGATTGAGTTCCAGCTACCTCTTGATGGCCATGTACCCGGTATTTAATCGGGGGTATAGTGCATTCGAGAAACTTTCGAGAAGAACTATTTATTTAACAATCCCGAAAGAGCAAAATAATAATAAGATAAAGGAAAAGATTGTAAACCATTAACAATATTATTTGTAACATTTTCGTAAGCCTATTTTAGGTGTGAAGTTAACCAAATATGTTTCTAATAATTTAGTCAGTAAGCATCATTTAATTATTTATTTTCAATATGAAAACTACAAATTTTTAGTTTAGGGATCTTAGCCAAATTGTATAAATTTCTGTACTGTAATTTTTGAATCATAAAGTTAATATAGTAAAATTAAACAGTTATTACATGCTATGTTTATGACGGTGTATAGGCTGTTATTTAAAAATCAGGATGCTAATTTATTTTTAAAGATTAAAATAAAATAAATTAATACTGCATAACCCATCAAACGAGGTATTAGGCATCTGTTATTCGAAACAGAGTTCTACTGCCTTTAATTGTTTTCCTTTTTCGCCCCACAGAGCTATAAATTATTAATCAGCCAGACGTTTTCATTTCACTTTGTTCCGTTTGACTTTCTTGGTTGATTTAATTTGCTATTGTCGAAAATAGCACTGAAGGGCTGTCGGTGGTGCTTACTTTTGCGAGACCTGTGCTTGATTTGCCTAAAAATATCCTTGACAACGACAGTATTCAAGGGCTATAGGCAATGTACTTAAGAAACCAAGGGGCTTGGCCCAAAAGCAATACTTTATCAAAATTTCACCTAACTTAAGTGGAGGGTCAAAAATAGATTCGGATTGCCTGGTCCCCTGTTGGTCCTTTGTTGTTGTTGGTTTTTATTTAATTGCGCCCAAAATTGATTTTAATGCGCTATAAATAAAGTCGAATACCAATTTTGTGTGAACGCATTTTAAGACAAGCTAAGACGGAGGAGGCTTAATGAAGTCCTTTGTTTTTGACTTTGAGATGATAAAATGGGATGGCACGAAGTCCCGAAAGATGGGGGGTATTAAAAGCTAGGAATCAGGAGGTGTCGACGGCGTAAGGATTTACCCACTCCACCATTAACATCTAATTAGAGGCGCAATTGTTGACACCCACTGACGTCAGAGCGGCCAGTGATTTTGTTTTGGCCAAAATGACACAACTCGGAATTCAATTTGGAATGCGATGAGTCGGGAGTTGGGGATCCATTGTCGCAGACTTGTTAAGCGCTTGTCGCATCCATTTAGCGGCGCATTAACTCATTTCGACTTAATCAAGTTTGTCAACAGATTAATGAATGAGCTTATCTGTTGTCCTGCCAGAAATTGACACAGAATTTCAAATAGACTTTGAAAACTTATAGTAATTCTTGTTAAATGTTTATTGAATTGTTTTTGTGGGCATATGGCACACTTGATTTCATGAGATTATTATTGTTTAATGAATATTTATTTTTACTTCAAAAAATATTTGGCCTGTACATTTTTTTTTAATTTTTCCTTTTTTTAAGAACTGCTCTTGAATATTTTTTCTTAATTTAATTAAATTGGTTTTTTGATAGTATTTTGTTATAGCAAAATACTTATTATGCAGGATTCCTAGAACGTATGTATGTTATCTTTGACTCTGACCTTCTTTCTCGGAACTACTAGAAGCAAAATCCACAACCATATCCCATTCGCATTCCTGGTATGTATTTATTAAAACGCAATTTTATTCCGAATAAAATAATCCAAATATATGAAATTCATTTCCTTACTGCGTCATAAAACTATTCGGATGACAAATGAATCTGTATCCCTTTGTTTACAGAAAGTTGTTTGGGTTAAAGGCTTTTGTTTGTTTGCGGATAAATCATGCATTTTAATTTGATTTTTTAGGACAAACTGTGCCAAGGATATCCAACCCTTTGAGCTTGAGGCTTGTTTATTATGGGTTGCTATTATAAAAAAGGGTGTTCAAAGATACAATGACCTCGAAATGATTGCTTGGGCATGGGACCTTTGGCGTCCTCGGTTTGAGGAACCTTAATAATTGAGGTGTCATCAAATTTTAAACGTTTTCGTTTGTCACGCCCGCCAAGTGCAGCGGTGTCGATTAACGTCACACGGATATGCGCCAGTATGTCAAAACTATAAGGTCGAGTCCTTCGGAAACTTGATTTTGAGGACTTTGCCTACATCATCGGCAGCACCAAAGTGTCTCTGTTCCCAGGGAACAGAGTGCCGCAGACTGTTACCCAAACAAAAGGAGGCCACGTGGAGGATGTGCTCTCTTTCGCAGGCTCTCTTTCCCCACTCTCTCTCCCTCTCTCATCTTCGGCAAGAGCTTTTGTCTACGTTAACGGTGTCCTTAAGCTTTCGCTAAACCGTTACGAATCGAATCTCCTTGGCCAGTGAAATTCGGTTCATTCCCTTTGTTCTCCCTTCACCTTGAATGCAATTAAAATCGGTTTTTTTTATAGTCATGTATATTTTATTTTATTGACAGCTAGACTTAAGTGGTAGATTATCTCTGTTCAGTTAGGATCTAAAAATATATAGGCTCTAAACATTTTCGCTAAGTTTTTCATTATCATCTACTATACCATTTACATTTCATCATGATATTTAATTATTCAGAATAATTGGTTTGTTTTAAAAAAATTTCGTTTTATTGGAATGTGAATTATTGTAAAATGTTCCTCTATTAGTGTGTTCTTAAAGAATTTATAGGTTTTCTCTTTTTCTTTGTATAAATTCGTCAAATTTGGTTTTGGTTTGAATAGTCATTGAAATCAGTGCAAAGTATAATATAAACTAGTTCAAAAGTGCAAAAATGGGTTTATCATTTAAAGTATACTTTTACGGTTCAACTTAAGGACTCCAAAATTGTATTTTTAAGAGCTACTTTCGAAAGATATGTGAGGGCTTCTAAATAACATTTTGTTTTACGTTAAGCTAATTTAATTAAGTTTCGTTTGTATACTGAAAGTCCCTAAATTAGCCCAAGACAATTAGATCATCTAAGGTGTATATCGTAGCACATTGATAGGTTTTTTTTTGATTTTCGGGGCTTGGTTTTAGGTACACATATTGGGCCCAGTTCGCAGGGTGTTTGCGAACTCAGCTTTGACACATTTATAAAATATGTTTGCTGCTCATTTTGTTGTAAACCCCCATGTTTCGCTTTTCTCTACTCAAATCTCGGTTTTTTCAGGCACTACTCGTACATCACTAGAAATTCCTAAGTATATTGTTCAAGACCCCCAACCAGCTTGCAGCTTTCTCGTATTACTCCCTTATTTTTTTGGTTTTTCTTTTTTGCTTAGTACATATGCTGCAGGGTGTAGGGATAGCAGACCGCATAACTGGGTACTCGGGAATAAAGCCCCGACATGCCCTTCATGTAGACGTACTGGACTGGCGGCCGCAGGATGCTCTGCTGCTTCTTGTCCTTCTTGGCAGCCGGAGCACCGGACGACTTGGAGCTGGATGCGGAGTGGCTGCTACTGCTGCTGCTGTTCGAGTTGTTCGGCGACAGGGATTTCTTGGGCTGCCGCAGGGGAGTGCTGCTGCAGGACAAGGAGCGCATCGAGGCATTGCCCGTGGGACTGGAGAAGTGCTGCAGCATGCGGCTCACCGAGGAGGAGATGGAAATCCGGCTGAGATGCAGTCTCGGCGACTTGGCTGATGCGGCGGAAGCGGATCTCGGCTTGCTATTCTCATTCTCATCGTTGCCCAGCTCCACTTCGTCCTCCGCCTCATTGCTGCTGCCCTCCTCGCTGGTGTCCTCCTCGAAGTGCAGCTGCGGATGCAGTTGCTCCATGGCGCTGCCCGGTCTGTAGACGGCCTCCACATAGATGTGTCCCTGCTGATCGTAGTAATCCAGTCCGGGTGAATATCTGGAGCAGGCCGAGGCGCTCGAAGTCCGGGAAGTGTGTTCCAAGTCCAGCGAAGAACCATTTATGGGACACTCGTGGCTGCCCCGCTCGTAGCTCAAACTGAACGAATCCGTGGAGCTGCTCCTGATATCGTCCTGGCTGCTGTAGACCGTCTCGTTCTGTTGGTTTTGATGGTGGAAATGCCTGCCCAAGTGCCTGCTGAGCAGCTGCAGCAAACTCCGGGAGCGTGATAGTTTCTTGGGCCCATTCCTGGGATGGCGATGCACCTTCTCCTTCTGCTGCTGCTTGCCCAGATCCATTGAGGAACTGGCCGCCGAACTGCCGCTGGAGCTCGACTTGGAGCCATTGTTGGGTGACAGAGTATCCATGGCAAAAGTTTGTGTTTTTATTATTTGTTGGATTTTGTAACTTCACTTTCTGGCACTGGCACAGTATGTTTCAGTTCTCTTTGAGAAGCGAGTTCTGGCTTTCAATTTTTATTTTCCAATTTAACTGGTTTCTGGCTAACGCGAACCGCTGAAGTCTCGATGAAGACTACCAGTGGCAGGCGTTTGGCACCCGCTTTTATACAGCTGCTCAATGTCGTGGCAGCTTCGCATCCTAACCTTCGCCCCCACGAGGACATTTCCACACTGCTTCGGGTTCCCGATCCCAGTTCGCCTGCCATACTGACACACACCCGCCTCGGCAATCAGTGGCCAGTGTGCCGTCGAGAAGGACACACGGCGCTGCCACGAAGGAGTTCTCCCAGTCGGTTTGGGGACGAGAAACCTGTTGCTCGCTCTGGGCTTTTCCACTCAACGTGACTGCTGATGCTTCCCCTTTGGGCCGGGCCAACAAAGCCAGCTAACAACACTTTGGGCGTCGCTGGTTGCACTTTTGAGTTTTTAGCATTGTTGTGCGTGATTGGGAACGTGATCCGTGCACGTCATTCACCCGTGCGACGGGGTTCCTGGTGAACACTATTAGAAAATGGTAGTTAACTAGGGAAGAAGACTGCCTAGGAAAAAGGGCTCGAAAACATAGCAAAAGCCGTCAGAGATTGGCTTTTTAACCAGAATTTACTGGTCGCCTGATAGTTGATTATTATGTATTGTTTATAAACAAAAATGTTTTCAATTTTACTTAGTCTTATTTGTTTTCTACAAATTTATCTTGCTCAAGTTGTTAATAAATTCCTTAAGGATAAATCATGTATTTAATACTTACAATCAAAGAATTTAAATTATTCAAGGATGAATTTTATAGTCTCAACATTTTTCATCAAATTTACTTTTAATTTTGTTTTTTAAACCTTTAAGGATTTAACGTATACAAGAATATTAAAGATTTTCATAGGAGAACTTTCCAATAAATTAAAAGTTATATTTTAAAGTTAGACAAAATAACTTTTTGTAATTTATTAAATGAAAAACAATGGGAAAAAAAGATTTCCTTAATATTTTTTAATATTGGGTTATAGAATTAACTAATCTTCTTTTCCATAACATTATTACTGAGCTATTCTAAATAAATAATATTACAAATAAAAGTACTTACACTTTTTTAAATTTTAACTTTAAAACTCAAGACTCAATATTTTGTAAATTATTCGCTTTTTCGTTCAGTGTGGCCCGCTTGACACCTTCACATGAAAAAGTTAGTCGCACATTTTATTACTTAACTTAAGACAGGTTGTGGCTAGTGCCGTGTCTCAAGCATATCCCCGTGTGTCCAGAGTCACGAGTCACGAGTCGCCAAGAAGGAGTAAGGATGAGATGATGGCCAGATGAGCTCATTTAAGTCCTGCTAGTGGCTAAGCCTTACAGGAAGAATCTTGTAGAGACTCAAGGTGAGTTTGCACGTTTTGCAAACGCATTTCGGTTATGCAGAGCCCCCTGAAGATACAATAGCTATAAATAAAAAAGACACCGCCGAGGAGATTAGCATAATCGGCAAATCGAAAAGGTCGCAGCTTAAAATACTCTGGCTTAAATACGAATAGCCTATAAGCTGTTAATAATTCTGAATATTGCGTTTAAGGCTCTAACATAAATTAAAACTCCCACATTGAGAGCCCTCTGTGAAAACTAATTACAGGGCTTTGTGATAGGAAAACTAAAATCCAGAAATTCAGTCACTGGGTCACCAGAGCCTCCGATATGTCACGTACTCTATTCGAAGTCCACCTCCCACAATATTTACATATATCAACCTGACCTGGACATGAAAATAAGGCTTAACAGTGCGTGCCGAGGAAAATAGTGAAAAGACTTTTGTATGATTTTCGCATTTATTTGCTGTGGCTTTTGGCTTTTACTCGCAATCAAAGCAGAAATGAGGAAAGCGACAGGGCACCGATTCCGACATCGAGGGCACCATAGCGATTGGCATACGGATAGGGGTATCCATAGGGACCCGGTCCGTTGTGGTAGTAGCTGCCTCCCTGATAAGGACCTCCGTAGTAGTAGGGTCCTGGCTGGGGTCCCAAATAGGGCTGATGATAGCCGACACCGAAGGAGACCAGGGGCTTGGAGTTGGCGCAGGTGGTGGCCACCACCAGGAGCACTGCTAACTGCAACGGGAGTAGATGGTCGACCTTGGGTGAGGATTGGAATCTTGAGGAAAGGTAGTAAGGCTGCCTACCCAAAGATAATTGCGCATTTTCTCTACAGCCTGCCAACTACGTCGTCCAGTGTCGTTTTCACTTTGAGCTCCTCTTTGCATTCCCAAAGACCTTTTATATCGCAGGTTGGGGGCCCCAGAACCCAAAGCCTGTTTTAACATTGGGTAAACAACTTGCTGGGGGTCCACTCCCTGCAGCCCGTTCTAAATTCTCTTCATTATTTTGCCAGCAGCATGCCAAAAAAAAGTAGCAAGTTATAAAGACAGCTAAAAATTTTATTTTAAAGATTTTCCAGTTACCAAAAACTAATATTATATTATAATATATATCCTTAAAATCAACCTTTGTGATGGAAAGTTTAAAAGTTAAATCGCCTTTAAAAAACTATGAAGAATAATGACCATAATGTAACGTATTTTTTTATGTGTTTCTTTTTCTGCTGTGCAATGTAAGTTGGTTGTTCGAATAGATTTACCCGCCATGGACTGCGATTTCTTTAGCCATTAATTGGACATTGTAAAACCTTGAACTTCCAGTTGCCGATGCAGATGCTGATTATATTCCACCAGTGCTCCTTGGGCTCACCCTGCAGAAACAGGTTTTCCTGTCTGGAAATCCTGGCGGATGATGGGCACCAGTAAACAGATATCGTTGCCACCTTCCCCCGGCATTCCACCCAATCAGCGGTTTCAGTTGACCACACGAGTACCTTCTAATTAGCTTTGCATAATGAACACGAGCTCAGTCTGGTTTCGTAATCATCCATCATTTCTATTGATCACCAGGGAAATACGCTGTAATTATTTTGAGATTATGCTATATGGCAAGAAGGTATCTTTGTCGGCAATCGGAAATAAAATACTTTTTAAGCGATGGTAATTTATTAACAAACGTAAATTTACGTAAAAACGTAAAGGCAAAATATATATTATAATATAATATAATATATTATAATATAATATAAGCAAAATATCTTTCTTGGTTTTAGGTGTGTCGAAAACGGTGTGCTTTTAAGTTTATTATTGTTTAAAGGATTAGTTTATTTTCAGTATGAATTTAACATGTGGTTAAAATGTCTCTTTGCGAAGTAAAAATTATTAGACATTTTCTGCCATTTTTCTTCAATACAAACGAACATTATGATTATATATTAATTAAATTTGAATTTGTTATATTAAATATATACAATAATTTGTAAAAGAAAACCTGAGAAGATTAAATAAGTCTTTCCGAAACAACAAACATATTATCAAATAATAAGACATCCCTTATGAGTTAACTATTTCTGCTGTAATTAAATGCAAATGTAATTAAATAATTGTTTATTTATAGTGGTCGACAAAAATGATAAGCTTATGTTCCAAGGACATAGAAATGTCGTCAAAGCTGTTTAGGTGTTCATTATCAGCCTACGAAAATGCCTACAGAGTATCAGTCGCCATCGAGCAATCAAATGTTAATTAATGTGGGTGATTCGATTAGGATTTGGTTTCCGTCCCATGGATTTGCGTATGTCCCAATGGTGGGTGCCATGTGACAGCCTCAAGTCACGTTCTGGAGTTCCTTTTAAAATCTGCAACGCACGCAGCAAAGTGCAAAAATTGTGGTAGCAATCTGTGGGGACGTACTTTCACACAGCTTTCCATTCAGTCACATTGCACTACGGCTTCTTTTTGCTCCAGTGACGTACAACACGAGTCGTGATTTGTTGCCAATTTGAGATTTGTGTAAATTTAGACAAGCCTCCCGGAGCATAGGTGAATAACTGAAAGCAAGGACGGGGTTATTCGATATAGCCAGCCATTGTCGGGGCTTTATATCTGAACAATAGGAGGCTGAATGAGTTCAAGAGTTGAGCCAGGTCACTTGGTTATTGGGGGAAGTAGGAAAGTGGTTTTCACAGACAGCTCCATACAATAGGGGTTATCCAGTGTTGAACTGCTTCGATTATGAGTGGTCGAACTTTATTCAAATTTCACTTGTTTACAATGCCCGAAATGTTCCCCTACGAAGGTTTGATGCTCTCCACCATTTAGTAGAGATACTCATAGGTCAGGGGCTTGTATTCGCTGCGATATTGCTGCTGGAATGAATTGGGTGTCTCAACGCTGTGATAAAGATGCGATTCGGCGGCTGCCGGGGCAATCAATCGGGAATAGGCCAAGGGTAGAACAGGCGATGTCCTGGCAAAAGTGCCGGGGTAATACCCATAAGTCGGGGTATAGTAGTACACCTCGTGGCCAAAAGCCAGACCAAGTAAACAGGCGAAGATTAGCTGGTTGTGGATAGAAAAGAATGAAATACACACAAATAGTTGGAAGGGAATGGTTTTGCGATCTCACCAGCTTCATTTCTCTTGTTGCAGTTCACTGGAGATCACCTATCCAACTGAATACCCATTTCTGGCCGATCCCGCCTTTTATAGCTGCCCACTCTCAATCGGACCTTCACTTTGGCTGGTGGCCAAGGTCAAAGGCATTTGGACGGCAGTCGGCAAATGAAAGAAGCCCTTAACTCTTTTTGAATGGGCCAGTTGCAATTGCAATTGCCAGCGGAACTCGTTCCTGCCACTCAGAACCCAGATGCGAATCGGATGGTCGTGAGTCCTCTGACAAGACAGTGAATCCAGCAATGCCGCTTGGGTTCTTACCATGGAGTACTCTAGCCAACTCCTACTATTTCGCACCAAAGCCTTCCCTGCACTCAAAAAAGTCAAAAGCCTTTACCTAAAATTTAGTCTTGTCAATAAATCCTATTCTCAGATTTGGAGTATATTAAAAATGTAAAGTAGCTATATTTTAATTTGATTCTATAATAAAATAAAAATAGTTTGGTGAATCAAACATATTTTTCTTACTAACGCAAAAATATTATAAAGAAATAAAATTAAGAATTCAATTATTAAAAAAGCTGTATAAATACCTGTCATTAAAATTAAGCTAGATTTAACCAAAAATATGCATTTTTTAAAAGGTTGACAGTTTTGTTCTTGCTTTGTTGAGAAAAGAACTCCAAATATGAAATCATTATACAAAATGTTGAACCTTTTCATTAAAATTACACTTCAATTACCCGCTACTAATGAATGTTAAAAAACATAAAAGTTGTTTACTTGCTTTAAATGTAAGTTAAACAAATTAAACTAGTTAAAATGTTCTCATTTGACAGATTAAGGTTTTCTATGGAATTTTATCGAATGTCTCTTATTTGGAAAATTATCCTTTGCTGGTACTTCTTAATGCTGCTCCTTTATTCCTTCCTGTTGTAAATCTTCATACTGCTCCACTTGCCTCGCAGCATCTTTGTCCTGTTGCTGTTGTGTGTATCTTACGCTTCAGTGACTTAAGTTTCGTACCTGGCGCGACTTATCTTTTACAGCGACTTGTTTGCAAAATGACAAAATTAATGGTGCGGTCAGCAGCTGTTCATCGCGTTCTTCGAAGTCCTTCCATTATCCTTGGCGCTTCATTGGATTCCTTAGTATTTCGTCAAAATTCACTTGGTTGCCGGCTTGCTAAGGATTTTCCCATAGAAAAAGGTACACAATGCAATGTCAAATGAATTTGGGGAAAATGCTGCAAATGTCGTTCTTGCCCTTTACAATTGCGAGTGAGAGTGAGACAGTAAATATGGACATTACAAATTGTATCAAATTTATTCAAAATATTTCAAAAAGTTGCATAGGGTATTTATTGTATTTTTTTCCTGAACACATAATTCTTTTAAAAAAATTTAAGAACAACAATTTTGAGCGATACAAAACTTTAATTTAAAAAAATGTTTTTAAGAATCTGAATTTGCTAACTGTAAAACGTATGCTATTACAAATACTATAAAAAGTATTACTTTGAACATCAGCCATTTAGAATTTTTTTTTTGATTCATCTTCTACCCAATTATTATAATTTGTAATCGTTTCTTGTGTTTTTTTTTCCTCTGCAGTCAATTTAAATTCGCATATATAATTTTTTTTGTTAGAGCAGCTCACTTTATTCATAAAGTGGTTTCCTGATTGCAACTCCACGCATTCCTCAGTTGAATTCAGTATATCTGGTGTGCCCGATTCCCATTTAAGGAAAGTTTCTTTTTCTAAATTAGAGGTTTTGATATCCAGAAAATAACTTCTTTGCGAATCCAAGTGTTCCTTTAAAGCGCTCCATTCCTGTTCATTTTTTAGACTAACTAGGTAAGTATCCTCATAGCTGGTACATTTATCCCAAGCTTCTGACCAAGTAAGTCGTTCATCATTTTCAATATGGTACGCCTTTTCACCTATTATCACTCTGAAAAACATTTTCTCCCTCATTTCATCTTGTAGCCGTTTCATCTCGTCATATTTTGAAGAAGAGTCTCTTATCAGGTCTATTAATTTTTTTTTTTCGTTTCTATTCATGCTGCCCAAGTCAGGGCCAAAGTCAAAATTGTTGAGACGCTGTCATAAATTACAGAAAAATAATTTACTCTTTGTGAACATGGAAACGAATAAGCAAATAAGCTCACCTGTCCCTCTGTGAATTTTGTAAGTCCGCCAATCCCGCAAAGGATGAGTACTAGAAGGTACCGCATTTTGTCCGAAACTGTTTTTTCATTTACGACGAGAAGTTTAAGACTATTAAAAAATAGGGAATCTTGAATACAGTTGAAATGTCGGAATAATTAACACTATTTAACACAATTAAATAAGAGAGTGTCAATAGTTTGATTCCGTCAATAAAACTTACAATTTGTAATCATATATATTTACAATGTATTTTTATTGTATTATATTTTTTTTATTGATTTTCAGCTAACCGATTTAATATATGTATCTATAGCTAGTTTCTTACATTTGTAGGATTGTGTTAGCGATAACGCTCGCTTTCGATCGCTTATCAAAATTTCGTCATTAGGGGGAATTTGGAATTTTATTACGTGTACTCAAGTTCATATGGAGCACTGTGATTAAAGATTAATTATAAATAAATAAATTGAGAGCAGTTTTTACTCAGCCCCAGAACCAAATTTTTCTTATATTATATACTAGTTATCAAATAAAAATTTTTTTATTGTTTTAGAAGCAATGTTTCCATAAAAATTACTTGTACGTATCGAATTCCACATTTAACAAATTATTTGATCAGTGATACATTTTATAAGTGAGTGCTTTGTCAATTTGCAGACCCTAAAACACATGTTTTCCAAAAAATATATTTTGGTATACTCTTAACTAATTGAGAGAATGGCCTATAAATGTTCAATAAAATTTGGTCCGCCCTAATGTACATATATGGAATGCGTTGATCTTCTTTACCAACTGAATTCAGATTTGTTTTTCATTTTTATTTTTTTAATTTTTAGATTTTTCAATGGGAGCTTAATAAAATAGATATCCGATTTTAATTTAATTAAAACCGTAATCCAATAGTATTTAAATATTGCCAAATCCCAAAGAACACAACAAAATTAATAATAACAGTTATACTTTAAAATTTTTTTTTTCGATTGTTCCCACGGGAGCTATATGATATAGTGGCCCGATCAGGCTCGTTCCGACTTATATACTGCATGCAATAAAAAGACAACTTTTTGGAAAGTTTCAAGCAGATTGGCTTAAAACTGAGGGACTAGAAAATGTCTCCTTCACAGCGTTTCAAACTTTTCAAACTTTAATTCAAATTGTAATACCCTCTGCAAGGGTATAAAAATAACTCTTTAAATTCCAAAATCACTGCTCGCAATTCGAACATTTCTTAAATATACATCAGAATAAATTAAAGTAGATAACCAGAGAAAGTTGTACCTCTAAATGCCATTGCTCTGAGTGTACTTCCTTCTCCTCAATCTTTGCTAAGTCGCAAATGTTCGCATCTCTTTGCTGTTTGTTTACTTCCTTCGATTTGGTTTGGGTCTCGCTCTTGGCCCAAAATAAACAATTAAGTGCGTCCGGTATTGAGACGCACTTCCGGAATTTTCCCGCCTTCTGTGGGGAGGCTTTCAAGGTCAGTGTGGGTGCTGCGGGAAAAATGAAAAAGTTTTCTTTTGTCTTGGAACCAATGAAAACAAACACCCACGCCGAAATCAATTAAATGAGTTTATTGTTTATTTTTCGTATTATGTATAATTCTAGTGAATGTTTTTGTATTTTTGCGGGTTGTTGATTTGTTTTTCACCGGATAAATTGCGCAGTCTGAGCTGATATTTTATTTTGGACCTCTGCGGTGCGTATTTGCCAATATCACAATCGCATTTGTGTTGCAAGTTTCGGTGGGTGGGCAACTGCAAACCGAAGTCAGTCACTCAAGTGAGCTCTTGAGCTGGGAAATATGAGCACTCCGCGTCCGCTAAGATTTCAAAGAGACTTTTAGGGTCTTGTGTATCGGACCAAGGTCGAGCGATTGCTGGGGCTTCTTGCCTTCTTGCCTTCTGGGCCGCGTTATATAAACCCGCAACGCGTTCAGCCAGCCATCAAACCATCTTTTGGCAGCTTCTCAACGAGTTCAAGCAGTTCTTCAGTAATCAAAACCCTTTCAAAATGTTCAAGCTGGTAAGGATATCCCAGCCTCAAGTTGAAAGGAGTTAATTAAGTGACTAACTTCCACTTCCAGTTCGTTTTCCTCGCCTTCTGCCTGGCTTTGAGCTGTGCCGCTCCTGGCCTGCTCCATTCGTCGCCCATCCTGACCAGCTCGTACCACAGTCTGCCCTCGGTGCGGGTGATCCACCAGCCCATATGGACCACCTCGCACAGCGTTGTGCACCCCATCGGCTACGGTGGATATGGACATGGTCATGGTCATGGTCTTGGTCATGGTCATGGCTATGGCTGGATCTAGGAGAAGGCGTCTCACAAATGGGCGTCCTCGAGCAGCCGGCAGATCACCTGTCGCCCGAAGCTATTCCCTGAAGTTTAGCGTACTCTTTGACGGACATGCCTTGAATAAAGTTCTAAAATTGGTTTCAAATTTATGTGTCATAATTTGCTTAATTGGGGAGTTGGGGGACTCCATCCTAGGGGCTATTTAAGCCTCCGTTGCTATCTTACCGCGCCTTAGTTATCGTTCTGACTTACTTGAGAAATGTTGGCTGTAAGTACACTCAGGAAAAGTCGGGCAAACAAGAAACTATTATCAAAATTTAGAGCCCATTTAAAAGCGAATTTATTATTATGATAGCAGCTAAAATTTATTATCTCATTTGTAATTTTAACAAAATTTTAAGCTGGAAAATTATAATTTTTTTTTGTATTAAGAACAAAGAAAATAATCGAAAAATCTTTGCAAAAGAAATTTAAAGTAAATTGAATAAACAAGTTTTCTTTTCTTTTTACGCGTGTTAAAATATTTATTTATCAAATCTAAAAACTAAGCCAAATATGTTTTTATATTTTACCCTAAATTTTTGTTTCTTTGAACAGATTATTTTCACATGGTTAATTTTAACGAATGCGGAAAGGAGTCAACCGATGTACATCCTCCTACCAACTCAAGTACCCCGAAGTTTGGAGTTAAGCCAAGAACCTCTATTTCAAGAACCAATTGAAACCATTCAATTTATTAAAGATCCCGCCAAAGTATACACACCAAATGATTTTTTCGGTGAAGTCCACAAATTTATTATTGGCGTGCAACAGTTTGTGCAGAATCCACCGACTTCACTGTACAGTGCGTTCAATCAACTGCAGAGTAATGGCAAAAAGAATCACCAGAAACAGAAGCCCGTGAAACACAAGTTGGTTCTTGACCCCTTTGGAAATATTTCATTCACCTTGGGCTGGTCAGCCAACTTGCAGGTGTTCAATAGCATCGGTTTCAGTAAGACTCGGAGTCTGGTCAACTACAATGCATGGACTAAGGGTTAACACACCGATTGGCCAAATCAATACAAAAATGATAGCATACTTCTGGGCGGGGGTCATGACATTATAATTAAAATTAAACTGAATTTTATATAATGCAATACGAAATAAATGCAAGCCCATTGTTCGAATCGGTTTGGTTCTGTTTGTGATTTGCCCCTGATTACGTATACGCCAGGTATCTAATTTTAAACTCCGCACGTTGCATTGTCTAAACGCTGTGTGTTGTATCCGGATGGCAAATGGCAGCACGCCTGACAACATGTGTACGGGCCACGGATAATTATCTCTAATTATTATTAGTTTGTAACCTTTTCTCTTGTCACTCAGTTCACTGAGTTCAATTAGCTTGCGGTTGTGGTGGTTTTTTGTTCAAAACAGCTAAATATATTTACACTGACATTTGGGAATGACTTAAATTTGAATTGGTAGCATTACGCAGGTCAAATATATCATTTACCTTTCATGAGAAATATCATTTTATGACAAAAATGTTATGTATTTACACAAAACAAATGATGTCTGTATATTATTAATCAATTTAGATGGCGAATCGATTATTCAAAAATGTAAGGTAAAGTAAGAAGTATAAAAATTACCCGATTTAATGAAAAAAAAATCAAATTAATATGATATTTTTCTTTAAATAAGTCACAGAGACTAATAAATGTTGAGACAACCATTATTGTTATTATACCCCTTTTATTTATGAAATACCCATTTTTTCTAGAATGCCTGTTGCTGATGTTTTTAAAGCCCCCACTTCTGCCACTGAATACAACCCCTTTTTGTTTACTGATTTAAAAACAAATGAGTTCGTTTGTTTGCGAGTTTTATTCAAATTTCATTGCGAGTGTCCATCTGGTTTCCTGGGATGTTGACGGTTCCCTCGGGAATCTACTTCTTCAGGAGGAGGGGAGCGGTGTAGGCGGCGGCGTACGGGGAAGCGTAGGCGGCGGTGTAGGGAGCGGCGTACGAGGCGGTGTAGGCGGCAGTGTAGGGGCGGCATAGGCAGCGGAGTACGGAGACGCCACGTAGGGAGATGCCACATACGGAGACGCCACGTACGGAGAGGCCACGTAGGGGGCGGAGTAGGCCAGAGGAGCCACGATTCCGGGCTTGCCAGCCACGCAGGCAATCAGGGCGAAGAGGGCGACGGCGAAGAACTTGAACATCTTGGGAGGATTGGTTTATTTGGTTTTACTTGTCGGATTGAACAAATGCAACTGATGTCTGAAACTGTACAGAGTCGTGGCTTTTATAGCCCCACAATGCGCCACCGAATGCCTAGCGACCTTGCAAGGTCTCCGGCCGAAAAACTAAATTATGTTGCTTAGGCCGGTCACGTAACATTCGCAGTTGGCTTCAGCGAACGCTTTTAGGTATGAGTTCGAGTACGAGTACTTTGGCTAATTAAATGGTGGGCCAAGAAATACAACTACCAAGCTTAAGTGCCAAGGCTAATTCTGGGCGGTGGTTCGGGTATAAAAAGTCGCGTTCATCCGGCAGTTGTCATCAGTTTCGTTTGTCAGCAAATCAAAACAAGTCAATCCTCCCAAGATGTTCAAGTTCTTCGCCGTCGCCCTCTTCGCTCTGATTGCCTGCGTGGCTGGCAAGCCCGGAATCGTGGCTCCTCTGGCCTACTCCGCTCCTCTGGTGGCTGCTGCTCCGGCGGCTGCTGTCTACAGCCGGGAATACCACGGAAACTTCGCGGCTCCCTACGTGGCATCCCCCTACGTGGCCTCTCCCTATGTGGCTTCTCCCTACGTGGCGTCTCCTTATGTTGCATCTCCCTATGTGGCTGCTCCCTACACCGCTCCTCTGCTCCTGAAGAAGTAGAAAGGACCATCAAGGCTTTACTGGATACAAAAGGACAACCAAAACCGAAATAAAGAAAATAATAAAAGAATTATTGAAATTGAACAAAAGCATTACTTATTTGTTATAAAGTTTAATTTCAGGAACCAAAAAAAAAGAAACTGTTTTGAATGACTTAAAAATGACTTTCTAATCCCAAGCAGCTTAAAAATGATTGTGATCAAAAAAGCAGTTCTAATTTCGATTGGATGTTTTATTTCTACAAGGAAACATTATTATTGTTTTCTCTTCTGATCTCTCTTTTGTTTTTTCAAGGGCTTATATCCCTTAGTTATCAGAACTCAAATGAATACAGGAAGTGAATTTTCTGGTGCAAGTATTTCTCCACTTCCCCGACTGGTACGTTATCAATTTCTTTTCCGCGTTTCGCATTGTGTATCTTCTATATGCATACAAGTCCGTACTTTGTTCATTATTAAAATACAAAAAAATGTATGAAGTTTATTTAAAGATCTTTGGAAGCAAGAACTACATTATAAGTAAATATTACTTCTTATATATATGTTTTATATTTGAGATTTTTTCACTTATTTATTTTACAATCTATGGGAAATATTTTTGTTTTATTGGTTATTAGTTTTTAATTAAATTGTTGAAAATTTTTGAGGCAAACTTTTGTACATTATAAATCATTTTAAACATTTTAGGGATGCTCTTTAAAATTTTGTTGCTGCACTACATCAAACATTAGCCTTAAGGTTTCGTGTTAATACTACATATCTGCACTGCCCAGGGTGAGGTTAGCTTCCATTGTGGCACTGGAGTGGAAGACAATGCTGCTGCGATCGAATCGACCAGTTCGGCGATTTTTCAGGTACCTGAGAGTTACAAGTGCCATCGCGCCCACAAGGATCAGACCTCCAAGGACATAGGCGAAGACCTGCATAAAGGCCAGATGAAGTCCCAGGTTCTTCGAATGGGACACGACTATTTCCAACTGCTTCGACAACTTGTTGATCTGCGACTCCAGAAGGGATTCCTCGGCGGTAAAGGAGGCATTCACCGCCTGTTGGGATTGACTGATGCAGGATACATCTCGGATATGCGGCGTCTCCTCCATATTGGAGTCCGGTTCGATATTCAGCACCACCGATTCGGGCAGCGAAGGCGGAATGAGCAGGTGGTGCAGATAGGAGCAGTTGAAGCTGTTTCTCGAAACTCCCAATTTCTGAAGTTGCGGAAAGGCGTCAGAAAACGTGCGATTTCCTCGCAGCTCAGTCAATCCATTGCCGTCTATTAGGAACTTTTTCAGATTCGTCAAATACGGCACAAACATATCCAGATTGAGGCTGGTCAGGTTGTTAAACGACAGATCCAGTTCCTCCAAGTACTTCTGCTTCGAAAACATTCCAAACATGAGCTCTCGAATGCCAGTTCCTCGCAGATTCAATCCTCTGAGTCTCTTGAGTTGCGAAAAAGTGCTGACATTGAGTGGACCAATGGGATTATCCGACACATCCAGATACAGCATGTAGGTGATATTTGTGATGTTGGATATGCTAGTCAATTTGTTGGCACTTAAATCCAACGTTTCGATATGCAAACTCTGGTGTAAATACAGCTCCGAAATTTGATTATGACTGGCGCGAACAAATCGCGTTGCATTAATGGTCAAACTCGTCAGATTATTATAATCCAAGTGCAGCTGATGAACTATGTTTTTCTCCGCCAACTGGAAGCTTTTCAACTCATTGTATGACAACACCAGATTCTCCAAGCTAGCAGCATCGGCAAAAGTATCCGGATGGATAGAAACCAGATGGTTGTTGCATAAATTCACCTCCTTAATACGCCTCATATTGCGAAATACTTCCGGTTGAACGCTGGTCAGTCGATTGCCCTCGAAGGATACCTTCTCCAAATACTCATTATCCTTGAAAATATCATTGTGCAGCTCCTCCAACAGATTGCCTGTGAGAAATATCTGACTGATGGTCTGCAGGCCACAGAAAGCATTAACACTAAGCGAAGATATCTCATTATAGGACAGATCCAAACGCATCAGGACATTAGCTCCGATGAAAACAGATGTCTGAATGGAGGTCAGATTGTTATAGGCCAGATTCAAGTAGGTCAGATTGCTGGCCGCACTAAACGCATTCCTAGTGAGCTCCAAAATATTCGTATTCGATACGTCCAGGGTCTTCAGATACGGAAACGTTTCGAAGAGATGGAAGGGCATATATAGCAGCGTTGACTCGTAGAACTTCATGAACTTGACCATGTTGCCGGGTGGTATATTTTTGATCACGATATTCTGACTGTGAGTGACCGTGAATCCGGTGACTGTGCAAAAAGCCTCGTTCACGTCCATAAATCCCATGGAATCGTACTCATCGCATCTTAAAGGGACATCTCCTCCATTCGCCCTGCTACCCGTTATCATTAGAATAAGGATAAAAATCGTTTCGAGGATCCTTCGTTTTTTATTCATTTTTTTCACGAACCGCTCGCCGTCAATCAACATTGTAAACTGAAGGCATTGCAATTTCGCAGACTGCACTCCAGCTTCCAATCAATGCATATACTAAATGACTTTATCTGACTCCCCGAAGATTGTGAGCTCTCAGTAGTCCAGCGCCGTTTTAAGATAAAAATTGTCGGTCTGCACTTTGTTTTGTTTTGTTTAAAGTCTTATTATAAGAGATATATTACATATTAACTGAAATGTAAAGTTTGCCAATCTTTTTCTGGGTAAAAATAATCTCAATAAAAGAAAAGAGCTAAGAAACTGGGGGCATATTTCTTGATTAAAATGCATTTAACTTTAAAATTTAAAATAACAAAGATTAAAGATTACATATTAATCTACTAAGAATCTTAAGACGGATTTGTATGACATTGTTAATTGTATGTAATATATTTTATAACAATTAGCGAAAAATAATAATTTAAAATACGGATTATTATTTGTGTCGTAATAGTACTTATGAGCCTTTGAATTGCGGAAGTTTGACTTATGAAACTCAAGTTTGTTTTGATGTTAATCAGCAAACGAAAGTAATATTAGATTGTGTAAAGGGTATTACTGCCTCGCCCTCTGCTCATAACAATGCCTGTTTTAGCCCTTCTATCTGTCTGGTTTCTTTTCCGAATGGCTGGTAAGTTGAGCTTGACGCTTATTAAAGGCTGTCTGCTAACTATAGTCGCACTGATAGCAGTCGACCCCCTCGCAATTGCAACTCTCCACTTAGTTTAATGACCTCCCGATACGAGTGGGCGCGTAACTGTTTTTTTGACCAGTGGGCGAGGATTGAGTCGTTGCATCAGTGAGACAGATTAGATTTTGGCAACAGAGGATCTGGGCGTGGGTTTCGGTTGCATAAAGGAAACATTGCATTCGTGGAACGTAACCCTGAAACAATGCAATAGGAATCGCAATCGCAATCGGATTGGAGCGGGACTTTGCATAGATTGCCGGCCAACTCTTGGCATAAGAGGTTACTCATCGGCAATTAGCTTTGTCTGGTAATATCAATCACATCGGGCTACTGGTTACCTTCGCGGCGACAACGTTTATGGGCCCACAATGCGGACGTGCCCGAAATAATGGATGGGTTTGGGTTTGGACTCAGATTCGGTTTCGGATTCCGATCGACCTCCCCGGACGACGGGCACGTAGCCAAACGGCAAATTGAGGCACTCAAAGGCCGCTCTGCATTCCCATGCAGGCGGTATATAGAATCATTCGCCCGATTACCGTGTGTGCCCAGAAATTCAAGCATCCCCCTAGAGTTCCATGGGGTATAAAAGTTGCATGTCCCAGCGAATCAAGTCATAGTCCAATTTGCTAGCTCAAATCAAACTAAACCAATATGTTCAAGCTGGTAGGTGTTTTGGTTTTCTATACTCTGAGTTCTGAAGAGGATTTAACTGGTTATCTATTTGTTACAGTCCGCCCTCGTTGTCCTGTGCGCCCTGGTGGCCTCCTCTGTGGCTGAGCCTAAGCCCGCCATCCTCGCTGCCGCTCCAGTGGTTGCAGCTGCCCCTGCAGGAGTCGTCACCGCCACCAGTTCGCAGTACGTCGCACGCAACTTCAACGGCGTTGCTGCTGCTCCAGTTGTTGCTGCTGCTTACACCGCTCCAGTTGCCGCCGCATATACCGCTCCTGTTGCTGCCGCTTATACCGCTCCTGTTGCTGCCGCTTATACCGCTCCGGTTGCCGCTGCCTACACCGCTCCAGTGGCCGCTGCCTACTCGGCTTATCCCTATGCCGCCTACCCATACGCCGCTGGCTACACCACTGTTGTGTAAAAAGGATTAACAACGACTCAAAATGGATTTGAAATTGACTAAAAATAGCCCTGACTGGAAATAAAACCTATTCAAACTAAAGCTTAAAACAATATTCTTTTGAGAAAGGGTGGTTGGTCTTCAGAACATTATTAAATTAACAATTATTAATATAGATACAGATAGATAAATTCAAAATTTTTTTATATTCTACCCTCTGCATAAAAGTGCATAAGAAGCTGTATTGTTTTTATACCGAAAAGCCCGAAAAAATCAACTCTAAGTTCGGTTTTTTGATTTAAACCCTTGGGAATAATAATCAAATGATGGAATGTCATACCTCGTTGAATTCGTTATAAAATTTCCTATCGATTGGCATTCACAGCTTAAAAATTTAATTTTAGCCCAATTTTCCCAAAAATAGATGATGTTACCCCTTATAAAAAATGCAAAAATCTTAAAAAAAATAAATTTTTGCAAACCAACTTGAAATCGAATGTTTAGGTTCTCAGCTGCATAAAACATGTATTCATTTCGCTGTGCGTCGTATTTTAGCTAAGTTAAACAAAAATAAAGGTTTTTTATGACCAAAATCCGGCAAAATCTACTTGAGTTTTGTGTTTCTTAATCAAAACCCCGGAAAAAAATGGTCCAATGTTGGAATGTCATACATCGTTGAATTCGTTATTAAATTCCTAATAGACTGGCGTTCACAGCTTAAAAATTTAATTTTTGACCAACTTTCGTGAAAAAACATGAAAACATATAAAAATTTCAAAAATGAAAAAAAAAAATTTTTTTCAAATCCAACTGGAATTAATAGCTTAGGTTCTCAGCTAAGCAAAACGGCCATTTCTTTGGCTTTTTGACGTATTTTGGCTAAGTTATATCAAAAAGTAGTTATTTTTTCTGTCAAAATTCCGGAAAACATGAACACGAGATTAAGTTTTTTAGTACTCCTTTACTTAGGGTATATTTCGAGTGTCATTTTCTATGACAAGATGCATTTCCAAACTATAAAATTCTAAGACTGCCCACTGAAAATGCGGAAATGTCAGATGAGTTGCGTCATAATCCGTTGACAAAATGCAAATGGGAAAATGTTAGATTTCTCAAAATTGCTACAGAGCATTTATCGTAGGAGAATCACGTGTTGGCTATTTAAAATCGCCGACTGAAAGTTGCGTAAACCATGAGTAAATAATTATGCATTTTGTATCTAAAAATATATTTCATTCAAAACCATAAGACAATAACAAGACGAGTAACGGTAACAGGGAAAACAATTCAACAGGAAGGACAACAGTGTCCTTTGACCACTTTGTGGTGAGTGGCAGGAGCGGTCCTCAAGCAGCCACTACCTGGACGGGAATGGAGGCGCTGAAGCGTCCGAATGGCAGCCACGCAGCTGGGTAGAACAAAGGATAATTCGGCGGCGGTGCAGAGCCCACAGGTGGTGGTGGTGGTCCCAGTGGTTGCGGTGGTGCAGCAGCTCCAGCCGCCTGCGGTGGTGGTGCAGCTCGATGGGCAGGCGGCACATCGATCTCCTCGGCAGCATCCTGGATCTGACCCGCCGATGCCAAGTGGATCAGGAGGAGGAGCGCCACCTGAAATGGCCACCGATGGCGAGGCCTCATCATCTTTGAGCAACTGCATCGACTTCTCCGCGGTGAACCGCTTGAGACTTACTAATTTCCTGTACATAGCTGATAAGATCTGATTGCTCAACGTTCTAAAAACGAAATAAACATGTTTTGAGGCACAGAACCCAGCTTTATAAACTTCTGAACTCAACCCGGCAGTTTTTGTAGGTCATTTCCAGACTTAGTCGATCGATGGATCAATATCCAGCAATGTTTAGCATGCAAAACACACCTTCACATTCGATTTGTTTTTCGCTTTTCGTCACGCTTTTAAAAATACCAAATGAAACCAAAAGTGCAAAGCCATAATGCTCAAGATTCTCCTTGGTTGGCTCTGAAATGGACTTGGAACCGATCTGGGGATGGCTTGTGCATACCAATGCCCAGGCATCACCTTCGTTGTTTTGGGGCTTGGAATTTTCACAAGCGATTCTGCTATATATACCCGAGGGCCTGGAGTCTAGGAGATATCAGTCTAGTACTTGAGAACCAACCGTTCACAACCAACCAAAACCAATCAACATGTTCAAATACGTAAGGATCAAAGGATAACTGGATTTTCGGCGATCAAAGGAGTACTTATAATTGTTTTTTTTTTCCAATACTTATAGTTCGCTCTGTGCCTGTTCGCCATCGTGGCTTGTGTGGCTGCCAAGCCGGCGGTGATCGCCGCTCCCCTGGCCTACAGTGCCTACTCCTCGCCCTATGTGGCAGCAGCTCCTTACTCGGCTGCCTACACCGCTGCCTACACTGCCCCCGTGGCAGCCGCCTACTCCGCCTACTCGTATCCCTATGCCTCCGCCTACTCCGCCTACCCCTATGCCGCCTACTACCGTTAAAATTGGAATGATTGAGGACCCGTAAAACCCTGACTGCTCAACCCGACCTGAAAAAATCATCTATTACAACAAGGATACTTCCCTATTAGAAAAGATCTAAACAACTTACTACACCCCAGTGCTATACACCTATGTACATCTACATCCCTGGTATTAGTTGGGCGGATTCTATACTTCACCCACCTCTGCCGACTGCTGAAAGTTAAGTCACGGGAACAGGACACACCAATGTAAAAGGAATACTATTGTTGAAATAAATAATGCATTTTGCGTGAATCGTAATGAATTTATGGATTTTCTTTTAACATTTATTAAACTTTAATGTGGGGTGGCATATATAATCACATACTTTTGGGCTGCATTCACTTGTAATAAGTAAATGTATGAAATACTATTCAAAAAAAAATAAAATGTTATACCACAAATAACTTTTAACAATTTGTTTGGCTATAAAAATACAAGGCTTAACAACTTGACAGGATTATTACTGAACATGATGTATATTTTCAATTCAAGAGAAGGGATTGTAAAATTTCGGTTAACAAATATCATTAATTTATGAACTTAGTTTTAATCATTAGATCAACAAATTATTCGCCAAAATGGAAACAATAGTGCTTGTAGATATAAAAGAAAACCTAAAATATGTTGTTTCTAAATGTTTTATTATATGCATCGTTCAGAATGATTTTAATTTTCATATATAATTCGTTTAGTTCATTTTACCCTCTATCTACACTTAAAAAACATAAAATATCATAGTGCACCTTTAGTTGCCATTATTCTAAATCACTATTTGACCAATTAAAATAGAAAACAAAAGGAAACTGCGCTGTTAGTCGTGATGGCCGTGTTTACACAAGAATACACTAGAAGGGTCAACTAGTCTGCAGGTTTATTGAACCCACAAGCCCTTGATCTGTTGTTTACGATTCCCCGCCTCGGTTGTCCTCCACCTTCACCCAGAGGTTCAACTCGGTGACGTCCTTCGATACTGGATAAACCGCTTCTATTTTTATTTGCATCCCCGATTAGAATGCAAAGCGGCGCTTTCGAGTGGCTGACAATTGAAACGTTAAGAGTGAGCCGAACTCCGAAGATGGCCAAGACGGTTGGGATGGCACGCACGTCGGTAGTCCACAAAACGCATTGAGTGTTAAATTATGATAATTCAATCCGCAACAGGCAGCTGCTGACGCCAGTCGCGGAAATGCTCGAGTAGGGGAGGAATAAAAACATTTATTGAAAATAAATTCACCAGAAATTCCTACTATCTGCAGGCATTCCAAACTCTGATCTGCTAATTTTAAGTGTGCTAGTAAAACTGACAAAATGTTTGGCCCTGATTTTAACCTGGTACGTGATGGAAATGTTTTAAACTTTGTGGGTTTTTTCTTTGAGTTTTAACTGGGCTTTGTCAAGGATAAAATGGGCATTTGACTATATAAACCACTTCAAACCCAACCAAAGACATCAATCAGAAGTCTAACTTCCAAGTTAACACAACCAACCAAAGCAAAATGATGAAATTCGTAAGTGGAAATATATTTAATATAAGGATTATTAATAAAATCAGGATCAAGTGCTGATATGTGAATACTAAATGAAACGAAGGTTCATTGAAAGATAAGAAAATATCATTCAATAAGCCTTTTATATTTGAATTACAAGTTGAACAACAAATTCTTTAAAACTTATTTTAATAATATTTTATGTTTTAGAAATTTATTTTGTATATTTACTTTAATTTACAATTTGTGCAAATATTATCCTTTAGTTCGCCGTCGTCCTGTGCGCTCTGTTCGCCGCCGCTGCTGCCAATCCAGGTTTGTTGGCCTACAACGCCCCCCTGGCCTACTCCACCCCCCTGGCCTACAGCTCGGTGCCAGCTGCCGCCCCCCTCGCCTACACCGCCGCCTACACCTCCGCCTACGCCCCCTACGTCGCCCCCTACGCCAGCAGCTACAGTGCCCACAGCGTGGCCCACAGCGCCGCCTTCCCCGCCGTTTATGCCGCCGCCCCCGTGGCCACCATCCTGAAGAAGTGAGAGGTCCTGGCAGCCGAAGGGATTCCGCAAGGATGTGACGCGTGTCCCCAGACATCGTCACTGTCGCAGATTCAGATACAAATGGAGATGGAGATACACGCTCGCAGGCAAACACAAATAAAAACGCAATGCATCAGGCCCACGCACTGACCGACTGAGAAATGAAACGAGTCTTATTCTTTCCGTTTGAAATTAATCTTACAGTGGGAAGTGGGAATTGCTTGCCATGGAAACCATTTGTTCCAGCTCACTATATTCATCGGAAACTTAAGATAAATCTATTTTGGAAAGACACCTGGAAAGGCTTAGCTACGATGTAAAATATATATTTAGTTTTATTTGTAACTTTAAGTAGAGAACGTCAAAGGATCTAGCTAAATTACAGTCAATCCTTATAGAATATGGAAGTTATTTAACGACAAATTAGTCGTAAATTATAAATGATGCAAATTGTTTTTTGATTACATTTTGAAAATTCTAGTTTAAGAACATATTAGTTTGGTGCCACGAATATTAGGTGTTGAATGATTTAATTTTTCTATTTCAAATCTATTTCTGTTTAACTTTAAACGGTTAGATTATGATTATCCGTGATAATATTTTTGTGTAATATAACTTTCCTTTAGAAACTTATGCGTACGATTTAAACCACTATTCTTTTAAAATTGTTGTCGTATGACAGAGTGCCCTTAGAGTGTTTTCAACTCTATCCTGTTTGTGTGCTTATTCCGGTTCATCGACATTTTGCCACGTTCCTCGAGGTAATCCTTGAGCTTTGTTTACGCAGTTCGAACCCCTTTACTACTGTGGCCCTTCATAGTTCATATGGCCAGCTGGCGGCATTGTTTATCATGTTGATTACAAGTTGCGTGTGTCCGGGCTTAGAGGTCGTTGGCTGGCACTGCCACTGCGAATATTGCACTCAATTAAAAGGCGCCGCTTAAATTGCATTTTGCTAATCACAAACAATCAATAAGCTAAGCGAAGCCACGCCTCAAATCAACCCGCCTTGCAAACTTTGGCATTAATTATAGGCGGCGTGCAACCGACAAAGTATGAAAATCAAATCAACAGAACGACATTTAGCTAAAAACTAAACTTTGCAAATTAATTCAAGTCTTTGAGTCGCTGATTTGATTTTCACTTCGATGTTTTCAACGCCTTTGTCACGCCCTGCACGTGTAGTTGCACTTCTTGGAACTAATTTACTTGTTTGTGGCTGCAGTCAGAAAATTAAATTCAAATTTTAGCGCTGCCTTTTGTCTCGATCGTCACGCCCCATTAATAAGGTGCCCCTCGCGAAACTCGTGGTGATTTATAATTGCCGAAGCCCCAGAAATTGCTCTTAAACGTTCCGTTTCCCAGGCTACTCTGCAAATGGCTTGCTTAAAGTGGGCTTAAATGGATATTGCTATTAAAATAGTTTTGATTCTGGAAAGTATCTGAAAATGTTATATATTTTATTTGTTTGTGGAATATAATAAGTGTGTTTATAAGTTAAAATAAGTAGCAATCTCATCGCTACCTATTTCAAAAGGACTGATAGTGTTCCCCAAATAAATTGTTTATAAACAAACATATGTAATAGGTACCCCTTTTTACAATTAAATATAAAGTCCCACCTACCTCCAATTAGCCTTACGCATATCCACTTTATAAACAAGGAGACTTCTAGGCCCATATGCTATAATTACCCCCCGCTGTTCGAGCGATTACAACAATCTTGTCTAATTGACAGTTGTACACTGTCATTCGAGAGCATTGAAACGATAATGGCGAGTCTGCGGCGATTAGAACTTGCTGCGATCAATTTGCGGAGACATCAATAAAAAACCCGATCCGTGAGCGCTCGCATTTCAACTCGGGTGCCCAATAAATTGCATTTTGATTTAATCGCTGTGTTGCACAAGTGCCACAAAATTAATTGCCAGCGATTTTTCGCACCGTGTAGATAGCAGCCAGCCACTAACTGTGAGTCGAGCCGGATCTCAGGAGGCTCTTAATTGAAATGCTTGGCGAGTTTGATTTACAACCGAAAATCGCAAATCGGGTGGAGAACTTCGGCTAGTCCAGTCGCCAGCGCCCACACGGCGTATGCGTATGCAAATCCCCTCCAAAGTTACGCATTGGAATTGGGAACCTGGCCCCTCCCCCCTGGTCATCCCCTTTCACCCCTCTGAGCACCCTGTTGTTGTCACCAGCTTTTTGCCTTTCCATTTGCCTGCAGGCTTTTCTGGACGAGGCTAAGCCTTCTGCTTAACCCTTATGGGACTCGTGTGGCCGATTTCACAATACAAAGTGATTTAGGGTTTACTTTAAAAATTGTATTTCGTTTCATTGCTGACAACAATTTATAAGTGTAAATTAAATAAAGTAGGTAAACCATAATTATTCAAATTAGTTTTGGTTGATCTTAGGCAAATATGGTAACAGGTTTAGGTATATGTAGTAAAGACCTATTTTATGTAATTAAATCGGGATAACTAGCAAAAACCAAGTTGAATATTTTATATATATTCTTTTTAAAATAATTTGTTGTGCTTTTGAAAATTAAATATCGAAGTCTAGAGTTCAATTGTTTTATTTTGCTTAATTTGGTTGGGAGTTCAGAAATCTTCTTCTTAATGTAGAAAATATTGTTTACTATCAAACATATGTACATATTTAATTGAGTTTAATTTAACTTGACCATAAAGGGTTAACTTTACGCATGCATTCGTGGGTACGACAATCGCCTGCAGGGCGGGGATTTCAACAAGTGCTGGAGTCTCCGGTCCACTTCACCTCCTTTACCCCCTTTACCCCCTTCCAAAACCACGCCCCTTTCATAAGTGTTAAGTGCTTTGGGCTTGCGTAAAACGCTGTCTGCAAATTATGAATAGAGTGGGTCGCCGGCAATTAACTGGCAGCCGCAGTTCCTTCGGCATTGTTGCGGCTGTCGCATGAGTTATGGGTGCACCAGATCATAAGTTACCTCCGCCAGAGGCGTAGTTTATCCCAGGATCCCCGCCCGCTCGACAAATAACGACCTTGCCCACGCCCCTGCCTGCGATCGGTTATTGTTCTAATCGCACATGTGCCGCATTGGCTTTGCCCCACATAAAACGATCTCGAGGCGGATCTGGTTTGACTTCGGTTTTACGCACAGGTGTGTACCTGCCACGCCCCATTCATCGCCGGTCTGTGTTGTAATTAAGACTTCGGCTCTGAATGCTCAAGCATTTACTGCAAAAATTTCTACCAGCATAATAGGCACACGCATTCGCAGCGACTCATTTAAATGATTTTAAACGGCGGAATGAGCGAAACTTGTTGCCTGCTCGAAAATAAATGCATACAAGAACCGAAAAAGGCAAGATACAAAATGCAATTTAAGTTTTTCTCACACACACCTTGTCGCGGCTTCGGCATAAGGTAAATAGACCAAAACAAATTTATCAGAAACTATTCAAAATCAAAACATAAGTAATTAATGATCGCAATGGAAATACACTTTTAATAGATTTATTTTGAAATAATACGGGCATCAAATAAAATTGGTTTATAATTAAGGATCTTCTCATGAGTTGTTGATTTAGGAGATCAGGTCTAATTGTCAAATATATCAGAAATAATCAAATGATCACCTAATAAATTAGACTGTGTAAAGATACCCTTACGGAGTTTATGCGGTTTTTTAATAGTAAGACATTGTTTCTATGAAATTTTAACTTAATATATCGTATATTATATATATAAGTAAATAAAAGGTATAATAGGTATTCTAAATTTGATTAGGTAATAATTCATTATTCGTAATGAACAACTAAGATCAATGTTATGGTTGTGGTATATGTTCTTACAAGAATATTACTGATAAGCTGAGTTCTAGTTCGGCGATCACATACATAATTGATACTAAGAATCGAGTTTTAGCAGATAATAATATCTCTATATATTTGGCCTAAAGATCATTTAGTAAGAGTTAAGTAAGTTTTAACTGACATTTGAGGTTATTTAGTTTTACTGGGTTCTCAGTATCGTAGGAATACCGGTGACTTTCCTGCTCCTTGATAAATCTTGCAGCACCCACCGAAAGGGTATGTCGAAATCTCAGCCCAGGCAAACATCCGCGTTGCACAAGGCGGGGCAGGAGGGGCAGGGAGGGACCGGGAGGGGCAGGGCGGTTCTGTGGCGGCTCCCAGGCCCAGGTCTCTATCGCCACCCGACTATCTCGATACCCGACCGGCCAGCTTTGCATGCGGCTCTCTTGGACGCAGTTTTGGGCCGTGTCTCTCCGTCGAACAAAAGTAAAAGTCTCTGGGTCTCCAGCTTGGATCCGTTCTCGTGCAGCATTTTGGCCAGGTCTTTGGGCTATAAAAGCATTTGTGCCTTAGACAGCGGCATTATTCAACATTGTGTTCTTGCCACGAGTTCAACTTGCACCAAAAACCCAATATGTTCAAATACGTGAGTGGAATCGAAGTCCTTTAGAGATAGTTCTTTTTAACTATATCCCCTTTATTCGAAATAGTTTGTTTTTGCCGCCTTCTGCCTGGCCAGTGCTGCTGCTGCTCCTGGATATCTGGGTGGACTGGCTGGTCCGGCCTTGCCGCTGGCTGCAGCTGCTCCGGCGATCTCGTATGGACACGCCTTGACCGCTCCATCCATCGCCTCTTATGGATTGGCCCCCAGGATTAGCTATGCCTCGCCTGCCTTGGCGCACGCTCCATTGGCTGCTCCGGCCTACGGATTGGGTTATGGTCATGGTTCCTTGGGCCTGGCTCACGGTTCCCTGGGTCTGGCCCATGCTCCCTTGAGTCTGGCTCATGGTTCCTTGGGCCTGGCTCATGGCTCCCTCGGTCTGGCCCATGCTCCTCTGGCTGCTCCCCTGGGATTGGGCTACAAGTCGGCCTATCCCGCTCTGGCTGCTCCTGGCTATGGACTTGCTCATGGTTGGTAAGGGGAGTCCATCCTGTACCACATCGTTTTCTGCATGCTTTCGTTTCGTTTGGATCGGAGAGAGGAGAAGGAAAATACACAGAGAGAAAAAGAGAGATAGAGAGAGAAAATAGCGGAGCTTTTGTGAAACTAAATTAAACTATCAAAGGTGTGAAAAAGTGGGTTAGTGTTGAAATATATTTCGTTTGAATAAAAAAACAAGTTGTATTTATTGTTAAAAGTATGGGACATATTTATATTTGTATCTATAAGGGAAATCATATTTTTAAATTCTTAAAAACCGAACTCATTAAAATATTGCATCGAATTAAATTTTAAATAATTTTATGGCTATGTTTTTTACTTTTTTATCTTGTTAGGTTACAATATTTGTTGTAACTTTGCGATTTTGATTGAAAAATATAGCTAAGCCCATAAATATTTAAATTAACAACCCATGACCATTGAAACTAGTTTTTTATACAGTGTTGCTTTGTCTTTATTGATTTATTGACTTGCTGAGTGATTGACTGATTAAGGCTATCGTTATGTTTTGGGTACTGCGAAGTAAATGACTCGATTGAAAACTCTCACATGTTGCACGCTCGCCTTGGCTCCACTTGGCTTGACTTCACTTGACCTGGCAGAACTGAATCTCTACCAGCCATGGCCATAGCCGTAACCCAGTCCGTATCCCAAGCCATGTCCTCCATAGAGTCCATGTCCGTAGCCTCCCAGATATCCATGCCCCAGGCCGTAACCATAGCCACCGCCGATGATCGTCTTGGAGATGATGGGTGCATGGTAGCCTAATCCCAGTCCTCCAAAGTGTCCACCGTAATGGCCGCCATAGTGACCTCCATAGTGCCCGATTCCTAGACCCAATCCCAGGCCATATCCACCGTAGCCATGACCTATGCCAAGTCCAATGCTGGGTGACGGAGCGGGAGCAGGAGCTGGTTCTGGTGAAGGATCTGGAGCAGGAGCTGCCAGGCTGCAGGTCGTTAGGCAGAGGACAGTCACAAGTATCAGCTGGAAATAAAAAAATTATATATTAGCTGTTTTAAGAAAAATGCCCAATCAATTTTCCATCATTAGGATCTTATAAGAAGTAATTATTAACTGAATATCCTTGTATTATCCTTGCTTATATATATCTTTCCAATAAATGATTAACTCTCTGAAGAGTTTAAGTAATCCTTTTAGGATATCCTTTTACTACTTACTCCTTTATACATTTCGATGGTGGTAATTTTCCGGCTGCTGCTGCAGATGCTGAACCAAAAGTGTCACTGCAGTTGATCCCAGCCCGGCTCTTTTATACCAACGCCCAGTGCATTGGATTGCATCCCCACATGGACATCGATGACTTAATGAACAGTGCCACAATGTAAGTCTAATTTGATAAAAATGTTGCCCAAGTCAGCGGCATGCCACAAAACCATCCTTAGCTGCTGTAAATAAAACCAAATTCCAACACCTGTTTTTCGCCTTTTGGGCCTCTATTGTATAACCTGCAATCGAGTTTGGCATTTACCAGTCCACAATGGTTCCAGTTCCAGTTTTTTGCCTGGCCTGCGGGCAGTTTAAGCCTTGTGGGTGGCCTTTCCATAGATTCATTCATGTGACTCCGATCAGATCATATGATTAGATTGAGAACCTGGGGTCAATGGGCTTTAGATGTTTGGTGAGGAGTGAGATGAAAAAACAAACTTGATTTTTACGAGACTCTTAAAAGGTAAAATCCAAATATATATAAATTAAAATGTATAACTTAACTTTAATGAAATTAATTTAATTTGGAAATATACACATTTGGAAAAATACATTGCAAGCCATTTCCACTTAAACTATTTTATGTAAATCTTCAGTTAATGAATAAACACCATTAAACCACCTTCTATATAGGGTATGCCCTAGTATGAAGCTTAAAACAACGATTATAACAGCTTAAGCATAAAGAGCACCAGTCGCCGCCGCATAAAGTCAAACTAATCAATTCTTAACACCTCCAAAATGAACATAAAATAGCATGAAAAACACAAGATTGGGCAATGATTAAATTTGTGGAAAAAAAAGACATCAAAACGGGGAAACAAAGGCAAATGCGAAGACGTGCGACCAACTAACTCAAAACCCATAAGCAAACAAAAACAGAGAAATGTAAGACAACAAAAACCAACGATGGGCCATAATTAAGTGCACAAAAGAGTCACTGACTCTTTGACAATCTTCGGCGTAGACGCTTTAAACTTGAACTTGAAAACGGGTTTTTCGAAGAGAAGGGGACAAAAGGCCAAGTGGAGTAGTGCTCCCACTATATAGATGTTGCAACAGGTTCCCGGTGTCGAAGGAAATGCAGTTGGGGATCTCAGGGGATTGTCAACCAACCGGTTCCTAACTGTTTTAAAGAGGATTGAAAATCCAGCGATGAAGACGAGCCTATAAATTGATTGGCCTTCGGGTGAATTCAGTTTAGTTGAAGTGCAGTTCCAGCCAGAATCTCACCAGAGAATGCTCAAGGTAAACAGGGTTAATTCTTACTAAATTCTTGGTTTCCATTGGTAATACTATCTTTCCATCGTTCTGTAGCTTTTCGTGTTTTTCGCCCTACTGAGTGGAGGTTTGACTGCCACAGTCATTTACCATCACCCGGTGATCTACCATCATCCCCTGCCGGTTGCCTCCGCTCGCCAGGAGTTGGATCAACATCCTGGCTACACCATTGTGGCACCTCTCACCAAGATTGCCCACGTCACCTACGATTCCGTGCCCATTTCGCACACGCCCTACGAGCATGTTCCACTTTTCCAGCGAATTGGTCATGTCAAGAATAAGAGGTTTTAACACGGAATAAAATGTATAATATATATGAAATATATTTAAAATATAATTAAACGTATTTCTATTAAGATTAAAAAATGAACTTTTAATTAATATAAGTTAGATACTATCTTTTTACCGGAAAAGCGATATTAAAGTATGTTATAACAACTGTTTATAGGAAATTTTTCACATACCATTAAAATCTACAAACCGTTAAATGTCGTTGATCTGTCAAAGCATTAATCATTTGAAACATGATTTTAGGAGGTATAACCCAAGGTAGCTATGATAGGAAATATCACCGAAAACTATCAAATAAATCGCCCCAAGAAAAGACTTGATATTATATTGATTAATGTTTTAATTTTTTATTCGCCAAGCATTGCTGCGCTCTAGGTATGAAGATTTGGGCTAAGTTCTACAAGCTAATAGGACGGATGGGAGTGAGCTGGGTGAACCTGTGATCCTTAGATGCCTAGAAGAAGTACGGGGCGGGGGCGAACTTGGGGGCCACAGCCAGGGGCGCGGGAAGTGGAGCAGCCAGGGGAGCGGCGAAGGGTCCGAATCCAAACTTGGCGGGAGCGGCGAAGGCCACTGGCGCCGGAGCTGGGGGGAATCCAAGGGGAGCTGGGGCGGCGGCGTAGGCGGGCAGACCGAATCCAACCTTGGCGGGAGCAGCAAAGGCCACCGGAGCAGGAGCAGCCACTGGCAGAGGAGCGGAAACGGGAGCAGCGAAGGACACTGGAGCGGGAGCAGGTGCAGCGAAGGCCACTGGAGCAGGAGCAGGAGCAGCAAAGGCTACTGGAGCAGGAGCAGGAGCAGCAAAAGCAACTGGAGCAGGAGCAGCCACTGGCAGAGGAGCGGGAACTGGAGCGGCAAAGGCCACCGGAGCTGGAGCAGGAGCCACTGGGTAGGCCACGGCGTGGTTGATGCGATGGGCATTGAAGCTGGAGGCATAGGGAGCCACCACTCCGGCAGTGGCCACAGGAGCAGCCACTGGAGCAGCCAGAGGAGCAGCCAAAGGAGCAGCCAGAGGTGCAGCCAAAGGAGCAGCAAATGGAGCAGCGAAGGGGGTTCTAAGAGGAGCGGCTAGGGCAGCAGGAGCATGGAAGGGCAGGAGACCAGCCTGGGCAGAGGCCACGCAGAGGGCAACGAGCTGCAATAAAATGATTAAAAACCAATTAGAAATACCCCTCGAAAGCAACCGAGATCCTGCCAAACTCACCACAATCTTGGCGAACATATTGCTTGGATTAGGGATGGTCAACTGGGTGTGATTAGCTTGAGGGCAGACTGAACTGTGATATCAAACTGGCCACTGGCCAATGCTTTTATAATTCTGTAGCCCACGGATTATCCGTGGACAAGCATACGAAAACACCTTGGAAGACTTTCTATATTGGGCGTCGGATGAAGGGCGTTGCTGGATCGGGCCGATATACCATATGTACTTAATAATCAATTGGTCGCCTCTTACGTCGATCGCCCCCGAAAACTTTCATAATTGCACGCGATTTCCGACCATAACCTAGGTTAATATTGGGCAAGATTTCGTTGGGTTCGCTTTATGACAGTTTCGGGTTTCAGATATGTATTTTTGTTTTTTTTTTTTTTTTTTTGTGTGGGTGGTGCGACGAAATGAGCTGCAATTATTTACCCAAAATACGTGTTTCCCTGCCGCCTTATGACTAAATCATTTAATTGAATTACCACTTTTGTTTTTTTTTTTTTTTTGTTACAACAATTGTCGCGTGTTTGGGCCGGGTTTGTGTCTGGAATTTCGGATTTGATTTCTTGTTGCGTGCAGTTGGAAATTCACTAGCAACATTTTGTGACGCCCGCAAGTGTATGTGTGTTACCAATTGTCTGTATGTAAGTGTTAGCCGAATAACTGAAACCCCATTTGGCGACATTACGACGCGTCTGGTTCGTAATGAGAGTCTGAATCAGATATCAGTTATGTTTCTTTTGCCTAATTTGTACTGTGCCTAAGATTTTATCATACGTAGTCACATTCTTTGCGTTTTTTCTATTTTTGGTACGAATTGGTAAGAATGTTTTGTGCAATATCTAGACATTTTCAGACATTTAACATGATTGGGTTTTTAGAATTCGATTAATTTAATTTAACTATTTATCTTATCCCATTTATAAGAAAACCATAAATACTTTTAAAATTCGTTTTATTTTACTATAATTATTTGATAAATTATTGTAATTAGCAGGTATACTTGTAGATTAACATTTACTAGCTGACTTTGATGACTCTTTGGTGAGGCTTCCATCATCCTAATGGTATTCATCCTTGTCCTAGAACAACGAGTGGTGATGGTGGTGGGCTAACTTCAGGGGCAGGGCTTTCAGGTGGGCGTGTGGTGCGGCCAGCAGTTTGGGGAATGCATACCCGATGGACACGCGGTGGGTGGTGGTTTTGGGTCCGGGGATGGCTCTATAGGTGGGTGCAAAGGGCACCGCCTCCAAGATGGGTGGCAGTACTTGGTGGGTGACACTGGGCACATGGAACTCTGGCAGAAGTGGTGCAGCAGCGGGTAGGAAGGAGGGACCAGTTGCTGGTAAAAGAGGAGCAGGAGCTGGTAAAAGCTGTGGAGCGGGTAAAAATGGTGCCGAGGCGGGCAAAAGGGGTGCAGGAGCGGGTAAAAGTGGTGCAGGAGCGGGTAAAAGAGGAGCAGGAGAATATACAGGTGGTGCTGGTGCCAATACAGGAGCCGGTGGTCCATAAACTGGTGGTGCAGGACCATAGACTGGAGGAGCAGGAGCAAATGCAGGTGGTGGTGCCACCGCAGGAAGCAAAGGAGCCGGCGGAGGAAGAACTGATTCCTGCACTGCGTAATCCAAGTGGTGTGGCAGAGCATGTAGAGAATCCAGATGATGCCCATCAAAGTGGTTCACATGATGAGGATCAAAGTGATTCACATGATGAGGATCAAAGTGGTTGAAGTGATGATTGAAGAATTGTGAGGGCTTGGCCTCACCACCCACCAAAAGGAAAGCCAAGGCAAAGGCCTAAAGAAAACAGATAAATAAATAAATCAAACTCCAAATAATAGATTTCCTTAAATCCTCTCACCCATGTCAGTTGCCACATCTTGCTTGGGGGATTTGTGGTTTTGGTTTCTTTGGGGGATTTGCTTCTCGATCGATGTGCTCGACCTGTTGGTTCGGCTGTTAATGTGATTCCATTGTCAAGATCCATTAATATTTATAGGGGAATCGAGAGGGTCTTTATTCAAAAGACTTGCACTTGCATTTCTTCACTTTCGCGCCGACTTGGCCCACTCAACCTAATGGGTTGGTTCGCTTCGAGGTGAGGTAACCCAATCCGCTTTAGTTGGTCAGCAAGTCGTGACTGCGAATGCCATCGATCGAGGGGCCAATAACTTCTTGGGCGATTCGAAAGCACGGCCCAAGATTATATAACATGGGGCCAAACCAAGCCCAGGCATTGACAGTTCCCCATAAGTGGAATATGATTATGATAACCCATAAATATTGCTTTGACCATAAATAACAATCGATTTTGCGCCTAAGGTGGCAACACAATCACAGCAAAAAGTGTTTACAAACTGATCAACTTCTGTGGCTTGAACTTCCCTAAAACCAATTTATATTGTCGTTTATTTAAAGTTCAAGAAATTTAGCTGTAAGTCTTGGTTCGTCCAAAATATGATTAAATCTTTATAAATTAATGTTTTCACAGTGCGCGAGTAAGCGAGTAAGTATAAAATGCCCAATCGATTGGCATTCGCAACTGAAAAATTTCCCGAAAAAATCAACTCTTGATTCGGTTTTTTTTATCAAAACCATGGAAAATAATGGCCAAATGTGTGAATATGATGCCGCAATCATTGGCATTCTTATCTGAAAAATATTATTTCTATATATTTTGGCAAAAACTCATAAAAAATGCAAAAATTAAGAAAACATTTTTGTTTTTATCATTCTGAAAGGGATAGAATGTGTCGTCAGCTGTGAAACACAGTACGCCGCTTAGTTGTGGGCCTTCATTTGGCCATTTTTCAAGGAAAAATAACACAATAAATAGTATCTTTGATTTTTGATCCTATTACTCCTCATTTTGGACTTTAAAAACATTGTATGTTGGCCTTAGCAATGCAAATAATGGAGAGTCATACATCGTTGAGCTCGTTGAGCTCGTTTCCCAATTAACTGGCATTCAAGAAAAAAATTTTTTTTTTTTTTGGAAATTTTGCAAAAGTTAACGAGGGTAGCAAAAGTTAAGGGGTAACACCTTATAAAAAATTAGAAAATTGGCAACAAAATTTTTTTTGTCTAAAACGTCCGGAAAGATTTGTTAATCGATTACCCAGTCTGTCAGCGGATTAAAATAGTGTATATTTTGCATGTGTCACTATTTTTGGACAAGTTACACGATTTTTAGTTAATTTGGAAGACTCTTTAATCTACGATACATAATAATAATTATGAGACCATTACCAATTGTAACTGCTTTATTACTAAAACCTGTTTACCCGATAGAAATAATACACACTGTATGATTAGTTATTTGATGGTTGTTTAATTTCAAGTTTGTTTACAAAATTTGTCTATAGTTTGGCTTGTTAGGCTATTGTGTCCTTAGACCACCACTGGAGCTGGGGCAGCGGCGGCAAAGGGGGCGGCGTAGGGAGCAGCGTAGGGGGCAGCGTAGGGAGAGGCCAGGTAAGGAGCGGAGTAGGGAGAGGCGTAGGGGTAGGCGGAGTAGGCGGCGGCGGCATAAGGAGTGGTGTAAGGAGCAGCAGCCAGAGGAGCAGCCAGAGGAGCGGCCACAGGAGCAGCGAGAGGAGCAGCCAGAGGAGCAGCCAGAGGAGCAGAGTAAGCAGCGGCCAGAGGAGCAGCAGCGTACTTGGCCACTACGGCGGGAGCAGCTGGGATGCCGGACACATAGCGGCTGGAGTAGGGGGCGGTGAACTCGAAGGGGGCGGTGGTGTAGGAGGACAGGGTGCCGTCGTAGTTGTTGCGGACATCCACCTGGCTGCTGCCACCGGCGGCGTACAGAGGAGCATTGGCGTAGGCCAGAGGAGCAGCCAGTGGGGCAACCACTCCTGGCTTGGCCGCAGAGCAGGCAATGAGGGCAGCGAGAACCAACTGGAAAATAGGTAAAATATCATTAACTTAATCCTGCTTTTTTTTGGTAGTAGTAGTCCCTCAGTTCAACTTACAAACTTGTACATTTTGCTGGTGAGTTGGGTTTGTCTAAAGCTCTTGAGCGATAATGTTCATTTAGAGCCAGCTCAGTAGCTTATATAGCTCGTGCCCATATCCGTGCTCTTTGGGGGACATTCTGTCTGAGCCGACTTTTGGTCGCTTCTTTTGCTGGCCCACCTGGTCGAGTGCCAAGTAGCATACATGATCGCCATTTGGCCAAGACGTGCTCCGCCTTCAATTGCCCAATGTATTGTCGGAAGTCGTCCGAGTTGTCACTCAGATATTTAACTGCACTACAAAAAAATGGTAATTTTTTATAATACTACTCCCAGACATATTTTAATACACAAATTCCAAGCTACAATCATATTTGTTTTTCCCAGCACTACTTAAATTATATCAATAAATTAAGGAATACAGAAACTAACATTAGAAATCATATTAAATAAATAAATAATTATTTTTTCGAGTGGAGTGATCCACATTTGTATGCAGCTGAAGACCCCCTCGGTGGTTGGGCCGTCTTGACGTAATTTGCAGTCTGTTTGGGCCATCAATGTGCGCCGCCTTGCATTGAATTGGCCGCAATCTAAGCCAAATTGGCTATAAAAATCGCCACCCCCCTTTAGGCCACAAGTCCGCACCACTAAATGTCTCATTAGTTCACTTTTTAATGGTTCGCAGAGCCGCCAATAAAAGGCGGTCGTAAATTTGCCTCTCATCCTTGCCGCCGGAGCTCCGTTTGTTTTCGTGTTGGCCTGACCTTGGCGCCATCTGGCCGCAGGATGTGATGTGGATGTAGCTGCCTCATCCACTGGCCTGGCTCAATCACTTCGAGGTGGTTTAATTGGCCAACGAGACGAGGGTGAGGGGTGTGAGGGATCAAGCAGCCGAAACCGGCTTGCGGACTTAATGAGCCATCGCATTTGACTCGGTCACGTGCTGGCCTGGTCAGCAGCATCGTCGTCATCTGATGTGGATGATCTGCCATTGCATTGTTGTGCTCTTCACGATTGGGGGTATTTTTCCTATATACCAAAGCTTACACCTCTTAAGGAAATGCCACACAAAAATATAGTCTCAGGGATTCAATTCAGATATGTTTTTATTTGTACAGTAAAAGTCTTAATGATTTCGTATCGAACTTACTTTATCTTATCCCACTCGTATAAAGTTTATTATAACTCACTCAATTATATAAAATAACTCTTTATAAAAGTCAGTTTTTTGCTATTTCAAATATTTATAAGGGGCGTTTTCGGAAGAGAATTCCAAATATTTATTGCAGATTAATGATAGTTATTTGTCTCTTAAGATTGGTCTCTTGTGTTTATAATGAGTTAATTATAAGTGCGATTTATTTATGAGCGATGCTGTTTTTTAATCAACGCATATATTAACATATGTTCATGAGATAAAATTATAGATTAAATGAAATCTGAATTATTCAATTTCTAACGTTTTTTCAAAGTTTGGTTCGTTTAACTTCCACAGCTTAAATTGTTCTTATGCATAGTATTAACATTTATTAAAGTTTTAAGACGAAAGTCTCAAATACAATTATCTATGAAATAAACTTAATTTTTCACTGTTCATATAAGTATGATAACATACAATATGGGCCGTACCATTGTATCTTATGTAATTTTTCTTCATTTTTTTTATTTTAGTGTAATAAATAAAATTCCACTTGGACAGAGCATATTTTTATTCGATATTCCATCACTGCTTCTGGAATCCAATCCCATGATGACGCCGATCTCAAGGCTGTGACGATGACGAGTCGAGAGGGCCAGATATATATATATATATATTTATAGTTGACCCACGCATGTAACTGTATACTGTATGTGGTATTCTGTATCCGCATTGCCGCCACTTCTGATCTGAGTGATCCAATCTTGGCAGACATCACAACCACAGGTGGTACAATCTGAATCCGAGGCTGACCTCTCACTTGTTAAGACAATTTCTGGACTGGAATTCTTGACTGGTGACGCTTTGATTTTCCAGTGAGTCAAGCACGGAAATATATGGTTACCCATCTTCATCATAGCCATAGCCATCACCATCACCATCACCTTCTTGTCTTCAGCACTCCACTTCACAGCGGTGCGAACCGCTCACTTCCTAGTTAACCTTTTTAATTGGATTGCAAGCTGATTTAGAGCCCCCTCAGATGCTCCATCCCTCTTAAGAATTATTTGGCTGTCGTCAGTACCGTTTGTTTTAATGGATTTTCGAAATCCAAATTTATGCAGATCACATTCTAATTCCTGTTTTTGTTTTCGTGGGAAAGCAGGTTCTATCCCCCCTGCAATAAATATATTTATGAATATAAGCAAATCCCAGTTCCGTTCCCAGATCTGATCAATGACACTTGACTTTAATTGGCTTTCATAAATATACGTCAAAACTTAGTCGGTCGCTTGATTTCTTTTGTTTTCACAGCCATTTCCAATGCCAAGTTTAAGGTCTCATTATGAGGAGCGGATGATGGAGATCTCTTGGCCCGATTTGTGTGTATGTTAATGCCTACCATTAAACCATCGGAGGAGAGTGAAAGGTGTAAACCCAATGGACGAAGACCCTTTTTTTTCGTTTGTGTTTATGTCTGCTGCTCAACCTTCAAAACATTATGCAAATGCAGTCTCCATCGATGGCAATGAGACTAAAAATGGCCAATAAAAAGACACTCAACCAAAAGACTAAGCTTAGATGGCAAGTTTATTATCAATGTATGTGTATATTCACTAAGAGGAGAAGTCATCGCAGTTTGATGATCAGTCGGGATGGCTCTGGCTCTGCTATTAAACTTATTATTATTCTAGGAATGTATCAACGCCTCTGTATCTGCGGTGTGCCATAGGAAGTGAGGCCTGTAGTCCGGGGCACACTGGCATAGGGGGCACCAGCCTGCAGCGGCAGTTGTGCCACATTCAGTGGTGCAATGCCAAAGGGCACGGGCAACTTGAGGTTCAGCGAGTTGGCATCCACGGCGGAGGCGATGGAGCGACCAGTGACCGATCCGGAAGACCTGGCCACCTGCTGCGATGGAGCCACCTGAAGTGACGACGAGGGTGCTCCAAACACATAACCCTGACTGGTCAAGGCCTGGGTGAAGGCAGCCTGCTCCAGAGCGGGTTCAGCAAACTGTGTAGCCACATGGGGATACTGCTGCTGCTGGGATTGTTGGTACTGGGTTCTCTGGGCTGTCCGCTGAACACCTGGTCGACTGGGAGCGGGATAGTGGTAGTAGGCCAACTGCGAACTCGGTTTAATGGAGTAATCCAAGTGCGAGACATCGGCCAAAGCCAAGCTCATGAGTTGCAGTAGAAGAATCCCCACACAGGTCAACTGAAAGTGGTTTTAGTAGAGTTAAACTTTTGTGTTGATATTCAAACACTATCGACAAACACTCACGTTGGGTGCCATTTTCACCACACTTTTCTCAGTTCTTGTTCTTAATTGAAACACTATTTAAACGGCGATCGGTTCGTAGATTTGATGTTCACTGGCACAGCTTTGGCAGCTGATTAAAATTTGTGAGCCAGCTGAAGATGCTTTTTATATGCGTATGGAGGAGCTGCGATCGGTTCTCACTCTCTCACTCTTTTCAGGTCTTCTTTTGGCTCTTTTTTATAGTGAATGCTTTGGGCCAACACTTGAGTGCAGGCCAAGACGAAGCTTTTTGGCATTTTGTTGCCTTTGTTTATTTACTTTGTTTATTTGTTGGTGGCTCAATCGAGCTGTTGCCGAGCAGTTTTGTCTATTGATAATATTGATATTTGGCTGCCTTGCATATAAATCAATGTTGGTCATTTTTATTGGCATCCGAACTATGCAACTACATGAATTAGCAGCGGCTTAATGAGATCACTGAAGAAGAGGGTGAGGTGACTTGTATTTTGGCCAACCCCCTGCGGCTCCACCACTGTTCTTAACTTATCTGCATACCTCAGGCATGTCGACAGCATTTGAGCTTATTAAACACAAATCGAATCGAGCGTCATGTGACAGCAGGAGCCAGAAATGCCGCACAAACATAAAAGCCATTAGCCCCAACCAAAACGGAGGACTTTGACGGAGCGGTGCGAGATTTGCATGCTAAAGACCCGATTGTTGTCTATATCTCGCTGTTTTGATTGCCGCTCTGACTGTGTGGGTCTCTCGTCAAAGATTGACCTCAGCCGGCGGGACTTAGTCAAAATCTATGCGCATCTAATTTTAATAAGCACTGAACGAAAAGGGGAATAACTTTCAACTGTAACATTTATGTTGAGATATACTTTTAAAGGTGGGATAATATTTCTGTATTTTTTAGAAATTTATATATTTTTAATCGTCTGATAATCTTTGAATAATGATGTAATATATTAAAAATGATTGATTATTTTTGTATTTTATTTTTTAGAAATATAATTATAATTGAATCGTCTGATAATCTTTGTGTAATGATGTAATATTTTAAAATTTATTTATTTATTAAATGTTGCTTTCCTTCTTGTCACAGTTATTTAAAGCCGAGTTTCAATCGCTGTGAATTCTTAAAGTTATTACACATTTTTCAAATCACACAACTTTTTTTAGTTAAACATTTTTTCGAAAACTGTAAAATATGACACCTATTAAAATAATAGTCAATCGTTTAATGCGGAAATCATCAGCTTGCTTGATTTATTTATTCAAAACCCATGTTTGTAGAGTAATTAAGTTGTCTATCTTTTACTGAATGGCTCTTTAAAGTTCAAGCTGTTGACCCAATTATCAGAGAGCTCTGCTCCTTCTCTCTTTTATTCATTGAGTTAGGTCAGTTGGTCAAAAGTTGTAGTTAATAGCGGCAAATCTGGTAGTACTTTGTTCAGGCCCTCTCAAAGTCATGCCTCGCCTTGGACAAAAATTGGCGGAGTCCAATGTTTTAATATAAGCATAATTTAATCGCTACGCTGCGCGTTCTGCGCATAAATTTACGAGTCGCGGATAATACGAAACATAACAACATTATTTAGATTTAATTAATTGCTAATTTGAGGAAATTATCATTCATAGTTATGCATAATGAGCCGGGTCCCATCTGGGGTTTCTGTTACCCGAGTTACCAGCCCTGAGTGTTGAATGTGGAGGGGGGAGCTCCATACACGGCGGCCGGAGAATGATGAGGTGGTGCCCCAAAGTGGAGTTTGTATCTTCCGTAGGAGGGGGCAGCAGCGGCAAACTGGTAACCGGTGGGCGGGGCAGCATATCTGGCTATGAACTGAGGTGGTGGTGGTGCAAAATGAACTGGTGGTGGTGCTGCAAAGTGAACTGATGGTGGTGCTGCAAAGTGAGCTGATGGTGCGTATTGAACTGACGGTGGTGCAGCAAATTGTGCCGTCGGTGGTGCAGCAAATCCTGTATATGTAGTAGTAGTGGTGGTCACTGGAGCTCCCAGGGAATATTTAATGACAGGTTGATGTTCAGCATAAGTTGCAGCATATTTATAGATCGCAGGAGGGGGAGCAGAAGCATAATGATGTGGAGTTTCATAGGTATTAAATGGTTGATGAACATTATAAACCGCCGGCACAGTCACTGTATCCGAAACGGGAACAGCTACAGGAGCAGGAACAGCTACTGGAGTAGGAACGGCTACTGGAGTAGGAACAGCCACTGGAGATGGAACCGGAACTGGCACTGGCACTGGAACTCCCACGGGCACGCCCACCGTCGATGGACCATGGAAGAAGCTACCCAAGGCGGGTGAGCCAAGACACATCAGAACACATAGTAAAGCACTCTAAATATAAGAAATTAATTTGTTATACAATTTTAAAAACCACCCTTTATACACTTGCTTTTGAAATTTGTCTCATTTTTCTCGTAATGCTTTCTTCCGTTTTCGATTTCCGTATTAAGTCACTTCTCTTCGACACTTTCACACGTAATGAATCGATTTTGGTTGACCATTGCAGGTTTATATACCACGATCAGAGTTGCGTCGCTCACATTATGCTGATTTCGGGGGCGGAGAAGGAGGTCTGGAAACTAGAGGAGGCGATAAGTAAAAACTCCATTAAGGGATCTGCGCACGACGTGCAATCGACAAGCGAATCGTGCGGCAAATGCATGCGACAAGTTTTGCAATGCCCCATCCTCAAGGGAAATTCGGAGGAGGGTTACGAATCACAGCCGGTGGTCAACAATTTTAATGTGTTCATTAAGGTGATTACATACTATACATTTTTGCACACATTTTGTAGAATGCTATTGAAATCTAAAACTTATTTAATTTTAAGTCTAATAATACTATTCAATTTTCTTTGAACACACAAAAACTTTTATTTTCAAAGACATGATTTCTAATATATAATAAATATAAAAAATATAATGCTTGAAAAAATTTTCCATGTGGAATGTGTGGATAGAGAGCAGAGTTCCTCGATTACTCAACAAAGATTCTGATTTCCTTTTAATAGCAGTATTACAAAAAGGTAGTTATTATGAAAGATTAAAAATATACTATGAGAATAACTCCAGTATAATCCATAGCCTGACATACATAACTTCTGTTTCACATGAGGACATTAACGCCCACTGCATTTCTCAATGATCATAAAATGTTATGATACCCCGCTGCACTCGGATTATCTCAAGATAAGAGCAACGGCTTAGGCCAACCCACTACAGAAGCCATTAGCATGTGCACTTCATTTGCCAAATCCATGGATCACATTTATGAATGCACGTGCTCCATTGCAGAAACTTTTACTGCCGCCAGCAGCTGCAAAAACAAAAACAAAAACCCAAGAAGAAAAACAACCAAGCAGCAGGGGCAGCTACAAGAAACCCATTGCGATCACGTTCCAGGCACCTTTTTATGCCTTATGACTCTGATTGATGGCCGTTGCCGAAATATAAATGCCAAAATATCACACGCCAGTTAAAAGTCGATTTATTACCGCCGCCAACAAAGCCAGGTTCGAAGCTCTCAATTAGCCGGGAAAAGCCCGAAAGTTGGCAGCGCATTTTACTGCGGCTCGAAGCCTCCCGAAAGTCGGCAACGCGTGCCAGGCACTGCTCCCATAAAATCTTCAAGAGAATCTGTCGTAAACAGCCGAAATTCCCGCACGGGTGGCCAATTAAATTGGCTGCCAAATGCGCGACACGCGCTCATCGAAATTGTCAACACAGAAAAACAAGGGAAACGCAGGAAGGGTGGCTAACGAAATTACCATAACAAAGTGGCTAAATCAGAAATCGATATGTTCACCTTCGCTGAACCGAAAAGCGGGCACTAAAAGCGGGAATTTCCACGAAGATTTTCCCTTGCCGGGCTAAGTGGAGCACACGCCCAGCTCTTGAGCCCGAGCCCCAGCCCTCGAATGGTTGCCCCGCGAGTTCCACACATTTTCCACCCATTTCCCACAGATTTTCCACCGCCGGTGGCAACAGGTGCTCTCGAGTTGGAGCCGCATTGTAATGTAATGCGAGCTAAATCGCTGCACGTGTTTGCCAGCGACAAATGTGAGTGCTCCCCCTCGGAAAAACTTTGTTGCAAGCTTTTGAAGTTTCTGCTGATTTGATTCACTCAATTGATTGGGCATACAGTTTGTATATCGGGTGGAAAATATGCTACAATTTTTAAATATATGCATATTTTCTTATCCATGAAAATTTAATCCAGGAATACTAATATGTAATAAAGAGTTAAATAAAATATAATGCCATACAGCAAAATTTATTCAAGGTGTTCAGTATGTAAGAAATAATACCATCATGTCTTACAAATATTAGAACAATAATTTATTTTATACAGGAAGACTTCGAAGACAAGGAATAAAATATTACGTATACGACTTGTATATAATTCTTAGGTACACATTGCGTATACGCAGTGAGGGCAGTCGTTGAACTCAAGGCAATGACATTCAAGAGCTTGGTTGCAAATCCTTCTTGGAAATAACAACTAAATAATTACGAGCTATGGTAGAAAGTGTGTGGTTGCTGCTCCCTTCAAGTCAATGTCCTGGTCAAGGTCAAGATGAAAACGTGTGCATTTCCCAGTACGTGCAGTTCCTGCGGCCAGGGATCAGCTTTCCCGACCCTTTCAAATTAATTTCCCATTCTCGGAATCCAGTTTCCCCCTGCTCGGATTGTGGTTTCAATGCAAGTTTTAATTGCAAGTCCTGTGGATGTGATGTTTTGTCCCTTAATTCTGTCAAGGGTCTTTGCCCTGGCTCGAACCAGTGGCTTGTTAATAATTCAGAACAGGAGCAAAACAAAATGCTGATTCTGCTTGAATAATTTAATTAAGCTTAGCATACTCGTGGGCTAACCAAAAAAACTCAAAGAGAAACCGCGAATTTCCACTCAATCTGAAGTGCGGTAGATAAACAACAACAGGTGTGTTGCATTTGCGAGGTTGTGGGAATCCCATGAGAGCTGCAACTGTGCCACGAGAGCACCTGCCACAAAATGCATCCACTTAGTGTCAACCGACGAGCTCGAATGAATATTCAATGGCCTGCGAGATGTAGGAAGCAGAAGTTGGGCCCACCTTTGTCTGCAAATTGCTGAAGGTCGTTGCCAAATTATCGCTTGACTAGCTAACGGTAATACTGTCTTCATAAGTCCATAACTACGATATGGTTTATGAACAGGGGACATAATTTATGCCGAACTGAACTGAGACAAATTAAACTTATGGCTGGGCACAATGGTTGTCAAGGTCGAAGAGCCGCCAACAATGGCTTATTGTTATGGGCGTTATGAATTAAATTTAGAAACCCCACCCATCAGCACAACATTTCCACTTTGCGAAATGATATTTATTAAATAAAATCGTAAATCGATTTAAATTCCGCCAGCAGGGAAATATCAATACACGACTTTTCAATTTTCGCATGAATTATAGTTGTTTTTTCGGGCCAGGATCAGCTGGCCGGCTAAAAAGGTAATTAAGTGGCTCAATTCACCACTCAGCAGCTCTTGATGTGCTCCAATTTTTCACTTACGAAACTAGGCAAAAAGCATTTAGCTGTGACAGTTGGCCAGGCATTAATAAAACTATATTTCAACGCACTTTTCACTGGTCAACCTGTTGAAAAGGCGCACGCGTTTGTCGCTTGAGTCTTTCGTCTCTCCGCATTCATAATTGCCTGGGGGCAGAGGGGCAGCGGGGCGGAGGGGCAGGTGGGCTGGGCAAGGCGTTGCAATAAAACAATTTTTTCGGTATTTTGCTTTTTCCTGCGAAATTTCAAAACACACATCGGGCGTTGATATGAATCGAGCGAGTTGCTCAAGTAAAATTAATTTGAAGTGCAATTGAATGCTGAATGGGAGTTGTATTCGGGGGAATAGTCCGGTTGAATTAATAGTTTGGTGATTCAAAAGCAAACAAGCAGTTGGGTGTGAAATATTCGTGATGCCACGATTTGCAATTCGATCTGGAATCCTTATAAATACTCATAGAACTTTGCAGTTCACACTTAACTACCCCAGATTCTTTATTGAATATTTTTTCATTCAGTATCAGTGTCGAGAATTAATCAAAAACAAATTGCTCTATATAATTATACAATTTTTATATCTATATATACTAAACTATGAATTCTAAAAAGCATCTAGAATTTGAAAAGTCAATAGTTATTCCATCAAAATAAATTTAAAAGGAACTTCCTATATTCTAGGATTTTCATTCGCTTTATTCTAAAAGACGAGGTAAAACCAAACATTTCCATTTTTCAAAGGGTTAAACTTTGAAACCCATTAGAACAGTAATGTTTGGAAGATTTCCTTTTATGGATTCATTAAACAAAAAAATAAGAAAACAATTATATTCGTTTTAGAGTCATTTATCGTTTATTTACAGAAAGTGTTGAAGTGCACAAGTGCACTGAGTTGCACCGTGCTAGCAAAATCAACGAAACTTGATCCTTCCGTCAATCTCTCGCTCTCGCCGCCTCCCGTTAGTGATCCTTATTTCTCTAAGTGTCTCTGTCTCTAAGTGGGTTTCTGGGATTTAAGGGGTTTTTGTACACAATTATGGGAATAGACCCGATATTTTTCTGCCTCTGACTACGAAATGCAAATTCAACACTTTGACGGCAGCAAAATGCGAATTATCCGCTGGAATAACTCAATTCAGGGGTCGTCAACGGGGGCTGTTCGTATCTCATATCGTAGATCCTTAGTGCAGGTATCCTCCGTGTCCGTAGCCGGAGTATCCCAGTCCGTAGCCACCATAGCCGCCATAAGCACCGTGGTAGGTGGAGGTGGAGTGGATGGCTGGGACGGCATGGACCAGAGGAGCGGCATGGACCAGAGGAGCAGCATGGACCACGGGGTAGGCCTTGGTGGCCACCTTGTAGGTGTTGGCATACGACGTGGCCACCGGGTGATGGGCCACAATGGGTGTGGCGTAGCTCTTGATGATCGGGGCGTGGGCAATCACGGCCGGAGCGGCATAAGCCGGAGCCAGTGCAGCACCGTATCCCAGTCCATAGCCATGGCTATAAGGCGAAATCACTCCGGCATTGGCCACGGCGCACAGGGCAGAGATGAGGGCAATCTGCGGAACAAAACTCAGTTAATAATCTCCAATATCGTGGGTATCCTTTTGAGTCCTCGCCTTACCAGTTTGAACATTTTGCTGGTCTTGGGTTGCTTTGACTTCTTGACTGAAGAGCTGAGTGTGCTATGCTTGGACGTCTCAAGTTGCCTGTTATTTATACCCGCAACATGAGAAATATTCTGACAAATCTTGGCCCAAAGAGCGACTGAGAGGGAGAGCAAACACGCCCGAAGCTTTGTGCATTGGCCGACCAGCAGATCGCGAAAGAGATCAGTCACGCGGCGACTTTGGCTCAGAGACCCACCGCCAACTTTTGAGCCACCGTATCCCAGCTTTTCATGGAAAACCTCCTCTTTGGGCATTTAATTCAATTTGTATTTTCTGTGTTTTTGTCAGCTATTGTTGGCTTTTTTTTTTGTAACGGAAATTTTTATATTTCCATTCATTTTAGCGTGGAAATGGACAATTGTTTTCTAGCGGTTTCCAGCTGAGAAAATTCTACTGCTAAATCTGGTTCTGTGTGATAGTTTTTATACCCTTGCAGAGGGTATTATAATTTTGGTCAAAAGTGTGCAACGCAGTGAAGGAGACATCTCCGACCCTATAAAGTATATATATTCTTGATCAGGATCACCTCCTGAGTTGATATAGCCATGTCCGTCTGTCCGTCTGTCCGTCTGTCCGTCTGTCTGTCCGTCTGTCTGTCCGTCTGTCTGTCCGTCTGTCTGTTTCTACGCGAACTAGTCTCTCAGTTTTAAAGATATCGAATTGAAACTTTGCACACACCCTTCTTTCCTTTGCACGCAGTATATAAGTCGGAACGGCCGGGATCGGCCGACTATATCCTATAGCTGCCATATAACTGATTGATCGGAAATGCCATAACTCTGCTGTTTGTTAAGTTAGGAAGTTGGAATTTTATATGGGTTTTATATTTGGCCAATCAATCCGACCTACCAAATTTCATAAAGATCGGCCGACTATATCCTATAGCTGCCATATAACTGATTGATCGGAAATGCCATAACTTTGGTGTTTGTGAAGTTAGGAAGTTGGGATTTTCTATGGGTGTTATATTTGGCCTATCAATCCGAACTACCAAATTTCATAAGGATCGGCCGACTATATCCTATAGCCACCATATAACTGATTGATCGGAAATGCCACAACTTTGGTTTTTGTTAAGTTAGGAAGTTGGGATTTTCTATGGGTTCTATTTTTAACCAATCAATCCAACCTATCAAATTTCATAAGGATCGGCCGACTATATCCTATAGCTGCCATATAACTGAACGATTGGAAATGCCATAACTTTGGTGTTTTTAAAGTTAGGAAGTTGGGATTTTTTATGAGTATTAAGATTGCATCATATGAATAATTTTGGAGAATATAATTTACAGAATATTCTGCAAGGGTATATCAACTTCGGCTCCGCCCGAAGTTAGCTTTTCTTTCTTGTTTTTTGTTAAGTTTTTTATTAAGTTAAGTTTCGTTACCAAGTCATTTATAATGATTTTCTGATTGCCTGTCTAATTAAATAAATACTTGTCTTATTTAATTTTATATCCCTGTCTGATATACTTTTTAAAGTAGTAGTAAAAGCCTTTAAGCCTGTTAGGCATATCGGTTATCCGATTACTGATCTGTAAATCCTTTCTAAATGCTAACACGCACTTGATTATCAATCAGCTCGACCAGCTGACTGACTGACTGACAGCTCATTACAGATATGGAGATCCGTAGGTGTGGAAAATGCTGTTGCTCACATGCAAATGGTCAATCGGAGCTGCCTCTCCACGCACCAAATAAACTCAAGCGGTCCATGAAAAATTACTCACTTTAATAACTGACAAACATAAAGTGGAGATTGGTGCAGTTGGTCAGTCGGTGGCCAATAAGCGGCAGCTGGTTCGCCTATATTTTGCATGCATTAATTTTTAACTGATTTGTTATCGCGCACATGGCGCATGCGTAACTTGGGTGGAGGGAGCCGAATCGATTGAAAACAGAGGTAAATCATATTTGCCTGCATTTCGAATGGCCTGCCAGATTTCCTAATAGCCATGCTTAATTCCTAGGCAGCTCTGAAATCATATCACACAAGATCAGTCAGAACACGAGGCGTGAAAAGAATTGCAAAATGTATGTTTCGGGCCTTGAATCGGTGTTTTGTATCAAAAGTCCGAAATTCTCAGAGGGCGAACAAAGCGCGACTTAAAGTTTATGGCCCATAAATCAATTAACAATTACGATGGCGACAATTCTTTGGCTTTGACCCTGGGCATCTGATTGCTGATTGGACCCGAATGGACAATCTGCATATCAACGGGGCTTAGAGCAAGTCAAATCTCAAAACTAAACCGAACCCTTCACCAAAAGCCAACACCTCGTGATTTCGACCCGCGGCGTTATGCAAATGCTAGCCAAATTGTCGCATAAATCTAAATCGAAGGCGGCTTGATTGACACCAAACAGGATGCCAAATTGCGTGGCTATCGATCGATCCGCAGCCACAGAAACCAAAACTGCCACCCACTCGGTGGTTTTGACTTGGGTTTTTAGGTTGGCTCTGGTTCCGATTGCAGCTGACCACCTAGCCTGTAATTGCATTTTAATGGCCTCCCAATTGCATTCTGTATGACTGACATTGGGCAACATCCATGCACTCGACTCTGATTTGGATTCGCATTTCCCAAGCGACGCCCAAAATACTTTGATTGCCAACAAATCATTCAAAAGTCGAAATTAAAAGCCGTCAATTTTCCAAACTCAACTACTCGCGGCTCCGCTCAATATTTTTTCCTTTCATGATTTATGCGACTTTTCTGGGGAAATAGTCGGACCTGAAATTTGTCTGGCGAATTCTGGCTAAAGGAAATTTCACAAGTCTGGAGGTCTGGAATTTGGCAAACAGAGCATAGGTGATTAGTTCGGCTAACTTGCATTTGATTTGGCCACCATGTGACCGCAAAAAGTTATTATTTAATTTGTTATAGTTTTGCATAATTGTCGGTTGGGTGGATGCCAATTTGCATACCATATCCCATAAAGCCTGCTGCTGACTCCCATCTGCGGATCGTTGGCTGTGCGACTCGAGTGTGGCCAATTAAGTATTAAGTATACCACATGTTGGACGCCACTCGGTCAAGGTCGTGCTTACCCCAGCCTTTGTCACAATGTCGTGCACATTACAATGTGTACAGCGAAAACACCGACAATTACTCGTTTTATAATGATTAATACCAACAAAAAATCTAATTTGTGAATGTAAATTACCCTGGAAACCTTCCAAAAATAAGATCAAATAAATGTGAAGCTTTAGAGGGATTTTAAGCTACTGTTTTTTGTATAATTAGTTGGGTTATTAACTTATTATTAACTGTCTGAACAAGTTTTTATAATTTAACTTGGAGACAATTTTATATGTAACAAAATAAATGCCTATAGACTATATAATCTTTCAAGTCTAACTTATATTCATCTAGAAAATTATTAAACAGTTAAACTACTAAAATCATATGGAACTTAGATTGGCTTCAGTTATTTTTTAATGGGTCTGAAATATCATTCCGTGATTATGCTTCTAGGGTACCAATCAACGCTTTGTTTTTCCACCTTCGATAAAGCAAATGTCAGGCGGGCACCGCTGTGAAAAGCTCTAGAAACACACTCGCCGACAGAGAGCTGAGTTTTCATTAATGGAATTAAAGCGAGCTAAGGTGGATTAACCCCATCCTCCCCCTCTTTTACCACCATTCTTTTGGCTACTACACTAAGCCAGAGCTGTTTTTTTTACCTTCGACTCGAGGTTGGGCCAACAATTATCATTTGCAAAGTTGGTTTCATTTTGCTTTGAAGTTCTTTTTGTACGGGGGACATTGCGCAATTCGGCTCTTGGCACGCAAAGCATTTGTTTTTGTAGCATACTTGTTGTTTTGATCAACCTGCAGCATGTTCAAACTATTTTGGTCACAGATCATTTGACAGCTTCACTGGCCGCCAATGCAAATACACCGAAATCTGCTTCATAATTAAGTAGTTAAATCGGAGCTCAGTGTCTCGAATTTGAGTTGCAACAATAAAAACAGCACGTTAAACAAGTCACGCCCCTTTTGGCGCTCGTAAATTAAAGTTGTGTGTCGCCAAATTGTATGCAAATCGTTTGACTCCCAGTTGCGGAGATTTATGCGAGGGGTTGTCCAAATAATTCGTTACTCGATTAGTGTTTTTTAATTGAATTTGGTTCTCGTGTGGGTGCGCACTGCGCGTTCCCCTTTTCTACATGATTTTATACCTATTGTTTTAGCACTCCAGTAGGTTCTAATGCATCTAATTTGACTTTCACTTTTTGCCACCACTTATTGTCTGTCTGATTTGAGATTGTTCTAGAGCAATTCGGTGACTTGTTTGGTTACTCACCCTGAACTTGTGCTGAAATCAAATTACTTGGCAAGATCCAAGCATGATTGCACACCTGTGAGGGCAGTATCTATATCTAAGTTAGAGGTGGTAAATCAATCAATCACGAGATTTAGTAAAGAAAGTTTAGGCAACATTTTATTTCATTTTCAGGCGCCATCGTCTCCTTCTTTTTCAACAGTAGTCTCTATTTTTAATTCCATACTCTGTATGTCTTAAATTACCAATAATCCAACTAAAATAAACTCAACACAAAGATATTTTTCCATCCCTAGGTCGCTCTTTATGAACTGCTAGCCATGATCAAGTTCGCTCTGCTTTGGATTTCTCACAAACAAAAGCAAAAATGAGCTGGGAACACAATAAGCGATAAAAAGTCAATTAGACTTAATGATAGCCGCAGCTAAACATTAAATTCATGTACGTAAATTACATTAAAAAAAAAACGAAATAACTACAAGAAAACAAAACCAAAACGAATTCGATTTGAGAACAACAACGCCTAGCAGACAAAACTACTTCGAATTCTGTGTGTAATCAAGGAAGTTGTTGGCGCTCTGGAGTTTGGCAAGCTGCAACCGGCAAAAAGTTGCTTGTGCGTCGAGTTTTGTATAATTCAGTCATTAAAATTAATAAGACAATGCAGATCACACGCCCCACAAAAACGCGCTGACAGAAAAACTCGAAGGCGGCGCAAGAACTGGCCAAACCAGGCATTTCCCAAACGTTTACCCTGCAGGCGGATGTGGCTATTACAGATCTAATTACATGGCGTATGAGCGATTTTCAATGCTGTTTCAGCCAGGCCAAACTGAGTCCCACCGATAACGAGCAGATAAGGCCAGCTAAGAGTGTTGCTACTTTGCACCAATAATTACAACAAAAAATCTTAGACCCAACTTTGGTTAGCACAGCTAATTAAGTTGCATGTTTCATGCTGACAAGCTCATATATACAGATACAAATGCAGACTCGACTCAGTCCCAATGGACACAGTCAATTTCTGTTAGCCAGACTATTAAAAACGCTTGTCCATTTGTCAATATTCCAATTACTGGGGGATTGTGTATGGAATTGTGTATGGAATTGTGTTGGAAAAGTGGATTAGCTGGGGCTTAAGTTCTTCGTGGAAACATTCATTTCCTTATGCAGTTAAGCCACAAGACCTTACTAACTTAGGCCAAATTAAAGACATTAAATGAATTGATTGGTCAGGCCTAATTGATTGTAAGAAATTCCCCATTGATTAGGTATTTCCTAGAAAACCAAATCGTATGTCGTTCAAAAACTGCTTATCGGCAATCATGGGTTAAGTAAAAAGACAAAGCTTGAATAAGCTAGTAAAAGCTTAAAATTCAAGCTTCATTTTTGAGACCGCAGCTCAAAAGTAGACAAGTATTTCTTAGGAAATTTTTAAAGTTATTTGACAACAACCAAGAATTGGTCGAAATGGGAGAAGTCAGTAGTTTACATTGTCTACTTATTTATTATACCTTTGAAGAGGGCTTAAAAGTTTTCATGCATAACTGGGTCAAGTTAGATTTATATTAATTTTGGTCAGTAATAAAATGCTAGTCGATTGGAAATTGTATAACGAATTAAAAGAGGTATGATAGCATATGACCATTTCTTCCCAGGGTTTTGATATTTTTTAGGACTTTTTGTTCAAATTCAGCCAAAATAAGACTCACAGCCAAATAAATAATTTTTCTAAGCAGCTGAAGACCTAAACTGTCAAATTCAGTTTGATTTGGAAAAATTTAATTTTTTACCGATTTTGGCATTTTTTATAAGGGGTTACATCATCTATTTTTGTGAAAATTCGGCCAAAATAAAATTTTCAAGCTGTGAATCCCAATCGATAGGAAATTTTATAACGAGTTCAACGAGGTATGACATTCCAGCATTGGACCATTATTTTCAGGGGGTTTGTTTAAAAAACCCAAAACTTAAGTAGATTTTGCCGCATTTTGGTCATTAAAAAAGTTTGTTTTTTTATAACTAAGCCAAAATACGACGCACAGCGAAAAGAATACCTATTTTATGCAGCGGAGGACCTAAACTTTCGATTCCAGGTTGGTTTGGAAAAATTTATTTTTTTAACGATTTTTGCATTTTTTATAAGGGGTAACATCATCTATTTTCGGGAAAATTCGGCCAAAATAAAATTTTCAAGCTGTGAATCCCAATCGATAGGAAATTTTATAACGAGTTCAACGAGGTATGACATTCCAGCATTGGACCATTATTTTCAGGGGGTTTGTTTAAAAAACCCAAAACTTAAGTAGATTTTGCCGCATTTTGGTCATTAAAAAAGTTTGTTTTTTTATAACTAAGCCAAAATACGACGCACAGCGAAAAGAATACCTATTTTATGCAGCTGAGGACCTAAACTTTCGATTCCAGGTTGTTTTGGAAAAATTTATTTTTTTAACGATTTTTGCATTTTTTATAAGTGGTTAAGTCATCTATTTTTGGGAAAATTGGGCCAAAATGAAATTTTTAAGCTGTGAATGCCAATCGATAGGAAATTTTATAACGAATTCAACGAGGTATGACACTCCATTATATGACCATTATTTTTTGGGCTTTTCATCAAAAAACCGAAGATTTATTTGTGTTTTTTTAAGGATTTTGCCCTTTTCTAAAGATTGTTTTGTTCTAATTGCGGCAAAATACAACGCACAGCCAAAAGAATGTCTGATTTCTGCAAATTGATTTGAGAAAACAAATTAACAAATAGACTTATAGACAGTATTATACATAGGGGCAGTACTCGCTGTAAATTTTGGGTGTGACTGGAAGGGTATTTAAGCTTCGACTTGCCAAAGATAGCTTTCGTTCTCGTTTGTTTCTTATTTATCTCGCTATTTATTTGTGCAGCTAAACATATTACACCCGGCGGTAAGTGCAAGTCAAAGACTTATGCCAACTGCTGCTAAACACTCCAGTGATTTACACTTTCAAGCTGACCAAGACCAAAGGCGAAGACTGGGGGGCACAAAAGTCAAAGTGGACCGAATCCAGTAACAATGGCATTCTGCAGTAGCAGCAGCCATGTATGCCAACAATAAGAGCAACTTGGCCAATGATTAAATCGTTTCGGGGCCTGTCAGCGCCATGTTATATGTATCTCTCGCTTCTGAACAAGCTCATTGTGGGCATTTTTTTTCTCATTTCTGCTTCGGTTTTTCTTCTTAATTAAATTAGAGCCAAGGTCGCTTCAAATGGGCTGGGAATCTTGGCGTGCAAAATGGCAAAATGGGCCATATACGACATATGGTGTTTGGTATACGACTTGCGTTGGTGGCACCCAAAAATAGTCGGGAAAACTCAGTCAATCGGGCTGAAAAGAGTTGGCCTGTTAGTTATGCTAATGGCTGGAATGCTGTCCCACATCTGGCTCAGTCAAGTAGAAGAAATGAACAGGAACCCAAAGTGGATTTGGTGGGTGTGGGTGCTACAGCAGGTATCATTTGTGGGTGGCTTGTTTATTTGCCTATTTCGCTTTCAGCCTCGCCTCGGTCCAAGCCGCTCGCTCAGTTACGCCCAAATGGGTCACTAATGAGCCATCTGGGCCTGGGAATATGGTTGAGGAAAAACGCAGAAAACACAAGCACAGCTAAGAAAAAAAAAAGACAGGCAAATTTGAGATGATGGCTCGATTGTTTGTGCCAATTCTAACGTAAAGAAGCCAATTCCCTTGGTCGGGGTTGTATAAAACCCGGGTGACTTCTTCAACTGCCAAACATTGTTGCAGAGTTCCCCCAGCGAAGATGTTCAAAGTTGTGAGTTGCCACGATATCAAAGTAGAAAGGAGTATCTATAGTAATATGACTCTTATTTAGGTGTTTCTTTTGTGCGGACTGATGGCTGCCCTGATCCAGGCTCGCCCTAGTTATTTGCCCAGCTACGAGCACGTGGAATATGCTCCCAGTGTGGTGGGATATGAAAGTTATGCCCTGCCCGCCGCCGTTTCCCACCAGAGTTCCACGGTGGTGCACGAGAAGCGTCCCTACTGGCGACCCATTGTGGACCACACTCCGCTCCTCAAGGCGGCCTATGCCCCTGCCACCTCGATATCCTATGCCCCACTGGGCTACGCCGGCAGCAGTGCGGGTTGGTACGAGCCGGAGGTCTGGGGAGGAGCCAGTTATCCCAGCATTTACCTGAAGTAGAGGAGCCCACAAAGGAATACCTCCCTTTATAAATCTCATGATGCACCAACGCAAAATTTCAAACATCTTAATTTTCACAAAATTTGCAATAAATAAAAGTAAAAGACAAGTTCAAAACCGCTGTTTTCTTGTTCTTACATGAGTAGATTATTTTAAAAGCCCAGAAGGGATTGTCTTAGTCACATTTCAGCAGAGGTAAAAATTGAATCAGCTGACTGAAATTGATTAAATAAACTGGATCGGATAATGACATAGCATCACCAATCTTAGCTCAGTTAGCAATCTAAATTGAAAAATATTTGTTCAACGACTTCAAATTTTAAAATACCAATTATACTTTAATACCAAATGGTAGATCATATTTCTAAACTATTTCTGAATGAGTCGTAAAACGTTGTCTTAAAATGTTAAAATTAAAAGACTTGGTATGCAAAAAATAAGAGATTTAGTTATTTTGTAGATATAGTTTTTTTTTAAACATTATTTTAGCAAAATACATTTTTATTTCAAATATTAAAGTTTCTTCCCTGGGTTTTGATCAAGAAACAGAAACTTGAGTGAATTTTTTAATCATTTTTTGCTTAAATTCAGCCAAAATAATACTTACAGCCAAATAAATGACTTTACTAAGCAGCTGAAGACCTAAACTGTCAAATTCAGTTTGATTTGGAAACATTTAATTTTTTACCGATTTTGGCATTTTTTATAAGGGGTTACATCATCTATTTTTGGGAAAATTGGAAATTTTATAACGAATTCAACGATGTATGACATTCCAGTATATGACCATTATTTTTTGTGGTTTTCATCAAAAAACCGAAGATTTTTTTGATTTTTTGTATGGATTTCGGCCTTTTTAGTTTAGTTTAAAAGAAGAGGGATGATAAATCAAAACTTATAAAAGCCATATAAATATATTCTGTATAGCCTTACCCTAATTCCCATAGATTATTAAGAACCACAGTATTTTTTTAGAATTCACATATATTTTTTATTTCTTCGTTTTCAGTTTTTGCAATCTGGTAAACAAGGTACTGTTCAAAATCTTTTGTTCTCATCGCCTTACCAGGAGCTGGCGGCATAGGTGAGGGGGGCTTGGTGCAGCAGGGGGGCGGGGGCGGCGTAGGACAGGGGTGCGGAGTAGGCCACGGGGGCGGAGTAGCTCAGGGGGGCGGAGTAGGTGAGGGGGGAGGAGTACGAGGAGTAGGCCACCGGGGCGGAGTAGGCCAGAGGAGCGGAGTAGGCGACGGGGGCCACAGTCTTGACAATCGGAGCGGCAGCCACCACGGGAGCGGAGTGGACAGCGGTGGTCCTGACCACTGGGGCAACCACATCCTCGACCACCGGGCTGCTGTGCACCTGGGTGAGACTCTGGTGGGAGACGGCAGTGGGGACGCTCTTCACCACGGCTCCAACCTTGGCCAGAACGGGTTCCTGGACGACGGTGGTGGCAGGAGCACTGTAGACCAGAGGAGCAGCAGCCAGGTGACCAGGCTTGGCGGCAGCCACGGCCAGAAGAGCAGCGAGAACGAACTGGAGGATAGATAAATACCAGTTAGTAATCCAATCGAGCTGCAGATCCTCTCAAATCCTTACCAATTTGAACATTTTGGTAGTTGGTAGTTGGCTTCTTCGACTTGTGTCGCTTGAAAGGGAGACAAACTTCGAGTGTGTTGAGTTGAGGGACTGTCAACGTCTTTTATACTTGAACTTCACTTTCGCAGCTACCACACATACATACGCACTTTGCCGGCTTTTGTCCATTGAGGCGGATACAATGAGCCATAAGTCGAACGTGCCTGAACTGATTCTGGCCATAAACCAGATTATTATTCGCGGCCAATTTCTGTTCGGCTCGCCTTCTTCTCCTCTGCCACTCATTACCTCACTTATTTTCGGCCTCGCACTTGTTGCCAAAGCCACTCTTGGTTTCATTTCACAACTCGGACTCATTAGTCGTACTCACGTACTCACCCGAAGATCGATTTCTGGCGTGGAGGGAGAATAAAGGGTCCGAGATTACTTCTAATTGCGAGCCAATCTAAACCCGCTTCCGACTCAAGTCAAGGCCAGTTGTACGATGACAGAAACATACTTTCATTCCAAGAAACTTTTACTTCGATTCAAAGAATCGGCAATGCATTTGAATACATCACTAAGTAAGCAGGGTGCTTAAAAAACAGACTGCCACTATATAGATATTCACTATAAAAGAGAAGCTCCTCAAAATGCAGCTTATAGAACTGCAAGCAACACTAGAGCGAAATGGAGGTAGCTTTAAATATTGTAAGATGGAATTATAATAAATTATAATTACAATTTAACTAAGTGAAACCCGAACTTTTCCACAGATCGTTTTATGCCTGTGCGCTCAATATGTTATTGGATTAAATCAGAACCCACATGGAGTTGTAAAGAGAAATTCAAACTTCACTGCATTGTCATATTCCAATTGGGTCTTTTTCAGTGGATATGTAGACACCTTATCGAATATCACCGATCTAGGAAACCTCACTAGTCACCTTCCTATTTCGACTCCCTTGTTAGCCCAAAACGAAACATATGCTCCATAGATTTTTTAAGGACTACATAAAATTAAATAAATATATATACATTAAAATACTTTTAAGTGTAAGTTGTGTTTATTTAAATATGAAATTAATAATAAAAGAGTGTGGGCCTGAGTGCTATTAAAACCCACAATTAAAGACAAATATCTTAACATTATAAAATTTTTTAAATAATACTTTATGAATATTTATGAAACTAACATTTCTTACATTGGCTTGATAAATTGAAACAAAATCACAGATTTTACAGGGTACTTCTGAAGTTTCATTTAACCAAATGTAAGAAAACCTTCCCACTGAATTATAGTTTATTTCCATGAAACCTGTGTTTATGTCTCGATTTTATCAAGAGTGCACCTGTGCATCAAGAACACACGTCCCTAGAAATGAAGAAAATGTTCTATAAAAGCAGTGAGCTTCGACAATGCACCAGTCATTGGATTTGAGCCTCTAGAGTTTGCACTACAAATGGATTTCCCGTGGAAAGCGGTAAGCAGAAATGTGAAAGTCCTTTGGAAACTATCTAATTTCTGTACAGATGTTGTTCTTACTCTTCATGTATTTCCACTGCACCAGCGGATATGTTCGCGATCGTCACGAGATAGTGAGACGGGATGTAAACTTAACCGCAGTGGATCACAGTTTGGGGGGAGCATTGAGTATGGTGTTTGGACCCTTGGCGGATTTAGCTGACAAGGTTAACCTCAATATACCCCTAATATCAAACTTCCGAACCAAGGAATCGAGCAGATGAAAAATATGTTCACCAGCCATTTTAAAAATTTCATGAATACTAATAAATACATTTTTGAGCCTTACACACCCACAACAATTTACTTGGGTGCAATGACATTTTGATTTAGCCTTGACATCTTGATAAACAAAATGGCTAATGCAAAGCAGAGTTCACTGGCCGGAAATGTCAGTAATTTTCAAACCAGTGGGATGCCAATGCTGTCACCAAAGTAATTCTCACCCACATGTGAGTCGAGTTCTAGACATATGTCCAATGTTTATTTAAGAAACAGGTGCAGCAGGAAGTGCGTGTACGTGACAGAGGGCAATGAACTAGGACACTTTTAGAATAGAAAACAAGCCAAGACCCAGTTGGCAGTGAGGAATGTCAACAGTAAAACCAATTGACGTCAAAAATTCCAAAATGTAATGTCATGTTTTTTAATTTACCGAAGCTATGCCTTATGTATTGAAGCAACCTAAAATGTGTTTAATTTTTCAAGGTTTCAATGTTTTGTTGTGTGTGTTGGCAACCTTTCCCACAAATAAATACACCACAATTTAAGAATTTATTTATTATATACTCTATTTTTTATCTGCAATACAATATGCTTATAACCCATCGATGTATCAACACTCGGGCATTATTGGCTCTTCAAATTGCAACCTACAGGAAGATTAATGACATGGACAAAGAAGAAAACACCATCATCGATTTCAAAGCAAAACATTTATTTATTTAAAATTCGTATCACAAAACCGTCCAGCGATGCACTCGCATCCTGGTCACCTGGGAGCAGTTGGAATCGCTTTACCACACACCGGTGGCGGTGTAGGTCAGCGGGGAGGAGGCGGCCACTTGGGCGTAGGATGTGGCCAGAACGGGAGCAGCAGCGGCATAGCTGGTGTGGACAACTGGAGCAGGAGCAGCATAGCTGACGACAGGAGCAGGAGCGGAATAGCTGACGACGGGAGCAGGAGCGGCATAGGAGGTGTGGACGACAGGAGCGGGAGCGGAGTAGCTGACCACCGGAGTGGACTTCACCACCGGGGCCACGATGTCCTCCACCACATGGGCCGAGCTGTGCACCACCGACTGGCTCTGGTGGCTCACGGAGGTGGGCACGCTCTTGACCACGGCTCCCACCTTGGCCAGGACGGGCTCCTGGACGATGGTCGTCGCTGCTGGGGCGGCATAGACCAGCGGGGAGGACTCCAACAGGTGACCGGGACGGGCAGCGGCTACGGCGAGCAGAGCAGACAATACCACCAACTTGAACATTTTGGGAAATGGGTTAGGTCTGTATTGACTGTTTGGGAATGCGAGTGATCGGTTTGAGTTTCTTGCGAGAACTGTTGCTGATTGCCGGGCTGCAGTTATCTTTTTATACAGCAGCCACTTGGCTTTGGCCTTCCGGCGCACAAAAGCGCGTAATATTTCGAAATTAAACCCATATCAGATTCTGGCCAACGATCAATAAACAATTAGCGTCGGTGGACGGCTCAGCAGCAGAGACAAGTGAGCTATGTGTTCGAGTACACGGAAAAATAGGAGTAGGAAAAAGTATTAATAGATCAAAATATAATGGGAAATTTCGTTTTTAATTTTACAATTCCATTTACCAATGGTTTTGTTTTCATTAATATGAAAAATATTTGTTTATAGTGTTTTGCTTTGTTTTTTTAGAAAACAAACTATAATACGTATTTTTTGCATATGTACTTCATAAGGTACTCTTGAAATATATTTCAACCATATTCTTACTGGAATTACATAAAAATATAATTGGAATTTGTAACAATTTTATTTAATCACCATTTATCACCACAAAACTTAAATAAAATCTATTAAACATTTTATTGAAAATAAATAATGACAGCCTTTTATATTGATATGTACGATTTATGTGCGCTTATTAATTTGTCAAGCTGTAAATCGTCAAAGAGATGATCAAATGAAGTAAAAATTATATTTTTCTGTGTAATATGAAACCGAATCACAGCCATTTGGCCCCCTTGACTGCCATTAGAGACTGTGATTCCTCGGCGACTGCATTACTTGCACTTTGAGGGCGTGAGTCAGGGTCAACGTGCAGTGCGTGAGCTCTGGGTTTTTGGGTACTTCATGGTTTCTGAGGTTTCGGGTCTGAGAGTGACCAATTGCAAGTCTCATGCTTTATTGTCCCAGCGAGGGCAGATTTGTACAACTCATTTGGTTTCGACTGCGCTCTGCTCGCCTCGTAAATGTTTTAATTAAACCACTCTTTCCGACTTTGCAGCTGCGTTGGGGCGACGATGGACAATAACTTTTAACCATATATAAGGCCGCACTTTCGGTTGTCAAATTATCAGTCAACTTTGTTCGCTTCAGCAGCACAACACAGACCAAGAAACAAAAATCCTTAAACATGTTCAAATTGGTGAGTTAACTAAAGAACTAGATATATCTTTTGGAGTGCAATCATATAATAACCTTCCTCTTTTTATCATCCTCCAGGTGGTGTTGTCTGCTCTTCTTGCCGTAGCTGTCGCTCGTCCCGGTCATCTTTATGAGTCCCCCTTGGTTTATGCCGCTCCAGCTGCCACAACCATTGTCCAGGAGCCAGTTCTGGCCAAAGTGGGTGCAGTGGTGAACAGCATTCCCACCTCCGTCTCCCACCAGAGCCAGTCGGTGGTGCACAGCCATTCCCATGTGGTGGAGGACATCGTGGCCCCGGTGGTGAAGTCCACTCCAGTGGTCAGCTATGCCGCTGCTGCCCCAGTGGTGCACACCTCCTATGCTGCCGCTCCCGTTGTCCACACCAGCTACGCTGCTGCTGCTCCAGTCGTCCAAACCACTTACGCCGCTGCTGCCCCGGTGGTGCACACATCCTATGCCGCCGCATCTCCCGTCGTCTACAACTCCAGCTGGTAATCGGGAGATCTGCACTTTTGGGGGCTCATTCGAGCGATCTGGATGGTTAGAAAAAAGCGATTCCTTTTGTATATAAACGAGTTTAATTGCGAGTAAAATGTGATTGTTAAAGAAAATTTATGTTCGTTTTTCTCTTTGGAATAAATTGGGTCAATAATCTTAGCAACCAAATCTAAAAAAAAAGGTTGGGCTAACATAACATTTTTAAGTCAATAAGCTTTGAGGTCACTATGAACATCTTACAACAAAATATTTTAATTTGAATGAGAAATATATTTTATTTTTGGATTCCCAATATTTTTCCTGTCACTATTAAGCAAAATGTTATAGTTTTAAATATTTTATGTACTATTCTATTGCTTAAAGACACCTTCCGCATTTTACCAGATTTTGAGTGCATATCAGAGAACTTCCAAGATGTCACAATTTAAACTTTGTAAATATGACAAAAATCAAACCATTGAAAAATAAATTGTAATTCGTTGAATGTATTTAAATGCTGCTTAATTTGGTAAGCTAAGCTTTGATTGCTTGAATTTATTGCTTTACTTATTTTGCACAATAAAAAAAAGTTATTTCAAAAACCGTATACCTTTTTTTTAGCAGATTGAATCCCAATCAACAATCGCATTGTTAGACAACCATTCGGAAATTCTAGTCGCTTGGAAATTTAAATACACAGGATTATTTTGAGCATGAAACATGGATTTATTTACATCAGTCGAAATGTGAAAGAAGAAAAACAAAACAGCAGGGTAAATAGAATAAGCACGGGATCGGGGTGAGGTTAAGCCCTAGTTGCTGGCCCACGCAATGCCGCACAGGACCTCCTTTGATGGCCACCATTTACCAGGACGGTGCCCAGCCGTGTCCTGACCAACCATGTCCGGACCAACCTTGTCCGGCCCACGGGGACGAGAGGAGGGTGGTGTGCAGAGCCGGGGCCGCATAGGTCTTGATGATGGGAGCGGCATAGGTCTTCACCACGGGGGCCACAATCGGCTGGATAATGTGGGCCGAACTGTGCACCTGGCTGATGCTCTGATGGGAGACGGCACTGGGAACGGTCTTGATGATGGCGCCCACCTTGGCCAGGGCCGGTTCATGGATGATGGCAGGGGCGGCATAGCTGTGGAGCAGCGGTCCGGCCTCCAGGTAACCCGGACGTGCAGCCACTACGGCGAGCAGAGCGAAAAACACCACCTTTTTGTGGTAATATATATATATTAATTCACAGAGTTATAGTTACTTGAACAGCATTCAACCAACTTACCAACTTGTACATTTTGCTAATCCTTGCGATCCTGGTGCGCTAGCTATTGCCTACTGAACTACTGAACTGTTGGTCTGTGTTGACGCCTCGCCGAATTGTGTTGCCAGCTCCAAATTTGCAACGCCTTTTATACTGCCAAAATGCGAGCAGAGCCCATGTGCAACCGAATCTTAAGATGCAGAAAATACAATAATAATAATTTTGTTGCTTTTTTCCTCCTTCTTCAAGCATCGTTAAGAAAAGCTGAAAAATAACGCCAACGGCAACGGCACACGAAAAATGGAGGAGAATCGAGCGGCAGAGCTGCCAAAGTTTGCATGTGCAGCAGCAGCTGATTCGCTTTGTCTTTTGGCCAAATCCCCTCTGACCACACTTCACAACTCCCCAACTGGCCAACTGACCGAGTGGCCACAGCCCACCTAAGACATCGTACCCCATTAGGTTGCAAAAAAAAAAAAAAAAAGAAACAGAAACCAGTCAAAATAAAATGTCTGGCTCGCGGACGTTGGGCTTTTGGCCCACTCGGGCAGTTGGCCAGCAGCCGCCACTTGCATCACTTCAGGCCAAGACGGGCGTCGCTAAAAATGTGCTTCACACTTGTCATTTTCCTCCTCGCAGTTGACCGTGAAAATTTCCCGTGGCTGCAACACGCACAGCAGCAACATCAGGCACAACAGCAACATCAGGCACAACAGCAACACCAACAACCCGCCCAAAGTAGCCCAAGTTCAATGTAAACGCACTTGCGTGTATCTGTCATGGCCAAAACATAACTGGCTCTAATCTGCAGAGGGGGAGGGGGAAGGGGGATTGGGCCGGGGGATTTGTGTCTCCGGTTGTTGCGTCTGCGGGAGAAGGCCATTGGAGGCGGGTTGGGAAAGGAATGTGCGCAAAGTCACCGGGCAATTTGTTTGCCCATCACGTCGGCCCACGAATGCGAAACGAAATAAAAATGAATATCTTCATGTTTTTAGCAAGCTCCGGAGGGTTTTGTTGACTTATTTTCACTTTCGGTATAGGTAAGATTCTGAGTCAGCCAAATGACTGAAAAAATAAATACTCTATATAATATCAACGGAGTTAATTAAAAATCCAGAACTAACGCAGAATGGTAAGCCGAAAGTAAGGAATGTGCAATTCAAGAGTTATTGAAGAAAATATTTATAGGGGCATTTTGGTTCTAAAATAGCCAAAATACGACGAACAGCAAAAAGAATGACCATTATTTTTCTGGGTTTAAATCAAAAAACGGAAGCTTAAGTACATTTTGTACGAATTTTGGCCATTTTTTAAGAGTTTTTTGTTGCAACTTCTCCAAAATACGACGCACAGTCAAACGAATGACTGTTTCGTGAAACTTAGGACCTAAACTATCGATTCCGGCTTGATTTAGAACAAATTTTTTTTTTTGCCAATTTTTCATTTTTTTTAAGGGTTTACATCATCAAATTTTGCGATAATTGTTTAAAAATTGATTTTTACAGCTGTGAATGCCAATCGTTTGGAAATTTTATGACGAATTCAACAAGGTATTACATTCTTTCATGTGACCTTTATTTTCCATGGTTTTAATCCAAAAACCGAAAATTTGGTTTTTGCGTCTAAATGCCAATAGATGGATGTTTAACGACTTTTCCAGGACCCTTTTTAAAATCCTTGTAAAACATACAGAGGTTTGTCACATCTAAATATTTGATTATAGAATAATTTGTTTTCTTCTTCTGTACCGATGAAAAATTAGAAAAAAATTAATGTATATCCCTGTGATCCCAAAATTTCTTACTTTATTTTACCGTACCTTTTTTAGCTCTTGGCAAACTTCAGCACACCCTGCCTTTCTCCACCCCTTTTAATCCGTTTGTATTTTTCAGGTTATGCTAATCTCGGCTTGCAATTGTCTGGCATAACAATGGCCAGCTAGACGGGCCAGCGATAAAGCACCAGAAGGCACCACAGCCACAGCCGCAGCCACATCCCACATAGAACCGCACTCGGGACTGGTCTGGAGTTCCGCTTTGTGTAATAAGCAAACATCGATTGCGATTGCGCAGGCGCACAGATCACACATACGTAAATGGACAGTGGTGGATGAAAGAGGGGGTTTTTGGGAGTCAAAATTGTATGAATGAAGAATCGCTTTCTATGATAGGTACAGAATTTCCACCATAAATTTATTTCAATCCCCTTTAAACTATTTTCCACATTCGCCACTGTTCATTAGCAACAAACACAACTGTACTTTCAATAGTGTTCAACTTGAGTTGTATTTGCCGCCGTTATGGTGATTTGTCAGCAATTTTTAGCATGATTAATGAATGTTTCGATCTGGCGACGTAACACCCCCCACCCCACCTCCTTGTTAGCCGAAATTCTTGAGTGACTTTTAATAGATTTGAGTCTATTTCTGGTAAATTCCTTGGCAATATCCGGGCTATGTGTTTTTACCAACATGCTGTGCGCCAACATCTGTGGCAGATATCTTTTATGGAATCTCGGGCTTATACTGCTCTGGGGGTAATGTACGCCTTATGGCCAGCAGGCAAGTGACAGTTCTGCCGTTTTTTCTGTTTCTTTTACTGTTTCTGCCAGTGCATTGCATAACACTAGACACAAGAGCACTAACCACATTAAGAAATTGCCAGGCAATTATCATGCAGGGAACCAGTTCCCCGGGCAAAACTCTGTTTCGATCGACTCTTATCGCCGTTTAGCACCAAACTCAATTTCGCTTTTAATTAGAGACATTCGAGCTGATCTCAGTCTAAACGTAATGAACAACAATTAAGTCGCGCTTAAAGATCAATTACTCGGAGGTAAAGAAACACTTGTTGACAGTCTTTTAAACGTCATTACTTTTCTGACTTGTTCTTTCCTTAATTATCTCAATATTCTCAGTGTTTCCGAGTCTTTCAGTTATAACTTCTGATTTGCCTTTATGCTGTTGTTATTTTTATACAGGCAATTGACTAGAAGGTCGGTATAGATCAGACGGAAGAATATGAATAGCGTTTGATATGATGTAAATAATGAATGGAATTCATAAATCAGGAAGTAGTTATTGGAAGTTAATTGGAAAATTGCGGCTAACGAAGTGGAAGTAAAGAAAAATACAATATGATAACGCAGCTTCATACTTTAAATGATTAGGAATTTTTAAACATAACTAGTTTCCCTACTTAAATTAAACCTAATCTACCAATTTTAGTAATTAAGAAAAGACTCCGACTTTTTTCTAAGTTCTAAAGAGAATGAAGCAAAATTTTTATTTTTATAATAAGTTAATAGAACTTATTGATTTGAAAAGCGGATGGAACTACACCTATCCCCTATTCATCAATATTACTAATAGCCTTAAACTGTAGTTGGTACAATATCAAATACAATTACATCTTTTATTACTTCGTGACTCCTTTATTAGTGCAATCTCAAGAATCTGAATTTAGATAAACATGTTTTTTAATATAATAAAAATGTCAGATGTCGAGAATAAAAAATCTCCCATGGTGTGTTTTTTAACGAGCGAGTGAGCCGCCTACCAATGTAATTCAAAACTTAACCCATTAACTAGTCCATAAACTTTAAGTACAAAAGCATTCCGCTCTCGGCCCAGAAAACCCACTCAAGACTCAAAATTAGTTGACCATTATGTGTTACGTGAAATTGAATATTTTTGCGGGCCGGGAAAAAAGAGCTTTGTTGGCCAAGCCCGATCTGTCAGATTGGCGATGTAGTTGCCAAACACTCCCGGGCACAAATGATCTGACTCCGACCTGTCCTGTTGGCACAGTTCACTCAGGTGTCAGAGCGCCGGACACTCAGAAACTTGGATAAACTGGCCAGAAGGAGCAGCATATTACGCAAATGAAAAATGTGCTGCAGCTGCGGCAAGTAGAGCGGCGGCTGCATACAAAATTCATTTGCTTTTGGCCCCCCGAGTAATTACGTTCGACTAAGTCACAGCTTGAGCTGCCTGCCGCTGCCACTCTGGCGGATACTTAACGAGTATCCAGTACCCAGAGAAACAGGTGGCCGGCGACCAATTGGCCATTGGCCATCGGCCACTCGCTAAGGTCAGATGTGTCCATCAATTGAGCCGCGGCATTCTCGGCACAGAATTGGAAGTGCTGCGTCAGCGGATGCCTGACTTGGTTCACAATTTAATTGCACTAACATTGAAAATAACTCGAGATTCCATGGTGGAGTTTATTTCGACTCGGGGGCCCCCACTAACCCACTGAACTGAATCGAACTTTTTTGGGTGGAGTGCACTCCAGGTTGCAACATGCATACAACCCGTTTAGATGCAGTGCTTCCTGGTCGCGATAAGCCAAGCAATTGAATTCATTTTGGGCCCCATTTTTCGGGGAGTGCTGACCAGGGACCCCAGCGAATGGTTGTGTAAATATTTACCCGCTAAATGCAAATCATGATTAATTTACGAGACCCCGACTCCCTGTTAGGCTGACATTTCAGCACTTGCCGTCCGTGTTGGCTGTCAAAATACCAAACGACATTCTAATGAGCTCGTGCTCTCGGCTCAAGTGTTCTAGTTTGCCATGGCGCTGAATCTGCTGCCGTTCGTGAACTTTTCCAGCAGATGACAGGGCGCAAATGGAAGCCTTAAATATCACAATCGATGGCAGACAGAAGCGAAGCCAAGTAAACTTCAGTCAAAATAATAGCACCAAAGATGAGCTTCAAATGCGAGTACAACTTTTATAGAATATGGCTTATAAGTAAGAATTATCTAAAGTATATGTTGATTTTATTATAACTTTTATTTTAGGTCTATTTATACACCATGGATGGTATTATTTGTTCATCTGCCTCTTTTATTAAGTAAGTCTAATGATAATAAGATACACATTTTTTGGTTTATTAATTGTTGTTCTCCTCTCAATATTCGGGGAGAATAATCCAAAGGTTTTCACAAAATTTATAGATTCAAACAACGGAGATAACAAAAATTAAAAAAACATTTTTATAAAAGTAAGTCTTAGAAATTTAAATTAAATTAAAAATCTGGAAAAATTTGTAAAGCTTTTATTTTGATTGCAACTGTATGTTCTTCTATGACGACAGCAATGTCTAGATCTTGATTTCCACACACTTAAAGAAAAAACTATTTTGTATGGCGCATTCTCAGACAAAAAGATAACATAGACATAGAGATAGGCAACTAATTTCCACGGAAAAAAAATGCAACAATTAAATTGGCAAGTGTGAATTTCCGCTGACCAAGAAACAAAAACAGAGGAGCCGAAAAACAAAAATGCCATGCTGTAAAACCAACAGCAATTTGCGAGTAGTCAAGGTCGCAGCGGGGCAAATGTAACACTAGCATAAATTATGCTACTATGGTGATACACAGATACAAAAGCAAACACAGAGACACTTTGCCACTGCTCTTGGTCTAACGGTACGAGCGAATTGCCAGCGCAAATTGCAATGAAGTTGCAGCAGCAACATCGCCAGCAGAAGCAGCAACAATAACAATTACCAGTGCCAATTGCTGCAGACAAGCATCGAGAACGGCGACAATCGCTGGGATATTACTATAAGACTGGCAAAAAGACAACCTTAAGATAAGCTTTCTGAATGAACACATAAGCAGCTACTCTGCAATTAATTAAGGCACATCAGCAATGGGAAAAAGTTGGGAAAGAGGTTATAGCAAGTTAACAAAATCTGAACCCATAAGCAGCTACTCTTTAATTAATTAAAGTACACCAGCGATAGTAAAGGGTTACGACTGGTTAAAAATAACTCAAACTTAATAGTACTTGTTTCAAAGATGGGAAGGCTTACTAGATATATAAATAATGTTAAAAGCTTAAAGAAATTAAGGAAATAATAAATATGCATTGCGCAGTAATACAATGTTATATTTATTTGATAATTAAAAGCTAACTAAATGTTTAGATAAATAACTTTTTTTTAGTTTTAATCTAGAAAAATGCCTGTTTTTCCCTTAAGGTAAAATAGAAAAATAGACAACTAGCAGAAAGAATACAAAGCGAACTGAGATTCAGGAATTGTAGGTTCCTTAAACTTGAATAAAACATGTGTGTTTTTTAGATGTTTTGTCCCATTGAGAGCTATTTACGTTAGAGCATACCCATGGCAACATTGTCTAAAGTGTCTGCCACCTCATTGAACCCAACCGTGGCAGAGTTCAGCACTTGGGATTGGAAGGGGTCGATGGATGGAGCGTCTGAGACACGGAGCGATGGCTGCGGGTAAACAATGCGGCGCTTGACAAAACTCTGTGCGAAAAAAGCAGACAACGCAAAAACAACAATTGAAATGAAAACGAAACGAGCTGCAATTACAACGGCAACAACTGCAGTTGGTAGACTGCAAACTGCGGATGCAAACGCAAAGTTCCACAACATTGAAGCCTCTCAGCAGCGGCGGATATGGCAACAAGAGCATCTGCATCTGCAGCTGTTGTTGGTGGCTAGGTGGCAAGTGAATAAAAGCCACCTCCACTCCATCGAGTGGCATCAGTTGCAGGCAGCGAGCCACCGAGACCCACCACCAAGGATTAAGCCACCCACCCACAACAAGATGATGAAACTGGTAAGGATATCGCGGATTAACTCTTGAGAAGAACCAGTCTAAGGATATTCCATCAATAGATAGTGTCACTACTTTCCATCTGCGCCTTGGCGGCAGCTCGTCCTGGATTCTTGCACGGCCACCACCATCATTATCCGGAGTTACCCTACTATCCACACCACCACCATGTGGAACCGCTGCACTACCATCTGCCCGCTGCCGTTTCCCACCAGAGTTCGACGGTGGTGCACAGTGTGCCGCACCACATTATCAAGCCTGTACTTCTGCCCACGGTGGTGAAGACCGTGGTCCATCCGCCCATCATCAAGGCCTACCATCCTGCGCCCATCATCAAGGCCTACCACCCGTTCGATCCCTTCCATCTGCACCACCACCACGACTTCCACGATTACCACCTCCACTAATCGACGATTGGCAATTGACGATGACTGACGATCGATAACGATAACACTGACTACCGATAACGACGACGGGGATGATGCAACCTTTGAATGCTGTGTATGATTGCGTGTGTCGATTGTTAAAATGTAAAGTCCAAAAGGAAGTTTCGCTGTAAGCTGCTGAATATGCTATTCCCTCTATCTTAAATACTGTACATAAAAGAAACAATATCTAAAATGTTCGTTTTAATTTGGGATAAAGAAGTACACAGAAATGGAAAAGAATAATTTGAGCTTAGACAGTAAAACAGTTTCAAAACAGTATAAAATATAAGCAATTGGAACTACGACTAAAAACATTTAACATTGAAATATTTAAGACAAAGATTTCTTATGGATTCTATCGAATTTTCCAATCACAAAGAGAAATCAACTTTTATTTTCCTACCTTATCAAATTACTTAATAAATTTGATAGCACAACTAATTATTTGGATAATCACTTAATACTAATCTTCTTTTTTAAGTAGGAACCAAATAAAGGAAGTGACGTCAAATGAGATTGGATATTTGAGTCGCGAGACCGCAGAAAAATCACTTCCCCATATCGAGGTGACATAATTACTCTGCCATCGCAATTAACCGAAAAAACCATTCGATACATTCGTTGGGGGATGGCACATTTCCCATGCTGACAACACAAGTTGCCACTTCATGTGGCAACCAAATGCTTTTTCTGTGTTATGCAAATCAGTGCATAAGCAGATGATGAATGCCTATGCAGGCGGGACAGGAGGGGGTATCTCTGGTATTGGCCAAGAGAGGTGATAAATAGTTGCCACTGTTGTTGCCACTGTTGCAATCCATTTTCATTGTGAAAATGTACCCAGAAGGGATCCAGATTTATTTCAAGTTCAAGTCTATTTAGCTTTTGCAATTGCCCAAGCGTTTTGCATAAGCCAATGCAAATTGCCCCTGTATTTTACCCACACTGAACACACCCAGCGATATATTCACATTCAGAATTAGCTTAATCGGCAAACATTGCCATAAAGCCAGTCAAATGGGATATTCAAACATTTAATGTGACATAAACATCAATTTGCAATGAATACTTAGATAGTGGGCTTTAGCAAAATCAGAGGTGTTGCTCAGAGGGTTTCTATAGAAGGGTTTAACTATAGTACGCCTCTGTTTACCACACAAAATGAATACTTCCTTGTTTGGTGCATTAAAATCAAATTAAAATCAATATCAATCAGCAACTACCAAAAACTATAACCCTGAAAACTTTTCGCTTTTTGTTTTGGCCTGCCTTTTCATCGCCGAAATTAGCCGCAAATCGGTTATGGTTTAAGCCAACTTTTCGGAGTGGTTCGCTGACCGGCAAACGAGGCAAATAAAATAAAATAATAAGTAAATAGATTCGGCAAGGTAACTGCGGTTTTTGTATTATTTTAGAGACACGTGATTCGGTAGCTCATTAAATGTAAACAAACGAAAAAAAAGCAAAAGTAGGAAAGACGTTGAGATAAAAAGGTGTGGTCTTTTTATTGTTGGAAACCGATAGCATTGGGATTTATATTTGTTTTAAGATGCCAATAAATATTTGCAATGTAATTTGTATACAATTTTAAAGATAAGCATAATTAGAATTCAGAAATAAATATGCTGTGAAATGTGTTAAACCTTCATAAACCAGTAGCTACCGAAATTAAAATCCTTTAGAAAAGATTTCTCTCAAAATGGAAATATATTTCCTGATCTGTACTGCATGACGGCATTGTAATAACTCACTGCCCCCGACAGCGATCATAAAATGTGTCTGATGTGCTAGTGTCGCACTATTGCACAAGACAAAATCGCTTTGGAGACAATCTCTGTCGATTGGCCGAGCCCGGAGGCAAGTTGGCTGACCAACTAGCAACTGCCATGCCCGCCGGTGTTATTGGCAAGTCACATTAATCAACGTTTCGCCAAGTTGGGGACTTAATTTATGCAAGCCAAAAGTGCAAAGAGCAAGCCTCTTATTCCCTCAACTAAGCCGCTTGAATTGATTCTTTTCGCTGGGCTCACATTACATATTTTCCCCCTGACATGATTCTATTTATTTGTCTGCTTAATTGTGCGACGCATGCAACAGTGTCAAGTATACGCCGCATAGCCCCGAGTGAGATTTTTGAAGGGGGAAGGGGGATTGTGTCCACTTAGAACATGTCTCGCATTGCATAAATCATAAGGCGGCGAAATCCAATCGAATCAGATCGCTTTGAAGTGGTCAGTCAACTGAGGGAGAACCTGCACAAGTGCACTGGAAAAAAGTAGCATAGCTTCACAATATTCTGGGACTGTAAAAATACATAGATGTTTATATGAATCTCTAGGAACTACAATATGATATTCTGTTCTTTCTAAAAAACAAAACAATTATGTATATAAAAATATAATGATTAATAATAGGAATATGTCAGTTTTAATTTAATTTACTTAAACGTAGTCTAGTTAATTTTTTAAAGAAATATAATATAATATACATAACTAATACAGTTAAAAAATATTGAAATTATACCTTGAGATTCAAACACATTTCTTTGGGTTTTTGAGAGACAAAAATTTCAATAATCTTAACTTTCCCACTCCTAGTAAATTAGTCTCTAATTGAATGTTTCATATTATTTGTTGTTTCACATTATTTATTGTTTTTATTATTACTAATTTTTGACTGTGTGACAGTGAAAGACGAGAACCTGCCCCCGGAAGGTTTTGCATTCGGTTCGATTCAGATTGGTTCTATGTGGCTTAACTTGGCTTTAAGGCTGTGGAAAATGTGTTTGTTGCCGGGCCAAATGAGTGCAGAGTGCAGAGGCGTGTTGGCGACCCATTTAGAGAGCCCCAACTGCAGTTCTGATTAATCTGTATAAATAGGCCAGTCGGGAGTGCAGTTCTATGTCAAATCGTTGCAAACCATCGACAAAACAAAATGTTCAAGCTGGTAAGTGGCTTAAAATGGGAAAAGGAAAATAATGATGAAAAAGGAATTCTAAAAGGGGTTTTTAAACCGTAAGAAATACCTTCTGATAATAGTATTTCCTCCTTTTCCAGTGCGTCTTCGTTGCTCTCCTTAGCCTGGCTGCTGCTGCCCCAGCTCCTGCTCCTGTGCCCGCTCCTGCTCCTGGACTAATTGGCCCTGGACTGGTGGCACCTGGACTCTGGGGACCCACCGTCGTGGCCGGACCTCATCTGCTCGCTCCCCAGGTTGTGAGCGTGGTGCCCGGAGCCATTTCCCATGCCGCCATCACCCAGGTGCATCCTTCCCCGCTGCTGGTCAAGAGCATCCACGGCCTGGGACCCGTTGTGATCGGTTAATCCTTCTGCTGGATCCAGCCACCCATAATATCTCACCCAAAACGCCAGCCATCCAGCTCCTGTTCAACTTTAGCCATTTCCCTGCGGATTACTTCAATCACGCATCCTGTGCCCTGTTTATAAAGCAAGCAAGTCCAGCAATGAGAAGAAAAAATCACAAAAAAATGTTTAGACACTAAAATACATTCCAAGCAATAAATTACCTACCATACTTGTTATAGCGAGCGTAAAAGTTATTAGTTTCTTTTATTATAACCTGACGTTTGAAGCAGCCTAAAAGTAGGCTTTAAAAATTCTCAAGCAAAAAGTAAGTATAAGACCTGTATAAGAGTGGGAGATATACAAAACAATCAATTTGATTGAACCACTATATTTTGATGACTTTAAATATTAACCATATTTTTATTTTTTATTAAATGAAAAAACAATGTTAAAGGGTATATGACTTATGTATTGTTCGGTATACTTTATTTTTCCAAAACATCCGTTTGAACATTTAATGGCTAACCAAATTCATCTTTTTTTATGACAATGTTTAATTTAATAAAAAGCCACAGGGAAACAGGTAGCTATAAAGCAAGTATATAAAAAGAACGATGTTGACAAAGGCAAAGTAATTTCACAAGTTGTCAAATGGTTACTTAATGCTGAAGCCCTCCAATCCAGAAATGTAAAAACACCAGAAAATAACTTGTTATTGAAAAACTAAAAACATTTATTTAAACAAAAAATCGTAAGTACTGTATCACATTTGAATCCTTAATGGTGCAGGGTGTAGGCCAGAGGAGCGGAGTGCACCACCGACTTCACGAGTGGGGCAGAGTGGACCAGGGGCACGGAGTGGACGACGGGAGCGGCGTGCAGGGAGTGCACCACTGGAGCGGCATGGACAACGGGTACGGAGTGCACCACTGGAGCAGCATGGACAACGGGCACGGAGTGGACAGCCACCGCTGGATGGGAGTAGGTGGTGGTCTTCACGATGGGGGCAACCACTGGCTGCACCACCGCCTTGCTGTGCACCTGGGTGATGCTCTGGTGGGAAACCGCCGAGGGAGCAGAGTGCACCACCGATCCAACCTTGGCCAGGACGGGCTCGTGCACCACATGGTGGGTCTCAATCAGTCCAGCGCTGGCGGTGGCGACCAGGAGAGCGATGACAGCAATCTGGATTGGTAACATATTGTTAATTGAGATCTTCTTTTTCCTTAAATATCCCCTAGACTTACGAATTTGAACATCTTGAGTGGGTTTGTTGGTTGGTTGTTTTTGAGGTAAGCTCAAAGAGATGACTGATGCTGGTGGAACCTGCAGATGAGGCTTTTATAGCGACTTACCAACGCAGGCTAAGGGCTCAAACAGACAGAGACTTCGGCTCGGAAGTTGTCCACCTTGAGGGGCTTTTGATAAGGCACGAGATACTTCAGACTTCGGGCTCCAGCGATCCGAGCTTTTGGCAATCGGCAATCGACAACGGCTGCTGCAGCAAAGAGTAATCATAATGAGCTGACTTCGCCTCGATTTCGACTCTCAATATGATCAAAGTCGGGTCATGCAGGGGCGTACTGAAGGTCAGTGGTTGGGCTTGAAGCATCGGCTTATTTGAGCTGCGCTTTCGGGGTTCTATATAAGTGAGGTTTGCTGTTCCCAAACATCACCAGTTATCCCACGAATCTTTTCAAGCTAACAACCAGCAGTTGCTTCAACAAATCAACTACCAAAATGTTCAAATTCGTGAGTAACACAAGAAACATTATCCTCTAGAACTTTAAGCAATCAAAGGTTCTAAATTACAGATCGCCATCGTTGCCCTCCTGGTTGCCACCGCCAGCGCTGGACTGATTGAGACCCACCATGTGGTGCATGAGCCCGTCCTGGCTAAGGTTGGATCGGTGGTGCACTCTGCTCCCTCGGCGGTTTCCCACCAGAGCATCACCCAGGTGCACAGCAAGGCGGTGGTGCAGCCGGTGGTTGCCCCCATCGTGAAGACCACCACCTACTCCCATCCCGCGGTGGCTGTCCACTCCGTGCCCGTTGCTCCAGTGGTTCACTCCGTGCCCGTTGTCCATGCCGCTCCAGTGGTGCACTCCCTGCACGCCGCTCCCGTCGTCCACTCCGTGCCTCTGGTCCACTCTGCCCCACTCGTGAAGTCGGTGGTGCACTCCGCTCCTCTGGCCTACACCCTGCACCATTAAAACCCTTAATTTGATTGTTTGTTAACCAATTGTATAAAAAAACTAAATAAAAATCTGAAAAGTATTATTGATCCTTAAATAACAAAAATATTTGTATTTTATTTAATATTAAAAAGTAAAATAAAGTTATTGAGAAAAACGATAACTATAATTTACAAGAACAGCAGCAAACCTCAATTTATTCAATAATCATAAAACAATGGCATGGTAACTCCGAAAATTAATCGCCTGATTTATTTGTTCATTTTAATAAGAATATAATTTTCATAGGTATTTAATAATACACGTCGCGTGCATTTAGTTTTATCTCATGCTGAAAATTAAATAAAGTGATATTAAATATTTTTTTAGAACTTTGTAACAGATAATTTAAGTTTACAAATATAGAACAATCTTGATTTCACAAGTCATTCATTTAATATTTAAGACAGATGAAATAACAAATATTGAAAACGACATAAAAGATAAAAACTTCACTTTCAATTTGAAGTCAAAAGTCTAAATTTACCCAATAGAAAACATTCGCAACTTTTTTTGATGGGATAAATAATTTACAACAATTTATTTAAGCAATAACAAGAGCAACAACAATGCATGGTTAGTGGCCTAACGTAAAAGGTTTGCCATAAAAGCAAAGTTCAAGCCGAGGAGACATATAGATGCCTGAGGTTAATGTGGGCAGATCCCTTGTCAAACTCCGATTAAGAAATCTGATTTGGTGGCCAGAACAGTCGGAAACTTTGAGCGCAGCAGGAAATGTCAGATTATGATGGATTTGGCAGGCCTGAACCAAAGCAAGGGCAACGATAACCAAGGTGTAGAGCAACTACAAAAATATTTAAATAAATTTCATATAAATTTATAAACGTAAAAATAAAATAAATATTTCATATTTTGTTTTACTCACCATTCTATGCATATTGAGGCAGCTGATTATTGGATCTAGTCTTAGTTTGAATTTGGCTCTGCGAAACTCCAGTAAGAACTCATGACCCACTGAGGCCTACGCAACGTTTATATAGCAAATTTGTCAATTGATTTGCCAAAATGACAAATGACATGCTCAATTTAACGAAGGTCTTACAACGGGCCTATTTAGCAAAACGATTGAATAGACCAGAAAACAGTTGTTGACCTGATCAGATCACTGATCCCTAAAATATAACAATGAGTCTAAAGCAAAATATACAACAAAACTTATAAGACACGTAAGTATAAAAATTAGACGAACAACAAGAGTTTATTCTTTTTGTCTTGAAAAACAAAAACAGCAAGAAACTGTGAAACAATGTTAATATATAGAAAACTCTTCTCTGCTATTTATAAAGTAAACAAATTATCAGATTAAATGTCAATCAACCCAAAGCATTATACTTTTAAAACATGATGAAGTAAGAATGATAAACTAAGTTAAATTTATATAAACATACAGATGTAAACGATGTACTAATAAAAATTCCAAAAAAGGTAAGCTTTGACAATTAAATTACATTGCAAAATTCGTATTAATTAAAAAAATTAATTTATTTGTTAAAAAATCTGGTAAAAGTTGGTAATTAATAAGTTAAATTAACATATACATATGTTAAACCGCATTAGCATGTGACTCAATCCATAAAATAAAGCTTGTAGCATTAACAAAACATATTTACAAATAAATAAAAACAACAACTTGTGTATCTTATCCTGCGATGACTGATTGAATTGTACGAACGATCGGCAAGCATCATTCCATAAAATTACAGACACCTCAAATTAGGATTTACGAGAGCACGGACTGAATCTCAATCTGGATCTGTGTATAATTTTCTGGGTATTCATTTTTCACATTACCACCGCCAGATGTTTATCTTAAGTACGTGTAACTGTCGCTCGATCCAAAAGTCGAGCCCCAAAAAACCAAAAACACAATGACACAGACGCCGTCGAAACAACAACGTCCAGCTCGAAATTGTGGGTTAAGTGCGCGTGGGGCTTGTCCGGCGGATGGCCTTGACATAGGGACTGGGACTGAATCTGGGACCGAATCGGGGGTCTTTATCTGTCACTCGACCAGGCACTTAACATCTACTGGCTGCTAGCTGCTCACTGCAGTTGGTAGCCGGGTCTTTATGGCCTGGCCATGAATCACTTGAGAAGCCGCAGCCATCAACTGGACCCGTCGATGTTGCAATCGGATTCCGACTGCTCCAGCTTCAATTTGAATGCAGACGTACGCATATAATTTATTGCGCTTTTGTTTGTGGCCCGTTTAATGAAGGGCAAAGTCGATGGCTTCGAGGGTTCTGATTTGGGTCAAGTTCGGGGATCTGATTAAGTACTGCGTTCTTTACTCTTACGTAATTTAACATAATAATGATTTTATTTTCGTATATGTTTTTTTTTCTGTTGCCTTTCCATGCTTTTCAGTATATTCCAATAAATTAGTTAGTCATTTTATTCTGCGTATATTTATAAGAACAAAGGAAAGTATTCAATAAAAATGTTATATATAACAAGTACGACTTCCACGCTCGCCAAGACATAATTTCTGTTTTGATTTAATTTTTGTTTCCCAGAATTCCAAGCCAAGAACCTAAATTTGCTCTTATCTCATAGTCGACTTGCATTGCCAAAAATATTACATCATTTTGTCTAAGAGTTTGACCGTCTTTCCCAGAACTGCTTGAACAATTGATTTGAACAGTTTGCATTTATATTTAGACCATGTGCTTTATTCATAACCAATTCAAGGTAATTTGCTACTGTCTAAGTCCTTTTGACCAAGTTGGCTTGAATTATATCTTCTTACATGATTTTAAAAGGTCACATTTATTCTTAGCTCATGTGCTTGGTTCATTACCAAGACGAGGTCCTTTCACTGACAACTGTCATAACCTTTAATTATCAGTACAATCCATGCCAATGTTACTCATGTTATGTGCACAATCCTTATCGAGTTTTCATCGATATTAGTTACGCTTTTACACATTGCCACATTCATTCATTAGCGTTATGTGGTAAAAGGTCACATAACGAGCATCCTAGAGGACACACATCCACGGGATGGACTCCTTGGGGGGAATAATGTGAGTGCAACTCAATTACTGCCGTATCAAGTGATTGTGAAAGGCCAGCGAGGAGGAGGATGTAGCATCTTCGGGTAGTGGAAGTGCAAGGATAACCCACGCACTCTATGTGCTCCTATCTGAAGGCAGTCTCATTTGCGTAAGCGACCGCATCTAAGGCCAATTACTTGGCCCATTGTCGATTGATTGGCCTGGCTTGTTCTCCCGACTCGACTTCCTCCTCCAGTCGCTCGATCTCACCCACACAAAGCCACTGGAACCTAGGTCAGTTAACGAACTGCGTCTTTGATAAGCGCTTAGAAGCCAGAAAGCCAGCTGAAAACCCGAATAAGTGTATTATTTGAAACACAAACCGGTTCGGGTCTCAAGTTCAGCCGAGTACTTAGCGACAAACAATTGAGGTTTGGACCAAACTAGGCAACTATAAAAGCCCAGCGTTTGGCCTGTCATCATCAGCAGTTGCAATCGATTCAGCAATCCAAGCAAACCCCCCAAAAAAAAACCAAACCTCCAAAAATGTTCAAATTCGTAAGTGTTCAAGGAATTGGATAATGGAAAGTGTGAACCGATTGTGTCCTTTGCAGGTTGCCTTCTTCGCTTGCCTGGCTGTGGCCGCCGCTGCTCCCGGTCTGATTGCCGAGACCCACTCGATTGTCCAGCCAGCGATTCTGGCCAAGACCGCCTACGTGGACACCAGCGCCTCCTCGGCCATCACCCACCAGAGCAATGTGAACTTGGTGCGCAAGGTGCCAGTGGTCTACTCCGCTCCAGTTGTCCATGCTGCTCCAGTTGTCCATGCTGCCCCCGTGGTCCATGCTGCCCCAGTTGTCCATGCCGCTCCTCTGATCAAGACTGTCATCCCAGCCGCTCCCCTCATCAAGACTGTGGTGCCAGCTGCTCCTCTGCTCCACACTGTGGTCCCCGCTGCTCCTCTGGTCAAGACTGTGATCCCAGCTGCCCCACTTGTCCACTCCGTCCAGGTCCAGCCTCTGGTCCACTCTGTGCACAGTGCCCCAGTTGTCTACTCCGCCTACCACAAGTGAATTGACTAAAAGTGCTTTAATAGGGTCACGACAAAATTGTTAAACGAAAAAAATTAGAACCAATAAAACAATGGATTGAAAATAATTTATGTGTTATTTGTTTTCTTAAAAATATGGAAGGAGTTGTTAATCTAATTAAATTTTTAGCTATTGATATTTAATGCTAGAGTATAGAGAGTAATGGATAGTAGCTTTGTTTTCAACCTATTTCAGTAATGAGCATTGATTTGATTTGATTTTTTAAGTTATCAGTTGCCTTTAAATAATTGTAAGCAATAAAAAATAACCTTTGATTTCCGAAAGTCAGCAAGCTCTGATAATTTAATTAAAAACTGTATGATAAAAAAAGTGTGTCCTTAGTTTTTTTCAAATATCTCAACAGAACAGCATATCAATTAACAATTTTCAACACGTTGTCAATCAATTCTGTTTAATTATGAGTCGGCAATATTGCAGTCTTAATCGATATAACGCGATTATCTGCGCAGAATTGGTCAAATATAGCCTTGGTAACTGTTATGAAAATGTTGGGATACTGCCCACCCAAATCTGTATATAATCAATTTAGTTTGTTTACTTTATTCCTTCAAATCTCTCTCTAAATAAACCATCTTGATATCCTTTTCTTTTAATCCATAAATAGAACATTCCGAGACTATCAAAAGCCTCTGTATATATGGATCACATATAAAGTTTCAAACAGAAAAACTTCAGCGCTAACACTTCGAAATTTTAACCGAGAAAGTCAGACAAGAAAAAAAAATATAATTGACTTGCATAATTTATTTTTGGCTTTGCCGCTGGCATCTTTGCGGTTTTGTTATGTTTTCTTTCATTTAAAATATTTGCACTGAGCTACTGATTTGAGCTTGACGTTGAATACTAATGAATGACACTCAAATAAAAGTCATTCAAATTGGTTATTTAGATGCTAATTGAATTGGATCAAATCGATCAGCTATTCAAATTTAGCTTTTGCCAAAAACTGGATCTTTTCATTCCCCTTAGCAAAGTATATAAATTTCACAATTTATAATATCAACAATCCAATTTATTCAAAGAAGCAATTATAACAATCCGTCCGATCAAACAGTTTCCTAGTGGTGGTAGACATGGGCCAGTGGGGCAGCGGCCACGGCGACAGTCTTGACCACTGGCACGGAAGCCACCACCGGGGGGATGAAGGTCTTCTGGTGGTGCACCTGGGTGTGGCTCTGGTGGGATACGGCGTGGGGCAGGGCCTTCACAACGGACACGGGGGCCACGTGGTGGACGGCGGGGGCAGCCACGTAGGTCTGGTGCTGCACCACGGGCACGGACTTGATGACGGGAACAACGGGAGCCACATGCTTCACAACGGGAACGATGGGAGCCACATGCTTGACAACGGGAACCACTGGGTAGACCGGAGCCACATGCTTGACCACTGGAACCACTGGAGCCACAGTCTTGTAGACGGGAACAGAGGGAACCACAGTCTTAATCACGGGAACAGCGGGCACCACATGCTTCACCACGGGAGTGAGCACCGCCTGGTTGTGGAACTGGGTGAAGCTCTGGTGGGAAGTGGCCACCGGGGCACTGTGCACCACGGCACCCACCTTGGCCACAACTGGAGCCACGGCCACATGGTGCTCCTCAATGAATCCAGGAGCAGCGGCGGCAATGGTGGCCAGGGCACAGATGGCAATCTATGGTTGAACAACAAATTAGATCCTGCCATAGATCCTTAAGTCCTTTCATCATATACTCACGAAGCGGAACATGTTGAGTTGGTTTGAGTGGTGCTTTGAAGTCGACGAGTGACTGATGCTGATTTCAAATTAAGTCTACGGCTTTATATGGCCAAAAATTTGCCAGCCAGATTGTCCTTCAAGAAAGCCAACAAACAAGCAATTGGCAAACTCGTTTGAGTTACATTGAACTTGAACCCAGAGCTAAACTAAACATCTGCGAAACCAGCCGACAATCAATTGTCGTTAGGCGCGAAAAGGTTTCAAAGTTCCAACAATAACCCAAAGATTAATTCACCCAAAAACGAATTGTTAGTTCAGGTTCAGAGCCCAGTCGAAGGTTGTTCGACTGGTGTCAGGCCGAAACAAGAAAGGAAAGCTAACTTCGGGCGGAGCCGAAGTTGATATACCCTTGCAGAATACTCTGAAAATTATATTCTCCAAAATTATTCATATGCATTCTTAATACTCAACAAAAATCCCAACTTCCTAACTTTAAAAACACCAAAGTTATGGCATTTCCAATCGTTCAGTTATATGGCAGCTATAGGATATAGTCGGCCGATCCTTATGAAATTTAATAGGTAGGATTGATTGGCTAAAAATAAAACCCATAGAAAATCCCAACTTCCTAACTTAACAAACACCAAAGTTATGGCATTTCCGATCGTTCAGTTATATGGCAGCTATAAGATATAGTCGGCCGATTCTCATGAAATTCGGTAGGTCAGATTGATTGGCCCAAAATAAAACCTATAGAAAATCTCAACTTCCTAACTTTACAAACACCAAAGTTATGGCATTTCCGATCGTTCAGTTATATGACAGCTATAGGATATAGTCGTCCGATCCCGGCCGTTCCGACTTATATACTGCGTGCAAAGGAAAGAAGGGTGTGTGCAAAGTTTCAGTTCGATATCTTTAAAACTGAGAGACTAGTTCGCGTAGAAACAGACAGACGGACAGACAGACGGACAGACGGACAGACGGACAGACGGACAGACGGACAGACGGACAGACGGACATGGCTATATCAACTCAGGAGGTGATCCTGATCAAGAATATATATACTTTATAGGGTCGGAGATGTCTCCTTCACTGCGTTGCACACTTTTGACCAAAATTATAATACCCTCTGCAAGGGTATAAAAAAAATATGAAATGCAATTTTATTCCAAGCACTGAGAGACAAACGAGGTGATATAAATGACCCAACATTGGGGCCTCGTGGATCCATTCCAGATCCATCAGAGCTCAGATGCGACAGCGCTGGTTGAGGCTGGAGTATCCTGGTGATGGGAAATCGGATCAGATGTTGTTGGCAAACACATTGGGAATTTGGTAGGGAAAATTATTTTTTTTGGACTACGATAGATGCTGCATCAGGTTCTCGCCCTCCGAGCTGAACATGTAGGGCAGATATTCGAGCTGGGAGATTTGCGGAGTGGGCCCCATTTGAGAGGTGCTGGAAGAGGAATTACCGATCAACTGGTTTTCCGTATCATCATCCTGAGTGCTAAGCGAAAAGGTCATGTGGCGACTGGGCGCGTTCATGAACTCGAAACCGATTGCCACATTGGCCATCCCGGGGTGTCGGAACTGGGCGCGCCACGCCTGGTTGCAGTTCTCGTGGAACTCCAGGGCGGGTTCCTCGGCATCCTCCTCCACGGCCTGCACCTGGTGTATCATCATCTTCGCACTGGGCAGCCGAACATCGCGGCAGCTGCTGTTCCACATGCTTATTGTTGCTCTTTATCTTATTTAATCCAGAGTATGTACTTTCGATGTGTTTATCAGACTGGCTTTTCAAACGTTATATCACAGCCCACTGGGTTTTAAATCAAATCTCCAAGAAGCTTACATGGCAATACAAAAAGTAGTCTTGGTCAACAGAAAACCAATTAATAATAATTCCTTATGGCGGAATCACATTCTATCCAGTTTAACATATATAACTTTAGTTATCTATATTACGAAATAAGTCTTACTGAGTATGCAATCTAAAACCTAAAGTTGAATTCAAACTCACAATATCAGCAATAGATTTTGATCCAAAAATTTGGATAAATAAATATTAATTATTAGATAAGAAACATAAGAATAATCTAAATAAGCAATGTTATACTGTTATAAACGCAGCCTTTATTCACACATTTAACTAGCCTAAACTAAACCACTTCATTGTCTAACTGTTGGGCACATAAACTGGACTCAGATTCAGCTGCTCGTAGCCCGTGGCTCCTCCCTCTTGGGTTGACTTCGTGTGGAAAGTTCGATTAAGGTTCGTGGGTTCCACATAACCCAAAGATCGACCCATTGGTGCGATGACGAAGCGGGTCTGCGCTTGGGAGGATCCCTGATAGGAGACCACCGAGGGCGCCGAGTCGATCAGAAGACGAGGCGCCTCCGTTGCCGGTTTGGCCAAAACTAGAGCCACGTAGATTACGGCCAAAAGCACCTAAATAGGGTGATAAGATCTGGGATTAGTTAAGTAATTAAATGGCGAAAAGGGTAGATCGATTTGTGATTAACGAAAGTACTTTAAAAGTATTCTTAAGAAATTAGTAACTAAGTTTGTAAAGGCCTTATTAACAAGTTAAGTTAGTTTTCGAGTTAACATTAAGAATTGTGTAATCACTGTTCGCTATAAGAAGAAGTCCATAAAGGCACATATCATCTTAAGGCCTTAAGATATTAACATGAATTTAACGTTTTAAGACATTTTACGGCTAAAAAATCAGCCTTGAACATTTTTTTTTTAATTTACTGTTTATAGGCATTATAACATTTAGTTTTATAATTGTTATCCAACTGCAAAGTTATTAAAGGTCTCAAACTTATTAAGATTACTCATCGCTTGTAGGATATTAATACTTCTTCGTTTACCATCAAATCGAACCACCCTGATCCCATAGAGGATGATCATCCCACTCACCAGATGCCGCATGGTAACGATCCAAGCCTAATGGGGCGATTACAAAGACGGCAAGCCACTGAGAACACCACCGTCGAACTGAGGTGGGCGGATCGAATCGAATTGAGGACTGGAGGTTCCCCTTTCGAGAAGCAAACACAAAGCGGAGCGAGTGGCAAAGTCAAACTGAAGTGCTGTGTGAATTGCTGTGCCATGAAATCGCGGTGGAGCAGTTGCTGGCCCAAAACAGAGGCGGGCGTGGAGCATGCCGAGGGGGTGGCCATATCGATACACCCCCACTCACACAGCCCCTGGATAAATGCTCGATCTGCGATCGAAGCGTTGGAAACACGCGCGCAGTCGCGGTTATCTTGCAATTGTGGGAGTGTCTCAACTTGGACGCAGCTTTACGTAAAGAAATAAACCGAAAAAAAAAACAGAAAAATCAAATATAAATAAATACCGAACGCCGCAAATATTGTAGTAATAGCACCGCAACAACAAAGCCTACAACATGCGACGGCGTCTGCGCAACTCGCTGAAGGTTGATCCACTTCGCACCTCCGCCGCTCGCCCCCCGCACCACCAACATTTGTGGTTGTGCTGTTCGCTCGGGCTATAATACTCTAGTGAAGTGAACTCCAGTTTATTGATCTATCATTTTACATTATTAGGTTGTAATTAAAAATATGTATTATTTATTAGCTTAGTAGCTACAATTTATACGATATATCATTACTGTGATTTTGCTCCTGACGTGATACACAAATAATATAAACAAAATCTCTATTAAAAACTAGCAATTTACTAAAATAATGTTAGAATATAATTTTTTTTTATTAAGATAATAATTTATGTCTTATATTACTTGAATGTATCTTTAACCACTTGTTTTAAAGAATAGGAGTCATCCTAATTATGAGCTACAAATTTCTGATCCAAAGTAATTTTTGGAATTAATTGTATTAAAAACAATCGTCTTAAAAAAAATCCATGAAACCTACAATATTTTCCCAGAAAAAAATATTTAAACGATATGTTTTAATTTTGGTCATTAAGTATTAAGTTCACAGATATTTCTCTAATGAGCTAAATGTCATACTACACTATCTGCTCAGCATATTTATAGCGAACATTTTTTAACCAGGCAATATATAAAGTAGATTGAAACTGAGTAGGATTTCAATTTAAAAAGTAGAGTATTTGAAACTGCGGTTCAAATAATGTATTTTTCACTTGACGTTTCAATAGTTGAATTTGCCGTCGTGGCTTCGCACAGTCTCCGGCAATCCGGCAAAAGTTGAGTCAGTCAGTCGGCCATATGATTTGGCGATTAGCCGGAGGCGCGTAATGGAAGCTCTAAGTGCACGCAGCTCATGAGAGGCTGTCGGATCGGAGTACTTTTTGATTAATTAATTAGCTGCATACAAAATGGCCCATAAATCTCTCTGTGCGAAGACAGGGCGACCTCTTGGTCAAGGAGTCCGTCCTCTTGGCCAAGACCGGCTATAAATGGCAGCGGCACTTGTCTAACGGTAATTAGTTGCCCACTCAAGTGACCATCATGCACATCACGGTGAGTAATCTGCGTCCTGGTGTCCATACATTCCACCTGACTCCCAATCCCAACAGATTGTTTGCCTCCTATTCACCTGGGGCCTAAGCCGCAGTCACGCAGCCACCACAATCCTGCATTCCAACGGCCAGTTGGCCAGTGCCGTTTCCCACCAGAGCTTCACCAGATTGTCCTCAGCGGAGCCCCTAATCCTCCACTCCCAGAAGCAACTGGTCGTTCCCTCAGCGAGGATTGTCAACCATCACTTAGCAGGGGCAAGTAGGCATCAGGTCAAGAGGTTCTTCCAGGGGCAGGAGAAGGAGGAGGAGCAGCTGCCCACCATCTCCAGCCAGACACCCGCCCACCTCACCTACGCCGCCCACCCGGTGGTGCACCAGATGCTGCCAAGGATTAAGCCCGTGCGGAACATAAGCTTCGACTCCCTCGTCCCAGGACCACGCAGCCTGTCACCAGTTTAGATTGGACAATTGGGATTTCACTAAAAAATACATATGATATAAGCCCATCTCATTTATAAACTTGTCATAAACATAATGAGAAATATTGTAAATCATTCAATTCCTAAGCATAATATGACTTGCAATGGAAAGTTTAATTTTCAACACATGTTTAAACATTACTTCACACATACAAATTAGACAATCTAGATTCTTTTTATTCATAAGTGCTAATCAGACTTGAAAATTGTTCTTAAAAAAAAAAGTTATTCAAACCAAAATATAAATATAAAAGGTCTATATTATTTTGCTTAAATTCAAGAAGACAAAACTATAAGTTTATAAATCCAAATGGTATATAATGTCCATAAATTATCAACCGCACTATTCTTTTTTGTTTTTGCATTTACACATCTCCACAAAAGTAGACACCCAAGTTTCGCTTGTCAATATTTTCGTTTACGCAAATTCTGTTCGCTATTATTAGTTTTTAAGGCGTAATTGGCTTTTTTATAATATAATAAAAAACAAGAGAGAACGCTATAGTCGGGTGCCCCGACTATCAGATACCCGTTACTCAGGTAAAGGGAGTGCGAGGGAGATGGAGATAGAAACTTTGATCACGCATAACTTTTTAACGAATGGTCCGATTTGAAAAATTTCTTCTACATTTCGATAGGTATTGATAAACACAATAAAACTGCATTTTTACTTTTCCGAAATATTTAAATTTTTAAAATCGTATATAAACGATTGTGGGCGTTAAAGGGGGCGTGGCACCTTTTTTGAAACAAACTTGCGCTGCGTAGGAACTCCTAAAATCTACATGCAAAATGCCAATCTTCTAGCTTTTATAGTTTCCGAGATCTCAGCGTTCATACGGACAGACAGACGGACAGACGGAGAGACGGACAGACGGACAGACGGACAGACAGACGGACAGACGGACATGGCTAGATCGACTCGGCTAGTGATCCTGATCAAGAATATATATACTTTATAGGGTCGGAAACGCTTCCTTCTAGCTGTTACATACTTTTGCACGAATACAATATACCCTTTTACTCTACGAGTAACGGGTATAAATATCTCAGTAGCCAAAATTCAGAGTCAACCGAAGGACTCCAAAATAAATACTGAAGGACAGCTGAGCGAGGGATGAACGGCCGGCTGATCCTGAAGCAGCTTCCGAACCACTTGGTCTTCCGCATCCTGCACTATTCCCTGATTTCCCAGCAGTTGCGGGACGAACTAGGAGTTTGTGCAGGATCGTTGAGGTTAAAAGGGGGCGGAAGCAAGGCTTTGGAGTGGCAACCCTTCGTCCTGTGGCTGGCCAACCTGTTGCTGAACTACGCAGGCGATATCCTGGGAAACCTGCTGCTCGGCAGTCTGCCTCTGGAACCACTCTGCAATACCGCAGATATCCTGCTTAGCTCGGTTATCTGGTGAGAGTTATCTGATAAAGATTTAGAACAATTAAATGTGAATTTTCAATTCAAACAAAACTTATAGATTCCACAACATTATTAAATGTGGGCCAATTTTAAAGAGACATACTTCCTGAGACTTAATGTTTGATTCTCTAAAAAATTCTACATTTCCTTTTTTGAATGTCAATTTATTTTTAATACCATTAAGAGTTCAATGAGGTATGACATTCCACATTTTCCCCATTATTCGCATAGTTAGGGATTAAATACTTGTTGTTTTTGCGTTCTTAATTTGGAATTTTGGGTGGGCAATTTTTATGAAGTTTTATTGTTGTCAAATTTTAAGCTAAACTACTTTTTCTCACAAATAGGTACTGCATCTTTTACTGTCCCTTTGATCTGGCATACAATCTGGCCAGCACAATGGCTTTTCGCATCCTGGCCACCGCCATGTCGACGATCAGCCAGATTCAGCTGATCGACCGAGGAGTTCATTTGGCAGGACAAGTGTATGGAAATGCTCCTGTTCCAATGCTAATAGTTGGTACTGTCATGGGAAGTGGAGCAGAGGCTCTGACGCCGGTGGCTAGTCTTTTGATCAACAGATGTCAGCACAACCAGTTGGCTTACCTCAAGCTAAACAAGTGAGTTGTAAGGGAAAAAATAAACATAAATCTAATATATATTATATTTTATTTATATATTTTACAGCAACTCGAAGCTGGCGCTGATCCTGTCCTGCTTTTTCATCCTGGAGATCTACCAAAGTCCTCTGATTCTGGGTCTCTCGCGTCATAGTCTAATAGTCTACACCCTGGTGATGACCATTGCCTTGAAGTTCCTGTCGCTGACCTATCGAACGGACCATTTTATATGGCTATTGGAGCACCAGATACGATATATCTTATTTGGCGGGCTCTCGAGGGATTTGAGCAAGTTCTTTCAACGCCTGCCGAAGCCTGAAGTCCGGCGAACGTGGGCGTTCTCTGAATTCGATTGAAGCCCTCGTGGGTATTGCGTAATCTTAACCCCCTCCCCCACTTCTCCACCAGATTGAGGGGGGTGCGAGTGGGGTGGGGGCGTATGATTTAAGCGGCTTAAGTTACCGCCTCGTCCAGCCAAGCGATTGGAGAACTGCAGCAGATGTCTCGCTTGATCGGGTTACGTATGCTAATCAGCTTAGAAGCATTCGCGGACAGTGGACAGTGGACAGTGGACAAGGGGATGGAGCAGCGGGGGAGGTGCTGGGTTACGGCCACGGGACGGTGGATGCTCGAGTGTGCTCGTCCAGCTGTACCGTGAAATTTCTGTTCGAGAATAAATCCACACATTTAAACTAAAACTTAATTAATTTTCCTATCCGGTTATTTTAGCCATAACAATAAAAGAAAGTATTATAAGCTAATATTTTATTATGTTTATTTTTCAGAAATTCTAAAACTAAGTTAACTGTTGTAGAATGTATATCAAAATTATGTACAATAGTATATCCTACATGGTATAAAAAACGAAGTCAACTCATAGAAAAAATTTTCATATAAAAGTTACCTTTCATTTATCTTTCTCTTCCAAATATAATATTATTTCATTTCCTGACCAAACCAGACCTTTAAAATGTCAACCAAACGAAAAGTTAGTCCTCGCAAGAAAAGCAAGACAAGCGTGGATAAGTCGAAAAAGAATCCCTCTGCCATTAGATCGATTCTGTGTCCGGATGTCGTTAAGCCCATGAAGGAAACCAAGCCAGAGGGAACCGAGGTCAAGGAATGTCCCCGAGCTGGGAGCTATAAGTCCTCAGCCGACCAACGAATCTATCTCGAACAGGAGGTGATACCCATTCTGACGGAGGGTATGCTGGGATTAGCACGCGAAATGCCCCGCGATCCCATCGGATATCTGGAGAAGTTCTGGCTTTACAACAAGCACAAGTGTGACATCAAGCTGCCACAGAATATACTCTGATCGATATCTAGTGTAACCCAATCAAATTTAAAATTATCCGATGATTAAATGTTTCTGGTTCGACGTTTAGTTTAATCAACGATGCATTTCTTTGGGCAATGATGCGTGTAGATTAACTCTGGGTTTTGAGACTATAAAAGCAGATCTAATCTCAAACTGCATCATTCATTCGTTAGCTTACAGATTTGCAGGAAGACTTCTATAATCATGTTTAGATTGGTGAGTTGTTTCTTCCTGAGATTTAAATATAGGGTACTCTTAAATATAGTGTACTCTGTTTTGGAAATGGGGAAGATATTTTTTTACTATCCTGTGAAATCTTTTATCAGAACCTGCCCGTCTTGGCCATTGTGCTCGTCCTTGCCGGAGCTTCCCAGGCAGCCAGTTTGGAGTGGCCCTCGAATCTGGTGGCCCTCAGCTCGGCAAAGTCCTCGCAGCTGCTTCCAATTGCCAGCGAGGATTCCGTTGAGTTGGCCGAGGGCAGTTCGGGATCCGTGGTATCATCTGGTAGCCAGCCCGAGGAGCAATCCGAGGAGAGGGAGGAGGAACAACTCTCGCAATCATCTAGTGGCAGTTCGGATCCCATCGATGCCCGTCTGGTTTCATCGGGTATCCCCATCTCCGTGCCTCTTCCTTTGATCCTGGCTGCTCGTAATGGACTGCGCACCGTATTGACCATCCAGGAGCCAACTGTGGCCAAGGTGGGTGAGGTGGTGCAGCATGTGCCCACTGCCATTTCGCATCAGAGCCAGACGGTGGTGCACGATCACCGCCGGTTGGTCACACCCATTGTGGCTCCGGCTGTTCGCACCACCCAAGTGGTTCGCCAGCAGCCACCACTCCTGTGGACCGTCGCCTCCGATCCCCGAGTGGTCCTGATCCGCAACTAAGGATCTAAGTCAAGGATCAACAAGATGAACTCGCCAAATCTATAATACGTCTACTATTAATTCCCTTTCTGGACCTGTTAACCCAAAAAACTCTGTTTCTTCTCTGTCTTCTTTCTTCTGCCATTTTCTGTAGAATTCTTCTGTAGTGTGCTTTTAATAAAGATTTCGCATTTGCATTTAAATTGCTTACCATTGCAACTAATATTGGAACTCGCTAATTTATTGGAATTTAATTTAATTTAAAATTCCATTTCAAATTACTTTCTTTTAGACATTTTATACTCACAATTTAAATGTACTTGTTAACCCGTATAAAACTATCTCTCAACCCATCTTATGTAAAATGATTGTTCTGTATTTTGCGTATTGTGAACTGATTGCATTTTCACTTGTCTGTGGCTGGATTCTTTGGGCGTTGTCGGTGCGACAGGAAATCAATAAAATAAACACTGAGGCCAGCCCACGACCACAATAAATATGCCACAACCGCCCCCCTTTTTCCCGCAGAACTCTTCGATTGTGTGCAATCAAGATCTCTGGAGGATTAGGCTGACACATGGTCTGGGTTGACGCCCAAGTCTCTTCTCATGTTCAAGGGCTGGGACCACTCATTTAGAATGGTTAGTCCATTCTCCAATCTGGCGTTCTTTGCTGGACTATAAAAGCGGAGGATTGTGTGGCCAGCGAACAACAGTCAAGTGAAGTGCACTGAAGCAAGAAGATGTCACAAAGATTGGTAAGTAAAAACATTTCTAGAGGATAAAGGGAATTGGAGATTAAGTATTGTAATTAAATCTTTAACTTTAAATTAAACTTCTTTAATCTTTGCAGAACTTATGTTTTGCTCTCCTGTTTTGCCTTTTGGCACTTGCAAGGGCTGAGTTGCATTTATACCATCCCTTGATGACACTGCACCACCAACCGACTTTGGCCAAAGTGGGTCATCTGGTGGATCATGTGCCCACTGCGGTTTCCCACCAGAGCTCCACCATCGTGCACCGCAGTATTCCCAGGATTACACCCCTACTGGCTCCTACTTTCAGGACCTCCTACCTGCACTATCCCACCTGGAGTTATCCGCTTTTTAATGAGGCCAACACCCTGTACAGAAAGTAATTCACTGCACACCAAGAATCCTAAATAAGGACTTTAATAATTTGACTACCATACTTTCGATTTGAACAATAAAACAAAACAAATTCAAAAACCCCTAAAATGACTGCATTGTTTGTGGATTGTGTAGGCTAATCGCAATTGGCTTGAAAGGAGACGACTGCCAATTAGATTTCGCGCTACGCTGCACTTCTGATTGAGTGTGGGGTGGCAGAATATTATTCAACCGACGTCACCAGATGAGCAAACAAACGCACACAACAAGCTTTGCGTTGGTATCCTGTTCTCAAGGATTCTAAGGGGGTTTCGGAATTTAGGGAGCAGGGTTTAAGGCCTGGGGTGATAGGAACATTTATATTTTGTAGTTCTGTATAAACTACATTAAGAACAAGTAAGTGAATAGTTTGTAAACAATAATCATACTAATGTGAACTTATGAAATATAACTCTTATGGATTATGTTCGAATTCTTTATTGGCATCAATAATACAATTTTATATAAATGCACTTCAATTGTAGCTATTGGATTACTCGAGGTCATACGTTGGTTATATTTTAATTTCTTCTATAACACAGCGTTATCTTTCCTCACACTTTAATTATTTAAAATTATTAAGAAGATTATATCTTTTATATTTAGTATAAAACATTCGTAACAACCAAATCTAATGCATGGGTAACCCATAGCACACATACCCTAATTCTAGTCTATTTTGGGGTGCATTGGTGCACGGATGATTGACGTGCCGTACGCAAATGTTTCTGCATTATTTCCAGGCCCTTGGAGGCTGTTGTTCTATCTTCTTCAATTGTCAGAATTTTCGATGGGAATGACCCCGGGTCAGTAGCCGAAAACCCAGCGGTGTATGCTCCCTGAAAAGCCTAGAAGTAATAAAGATTAATTGAGTGAGGGCTTTCACCCAATGTGTGAAATTGTTCTGGCTTCGTGTTATATCGAAAGATAACAAATGGAAGCCGTTGGATACTTGGTTTACTGTCTTCTGAAGACTGAGATAATAGAGTTTCAAATGACACGGTGCAAACAATGAAATTGAAAACCCTGAACTCCAGAGAAGGCCAAAGGTTACCTCCTGTCAGAGTAAAGCCCTACAGGTTATGCAATCACCAAAGGATTTATTGATGCCAATTAACCGTGTGAATAACTCACCGAGGAAAATGACGCAGAAAGCTTAGAGAGGGGTAAGTAGTACCCTGTCATATAGTATAGTCGGGCATTATCGGATTACACAAGACTGCTGCATAAAGGTTAAAGCATCAAGGTGGGGCGAACAGTTTATCGATTGATGCACAAGTGCTTTGTCTTTTCCGGGCACTCAATACTTGTCATTTGCAGGAATCGAAGGCAGCCCAATGATGCAATTCGAAAAAGGCGTAGATATTCCTCTGCTCCACCTCTCGATTTACCAACATCATCATCATCGCAATCGTCATCATGCGTTTTGTTTTGCAGTGCGGCATAGCCGCCTTTTGGGCTCACACCACTTTAAGCCGAGCGGCCTCCCAAAAGAATGCCTCGAAGAGTCGGACAATGAATGGCCCCCGAAGGGGTCTCCTTCCCAATCCCTTCCAGCTCTCTAGGTTCATTGCATCTCCCTGGGTCTGGGCTTTGATTGGGGTAATAGGGCACAGTGGGTGATTTGGGTGCTCGACTGCTGTGTAATCGGTTTGTTTGTCTACCACAAACGCCATTTGAATGCATCGTTATGCTGTCTTCTTGGCCACTCAACGCACTAAAAGGACCTGCCTTCTCGGGGGGTCCGGAAAAAATTTAATAACTTAAGTCCCGAAAGGCGGAGAATGAAATTCCGTCTGATCAAATCAAAAGACAAGCCACTTAGCATAAGTGAGACCGCCGCAAAAATCAAGTTTTCCCAGAACTCAGCCCGAAACGTATTAAATATTTGATGTAATCCAGAAGTTTCAACTTAAAGCGAAATTATTAGATAACTTTTTGGGAAGAGGCTTTCACTTAAAGCCAACATTTTTCGGGGGCAGGGGAAGAACGGAAGTTTTGTGGCATAAAAAACACCCCCTCCACGCAACTTTCCGGTGTGGCAAGCAGCGGTTTTCAAATTAATTTACAAATGCTCAGAGCTTGTAGGTAAATTTGTTTGAGCCGAGATGAAGACAATAAGCCGTGTTAAATGAGCCAGGCAGTAAAAGAGCAGTGAAAGGGGGCAGCAATAACAGCGCATTTGATGCGGGTGAAATAATTCGGGATATTATGTAATAACCAGGGGGAATAAAAGGGAGTAACAGCTGTCTGTTGGGGACATGACTCACTCCGCCCTTAAAAGCCGTTTATCACTCATCCGTATGCAAATCACACAATGTGGGTGAACGACCTTGACGGTTTTGGCCAACTATAATGATTATCATAATACAACAATAAACATAGTCATACGCATCGACTTTATTACAGGCAATTTCGCAAAAAACAACACGAAACGAAGACGAAAACAAAAGCGAAAAACTCATTCAAACCCCAGGCACATAAGCCAGTCAAAGAAAACCAAATCGAAGCTACCACAAATCGACTCCGCATATGAATCATAAGCCCGGCTCACTGCATCGCACACTGCTGCATTGTTATGCAAGCCCCAGAGCACAGAAAAGCCAGCCAAGCGATGCTAGCCACAAACTTGACTGGGGTTTCCCCAAGGCCCAAAAGCTGTTAAAGCCAAAGCAATCAAGAATTGAATAGGCCAACAATGAGAGACCGAAAACTTAACTTCGGTTTTCTCGGGATTTTCCAGCATTGGCGAAATTAAAATGCGGAATGCAATTGTTGGCACTAGGAAAAAATTAATATTATATTTACAAGTAAAGAGGCAATAAGCCAAAAAAATCATAAAAATGGTTGTTTTAGTTATAAATAATATTTTAAAATTATAGGGAAATGGTTGTTTACTTAACATCCCAGATTTTCAAATCACAATTTAATATTAAAAGCAGTTTACAAGTCATACTCATGCCAAATGTTAAGTATAATAACCTAAACAAAAATCATTAAAAAAAGGTAGGAGGTAGATAAATGATTTACTTGCATTTTAAAAAAACTTTTTGGTTACTTCTTAAGTTACAATAAACATAGGAGATTTTTAAGTTTTAAATTTGACTAATAAAAATATTTTTGGGGCTCGGCTTAATTTATATCCTAGCAAAGACAAAGCTCTAAATCCATACTCAACCAATAATGGGCGACTTAAAGAGATTGCCAAATAATTTTTAGCCAAATGGTGCGTGTGGGTGGAAGACCTCAACTTGTTGAGCAATTGACACAAATCTAAGCCGGGGAGCCGATAAACCGACCTTGAGTTAGTGACAATTTTTGTTTTTTTGCCTTTTGGACTTGAACTGCGACAAGTTGTGTGAGAAAGAGAAAGAGGGAAAGGTATGTTCAGAGAGAGAGAAAGAGATAGTGCTTCGGCCAAGGGAAGCTAGCATAGTGGAGCAAACACGATTCCCACACAAATCCATTTGGGCAAACAATTAACAAGCTGGCCATAATTAACATAAGTCATGTTGAAATACTCCTGCCTAAGAAATGTGCAAAAAGTTGGAGCGAACCATAAATAGAAATGAATATATGCCAAATCTCAAATGAAGTTCCAATAGCGAGCCCCTGAACCTGTAACCCCATCGGATTACACACTCTCCAGCTGGCATTAGTTGTCACCGGCGAGGTCCAAGTTCAAGTTCAGTTCACCAACTACTGGGATTTACCAATAGCTTAGTTTCAGCTAACTGCCAAAATTATTTTTATCAGGAAAAAATGATTAAAGAAACAGCAAACCGCAGTAAATTATACACTATATGTTTTATTAAAACAGATTATATATTTTTATTAAACATATAATAATTTGGTTATCAATGGGATATCAGCTCTATAATTTATTGTAAAATGTGACTATTGAAAGATAACAAAACAATTTATTATCGATCTTATAAATAACAATAAATTACAACAATTTAAAATCATGTTTTCTTAACATGTTTAGAAAGTTTAATTTATTCTGTGAACTAAAAAAATCAATTTAAATTTGCTTTTCTATGAAATTAATGTTAAAAGTAGATATTCTTTTCTTTTGTAAAGTTTTAAATATAGTTGTATTCCTTTCCGCAATTTTAAATAATTTTTCCTTTCTACTAAACCTCAATTCATCCATATGCCCAATTAAAGGGTGAACCAAACTATCGTTAACGGAATTAAAATGCGATGCGAATCAGGTTCGACGCACCTCCTTCAAACAATACTCGAAAAGCCCAAAGTGCTCGAAAAATGAGTCATAAAAAACCCGATGGTCAAAAACTACGCCACACGCTGATTGATAAAAACTCCACGAATTAATCACGAACAAATAGCCGAGAGGTGTTTGCCAAACAACCCAGAGTGGCGACAATAGCAACTCCGGCAAATCAAAATGATTAGCATAATTTTCGAATATCTGTTCATTATCAACTTTCTTGGAATGGTTAACATAAAACGCCACTTAAGTGGGGCTAGATAAACGACTCCAGCTCATCGAACCAAGGTCAGTAACACAAGTCGAAGCCACTGGATCCACTGAATCACAATGAGAGTCACTTCGAACAGCACTGACCACACACAACACACAAACTTAATGATCGGGATTTAAGGTAGTGGCACGCGAACGTGATCATCGTGATTAAGTTAGGGGGAATGTCTCTAATTTTTATGAACTTCGGGTAATTCCGCCAAGCACTTTTGATTCACATTCAGCTAGGTTTTGAACACTAAGCAAAACGAAAACGAAACGAACGACCGACTGATGACGTTTGCATTGACCATGGGTTAAAAACCAGACGATATTAACTGAATTGCACCCGAAAAGAGAGGGAAAAAAGAGATGGGGAAAGATGAATGTATGCCAAAAGATCCGGTTTGAGGCAATGCCCAATTTTAACCCTTTTCATGATGTTGTTTTTATTATTCGGTCGCTCCTCTCTGACCCAATTCA